ATAAAGAGAGGCATAGTAAAAAAAAATGTTTGCAAGACAAAGTTACTGCTCGTTTGACATTTTTAGTTATACAAAATCACACATCGTGTTCCAAATTGGTATTCACGTTCGATAACTTAATTGATGCATAGCATGGTTAAAAATAAATAAGTATCCCATTCGTTATATCGTAGTGTCACTGTGTTTCTTTGTTCAATTTATTTAGTTTGTTAATGATTATGTAAATAAGAATAAATCTGTATAAAAACTTCATACCCGTTTAGTTATTGCCTACAGGCGTTTGATCATTGTTACATTTAATATGTATATAGAACCTTTCATACATCCTAAAGTAAAAGATGTGTCAGTCTGATTCAAACGACATGAGAAGCCTGTAATACTAGTACGACTGGAGTATAGCATGTAAAAATTCCTACTCAATATGGTTGTATTGGAAATCTTTTCATACAGATAGATAACTCATGATCCGACATTCATGTAATATTTGCCACATGACACTCATATTTCTTTCTACCATCATCATCTTATTCATTAAATATTGCTGTAAACATCGATGGTTCACACCCAAACAAAATGGGAGTAATATACCTTTAGAGCTTCTCCATGGTATACACTTGTGAAATATATAGACGAAATTCGTTATTAAAGTGAATCTACATCTCACAAACACAATTTTTGAATAACGATTTTGAGTGACACCCATCAAACCATTACGAAATGGCAAGATTTAACCATGCAGGCATTTAGTTTTCGTCAGACACAAGATAAATAATCACTCTCATAAACGTATATATATGCATGCAGTTTCAAATATCAAGAACAAGCGGTCGATGTCTATAGATCATTGTTAAGTCGGTTTACTACCTGTTCAGAGTCAGACATGTCACTTGTACATTCTTGGCCTTCATATACCCCATCCGACGATGGGAACCCTTTTCTGATAGTGTTGACAACATAAGCTTGTATGGTGATTTTGTTTATCTGTACCAGTGGTTGGGCTCTACTGCCCCAAAAACAAACTAACGAAACGCTACTAGTCTGCTTTGTCTGTTAGAAAGAACCTTTGGCGCTCATCCTCAATGGCGCTAATACGTCAGGAAACTTACAAGTCTACTAGTAAAGATTGTTTCAAGAACAACGAGGTTGGGATGAACTGTTCTAAAATCGTCAATATCAGTTATACATTACTAAGATATGCCTTTTATTACAACTACTGTATAACTAATTTGGATTAATGACGGCTATCCTGTTCAGCATTGCACAAAATTATCAAAGAATATAAAAAAAAACTTGTTAAAAAAAATCCTCAAGCAAAATAATGGATTAGCTTAGATTTATAATGTATGTTTATCCATTAATGAAATAAACGATATTTTTTACAAATAATTCGTTTAAGTGATTGGCAGATTAATTTGATTATGAAAGAATGAAATGTTAAAAAGAAAATTTAAAAAAATCACGCATGTTGTACTGTTGTATTTTTTTTTTTCAATTAAAAACTTAAAAATAAAGATAGTTTTACGATTGTTAGCATTTTAACATCGCCAGATTTAAATACAAGTTAAAGAATTCCGGTAAAGTAAATTAAACAGATGTGCAATTATTATTAATTGGGAAATGAAACATTTAATTTTTAAGATTAACAGTACTATTCTTTTAACTTCATATTTTAATTTTATGCAAATTGCATAGAACGTAATCGAAAATTGTTCCACTGTGATATTGTATACAATTTCGGAATTGACAAAGATTGAATGTTTATTTTCAATTAATTTAAACAATTAAATTATTGTTTCTCTATTGTCATCGGATATTTTATCTTGGTGTATTAAACACGCTATACTCTTTCTGTTAATCCATTCAAAAGACAACATACACACCTGTGTACGCTTGAATTCACAACTGTGTAAGCCTGAGGATAAATTGCTGCAAGGTAAAGTTCAAACGAATTCTCCTCAAATCGAGAAATAAACAATGACTTTACAAAACAATATACACGTTCTGTTCACATATATTTTGCATTGAAATGGTTATCAAAGTTATAACGGTAAATAAAAACGTAAAATATTTCAGTTCAATATCAGTAAAAATGTTCAATAGATATTTTATGAAACAATCTCAACAACAATTTATGAAATTTAGATTTTTTGTCAAAAGAGAAGCATAATTACCCCAAAGCGAATTGCGAGAAGTGGTTTCGTATTTCGTTATAGAAAAAAAAATACTAGTAGTTTATGTAAAGTAACGACTCTCGTACGGTGTCGCGTTAATATCTTTTTAATAAATTGGTGCAATTGGATGCAACAAATAATGACCATAAAATGTCAGGTTTGCGAGATTAGACAGTAACCTAACCAGTAAACAATTGAAAATCTAGGGATCAATATTTAACATTCGTCAGTAATGAACAATTTTCATAAATAAAACATGATTTAGTCGAATACTTTGCGAGTAAAGAAAAAGAGACTACCATAGATTTGTTATTAACCCCAAATGCTTGATGGGTACAAATCAGTATTCAGGAGTTACCTTTTTTGCATTAAACCACATTACAACAGAAATTGGAAAATAGGGCGTGGAAGTATTTCTAAGACATTGTTGTTTTCCTGTTCTATGTAGCTTTCTTATTGGCAAACATGGTGATAGATTTTATAGATGCTGTCAGGCACCGACCATTGAAAACAATCGATCTGTTTAAAATAAGAAATGAAAATAACTGTTTGGTGTTGTTGTTTTTTTTGGCAAATAAGAAAAAGAAAAATGACCGTTTGATTTAAAATTGTTTAAAATTATTTTGAAATAGATTTATGTGAAAAGGCTAGACTTTGTGGCGTAGGGATGTGATTGAGTGGTTTTGTTTACTTATTATTATTTCGGCAGTGAAAATCTGCAATAATTATTTGTTCATCATGTTGTGTGATTTACACATTATAACAAAACTAAGAATATGACGGATGAATTTAGAGTTAGCTGTTTAATGTCCAGTGGCAACTATTATATGTATTATTAGGAGGACATTTAAAATGTTATCAATATGAACAAGGACATCCTTTGTTATGCAAACATGTGTATCACGGCACAAGCGATGACCTATAGACCGTGTGTATCATACGTATATTTAGGGTGGGGTTGCTCCGAATAAAGGAGGTATAGATACAGGAAAATAAAGAAAAAAAATATAAAATTAGAATAGAGTATAACGGGAAAAATAAAGAACAGAGGCAAATGGTATAAAAAAATTAAAGAATAGAGGGTCTAGTTTTTTTGCCGGACAATTGTTGATGATAGTTTAAAGTCAAGTGCATTTATAGTTAAAATAATACACAATCGTATGTACATTGGTAGGGATTTATGTTTAGGGTTGATGAGGCACATAACGAGTAATTGTTTTTGTTTGAAATTTCTCGAATATTTGTTTTTTTTCGACTGATTTGATAGATGAATAAAAAAAATCTATAATCTAAAAAAAAATGGTTTAATTACGATATATGGATACAACTGCTATTCAGTCGATTTTAAAATACATGCGATAAAAGAGAATACATAAAAATATTTAACAAACCTTTTGGACAAAAAGTCAACCTTAAGACCCCGAATATACTTTTGTAAGAACATAAGATTAATTTCGAATTCCATCTTAAATCAATTGTTCATTTAGGTAAAAAAAAATGTTAATACCTTAGACTATTTTCAAAAATTGTTGACTGAATACCCTGCAGACTGCAGTTTACTCGCACATTCACCAAGTACGCATTTCTACGGCTAACTAAATTCATAATCGTATCTTTTAATTTGTTTAAATTTATTTCAGTGTTTGTTTTCAAACTTTTTATGTAAATAATTTTGGATCAACATCGAGTCAGATCAAATTATAATTTATTAAATTATTAATTAAAAACTGAAACATGCATCCAATCTAAATTTTACGCCTATTATCACCTATATAAAAAGATATAACAGAACACCATTCATGATTCATATTTAAAAAAAAACCCATATACGCTAAACGAAACTATGCACGCCAAGAAACGATGTACGCTAAACGATACGATATACGCTAAACGAAACGATGTACGCTAATACGCTAAACGATACGGTATACGCTTAATGAAACGATGTACGCAAAACCATGCGATGTACGATAAAAGGGCGCTTATGTTATCGTTTATGGTATGGTTTATGGTATATGGTTTCGTTCGTACATCATTCGTTCAGCGTCCGTACAACGTTCGGTCAGCGTTTCGTTTGCATTCGTACACCGTTCGGGAAGCGTACGTACATCGTTCGGGCATCGTCCGTACATGATTCGGGCATCGTTCGTATTGTTAACTTTTACGTTACACGGACTGTACTTCAGAGTAAACATTTAACCGGGCCTTGCGATCATAAAACTTTGGAGTATGATTCTCGTACTCAGACTCAGAAACCAACCAATCAAAACACTGGATTTAGTGTTTCGAGCACAAATTTTGTACTCCGAGTACTGAGTAAAGTTTTATGACCGAGAGCCCGGGGATAGCCTGTTGAACATACTTCAGAGTAAACATTTTAACGAGGATAGCCCCTTGAACGTACTCCAGAGTAAACATTTTATCCAGACGTTTTCATTTCTATCGATTTGCACATGCATTTTAAAATACAGTAAAAATTCATAGAAACCAGATGGTGAAAACATCAGACATACAGACCAGAATTGACATACGATTTGGCTGAGAAGGCATTAAACACCAACTATCAATAAATTGATGTTTAAATCATATAAATAATTTACCTTGCCTTTTAATAGACAGATGTGCCTGAATGAAAACAATAATATTCAGTATAAAATGATAAAATGTTATCATAAACAGGCATATTTTTCTGGCTTTAAGATTATTCGTCTTTGCTTTGACTAGAAGACAAGATGCAAATCTAATGTCCTTGGTTCTATAGAAACTATTATCAAACCCTGAGACCACTATATTGGTCAAACAACTGTTATAATATTTATCATAGCTTACCTGGACAGAAAGCTTGGAAGACTTGGTCACTCAAAACTGCTAATTCATCAAAGCTTTGTACATTGAAGCTGTTTTCTGAGGAAGGTTCAGAGGCCATGGCATCCAATTCACGGGTATCTCTTAAACCAATACCAACAGCATAGATATGAATTCCTTCTGCACGAGCCTTCTCTGCCTCAGGAATGGTTCTTCTTGAATTTATATTTGACACACCATCAGTTAATATAAGTACCACATTAGGCACACCATCACGATCCCCATTGGCAGCCGTGAACATTTGTGAACGCATTGTTCTCAAACCATCAGCAGTGTTTGTACTTCCATATCTATATGGAATGGCGTCAATAGCTTCCATTATGTCTTGTGAGGAGCTGAAATCATTCATTTGGAATTCAATATGAACACCAGTACTGTATGAAACAATTCCCACCTGTATATTACCAGAATCTAAATCAGCATTCTTCAAGAAATCTTTACAGAAATTCTTCATTTTCTGGTAATTAGCATCACCCACACTGGTTGAGGAGTCCAAAATAATAACAATATCAACTTTGGCTTGACCACATGCTGCAAAAAATAAAGCATTCTGAATGTATTGCATGTACAATAAAATATCTAGGCTGGAAGAAATGTGGAATTAGTTTACACTTCTATTGAACAAGCACATGAGCTCAGTTGTATTTTGAATTTAATACACCAAACATACCAAGAATATATTTCTTTTTAAATCTGATGGTGGTAGTATTAAGAATTATTGGAAATAATCAATTCAAATATTTCAAATTTCATGCAGATTGGGGTAAAATAGAAAAGACAGCTCTGACTGGCTTTGGACAGTAGTGTAAAATTACATATTAGAGTAAGCTGTAAAAACAGTAACTTTATATGTTATAATCTCAAGGATTCTTCCACCTGAAATTTTTTTTTTGACTAAAATGCACATTTGTTTATCAACAAGAATAGTAATTATAAGAACAGATAAAGTTCTTTTTGACCGGGCCTAAGTTGGTGGTGTTACATCTTACATAGTTTACTCGAATTATTTGCCAGATACATACGTTATTTCCTGACAAGTTATCAAACATATATCCTGATGTGCCCCATGGTTGTCTAAATGTTTGTATCGTTTTTTGCACGCTTCAGTGTGATTGTTCAGCTAAATGATGACAGTACATGTTGTATTTCATTGCCAGATTTATCTTAATGATATCACTCCTTGGCTTAGTTCTTCATTTCACAGAGGTGGTGTGGTCGTCAGTTTGCAAAATATTCTGCTCAAACCGATCCTAGGGGCTGTCTTAAACTTGCAGTGTGGTGAGAAGTTTTGGGTTTTTTTTGCTCAATATTGAAGGCCTCACTGTGACTTTAAGTTGAAGAACAGCAAAAAAAAGCACTGTTCCTTTGCTTTTTGCATTTCTTCCTGTGCACCTGCTGATTATGTGTCATGGATGGACACCCAATATCCATTCTTTTCTATAAATGACTGGATGCTTTATTTTTGATATACTTACCTCTAAAAAATGATCCCTTCACTGCACTATTTTGTTTGAACTATCAAATGTAGTGATAAACCTTGGAAGATATAGATATCAAGTCAGTACCATAAGGTTTTGATTGCATTTCATGCTATCTTTACCAAAAAAACATTAAAAATTAACAGATTGAAGGCTGGATGCTTATTTTTACTTTTACTTACGTTTATCAGTTGTTGGAAGAGTGATTGGCACTGGAAAATAGCAGTTATAAAATTTAAGAGAAAACATTTTTGAAATATACATGTATAACCATAGACACTTTAGATTATTCAAGACTGCAAATAATTAAAGTTTAATTTTTTTTCTCACATCTTTTGAGTAAAGACGAAGGACTTTAATTATTTATTTGTCCTTGTACATTTTTAAACTTTACTGTTTAGTCTATTTTAGGTAATATACTTTTGGCATGGCTTGGTACTTGTACACCCAGCAATTGCGTTATTGTGCTATGGTAAATTTTGCATTCTTGTCTTTCATTTATGCTTATGTATTTTGTCTATAGAGTGTCTATATGCCATTTTGTTTTTCTTTGTTGAAATAGTTATTTCTTTCTACAGTGATTAAAATTATATTTCAATGTTCACTGCTGCACCCCAATTTTTGACATTGTTACCTAGTATGTCGGTTTGCCTTTCTTACACATTGTTGTCAATATAATGAAATTCTATGTAAATGTCATACAAGTAAAAGGTTTAGCTAGCTATAAAACCAGGTTTAATCCACCATTTTCTACATAAGGACATGTCTGTACCAAGTCAGGAATATGACAGTTGTTTTCCATTCGTTTGATGTGTTTGAGCTTTTGATTTTGCCATTTGATAAAGGACTTTCTATTTTTAATTTCAATTGGAGTTAGGTTTTTTTGTCATTTTACTTTTTATATTAAGAAAGAGGCAATATTTGCTTCCAAATTCATGAAAACATATATAATGTAAATAGATATAAGAAGATGTGGTAAGAGTGCCAATGAGACAACCCTCCAAATTTATAAAAGTAAACCATTATAGGTCAAAGTACGGTCTTCAACACAGAGCCTTGGCTCACACCGAACAGCAAGCTATAAAGGGCCCCAAAAATTACTAGTGTAAAACCAGTCAAACGGGAAAACCAACAGTCTAATCTATATAAAAAACGAGAAACGAGAAACACTTATGAACCACATCAACAAACAACAACTACTGAACATCAGATTCCTGACTTAGGACAGGTGCAAACAATTGCAGCGGGTTTAAACGTTTTAATGGAACCAAACCTTCACCCTTATGTGAAACAATAGTGTAACATCACAACATAGAAAAACACACTATAAAATATCAATTGAAATGGCTTAACTCAATCAAAAGTCTGCTTTTCCTAAAAATAATTTGAACTATATATTTATATTTTGTGTGTTTTGTGCCAAATTTGTTTTAAAGGATAATAACGTGACAAAAAAAAAATAATTACAGAAGAATAAAATGAACAAGAAATGATTGTAACAGGATGCTGTTACGAAGTCTCCCAAACGAAGCTCCCATAATTCGTAATTCCAAGGGTCGCCTGACATTAGGCAACGTCCAGTGAAAATTGGTTTGGTCCAGTAAAGTTATATGCATTAGTGATGCCTGGGGATTAACCTTGTATATCATTCAAATCATCTTGGCATGACAAACCAGAATATATATGGTTTAGGGGTGGGATCTCGACCATTTACAAGATACTAGAACATTGGGGGTGGGGGGAACCCCTGGGGACTGACCATATACGTCATTCAAATGTTCCAGACATGACAAATAGGAATATATATGGTATAGGGGTGGGGATCTCAACCATTTACAAGATATTAGAACTTTCTCAAATGGCAGGGGGTCGGGATGACCCCTGGGGACTAACCCTGTATATCATTCAAACCATCTTCGCATGACAAACCATAATATAAATGGTTTAGGGGTGGGGATCTTGACCACTTACAAGATATTAGAACTTTCTTAAATGGCAGGGGTGGGGGTGACCCCTGGGGACTAACCCTGTATTTCATTTGATGTGCTTTATCATGACAAACCAGAATATATATGGTTTAGGGGTGGGGATCTCGACCAATTACAAGATATTAGAACTTTCTCAAATGGCAGGAGGTCGGGATGACCCCTGGGGACTAACCCTGTATATCATTCAAACCATCTTAGCATGACAAACCAGAATATATATGGTTTAGGGGTGGGGATCTTGACCACTTACAAGATATTATAACTTTCTTAAATGGCAGGGGTTGGGGTGACCCCTAGGGACTAACCCTGTATTTCATTTGATGTGCCTTATCATGACAAACCAGAATATATATGGTTTAGGGATGGGGATCTCGACCATTTACAAGATATTAGAACTTTCTCAAATGGCAGGGGGTCGGGATGACCCCTGGGGACTAACCCTGTATATCATTCAAACCATCTTAGCATGACTAACCAAAATATATATGGTTTAGGGGTGGGGATCTTGACCACTTACAAGGTATTTGAACTTTCTTAAATGGCAGGGGGTGGGGGTGACCCCTGGGGACTAACCCTGTATTTCATTTAATGGGCTTTATCATTTAAAACATTTTCAATTTAAAAGATTGTGTCTACCACAAACGGTTTTCAATTTATAATCATTTGAAAATTTTTAAAAATAAAATCCCATAGGGTTCTATAGTAAAACCCTCTTTTCTTTTTGCCCCTCAAAGTACCCCTTTATAAACCCCATTGCACAAACAAAACCCTGATTGAACCACTAGACATGTTAGTCTAACATATTGTGAAACCCTAAGTTAATCTGACAAGCGGTTTTGGAGAACGGGTGCAGACAAGTTCAAATTTAAAAGCGGCGGAAGAGGAAGAAGAAGAAGAAGAATAATAATAATAATAATAAGAACTGAGCAAAAACAATAAGTCTTCCCAAACTTCGTTTGGGAGACTTAATTAAATCATGTACTTACACAGAACTCTGAGAGAAGTTTGTTGACTTTGTCCAGTTCCAACAGGATTATCAGCAAAACACTGATACATTCCTGTATCTGAGGTATCCAAATTTGTGATAGTCAGAGATGGTGAGCTGGGAGAGACACGAGAGTAACGAGAGGTCCTGGTGTCAACATCAACCATCTCTCCTCTGTCCTCTCTCCTCCAGTTGACAATTGTTTCAGGTGGATTGGCCACAACATCACATTCTAGAGTAACCTCTGTACCCAAATCTCCTGTATATTCTCTCTTTGGAACTGTGATAACAGGAATCGCTAGAAGAAACAAATACAAAGTGAGAGATTTAAGTTTAAAGAATACTGTATAACATGTCTATATAAAATAAGGAGATATGATGTGATTACCAATGAGAAAACTATTCAACTAAGACCAAATGACTTTAAAAAGAGGTTAGCACTTATAGGTCAATGTATAGCCTACAACAATGAGCAAAACTCATACTACATAAAAAGTAATAAAAGTCCAGACTTGACAAAATGTAAAACAATTCAAATGAGAAAACCAATAGCCTGATTTAAGTACAAAACTAGAAAAGAACACAACCAATACAACTGTGAGCTATAGCTGTTAATTTCATCATTTATGATACCCCCTTCAAGTATTCAGTAAACAGGATGTTGGGGAGTAATGAATAACATATATAAGGAAACTCTTATAAAATCAGAGAAATGCAGGAAAATTTTAGGTCATTTCTTTTAATCCAGATCTAGAGAGTTAAATCAAACTTTGAAAACTCTGATCACCTTATTCTGAATTCTTGATTCTACTATTGTATGGTTGTCACCTGTTAGAATAGTTAGGCATATATCTTAAATATCTTTTTATTCAACTACACTAACCTCCAGTAACATCAACATCACCATTAGTACTTGATCCAACACCAGCAGCATTCTTTGCAGTACATACGTAGGTACCTTCATCTTGAAATTTTGCACTGTTTATTGTTAGAGATGGCACACGTACTGTAGAGCCACTGTATTTCCTACCATCTACTACTACTGGCGTCCGTGAATCCCCTTGGACACGATACCATGTGACTTCCTTGACAGGAATATCAGACTTCACTGTACATTCTATTGTCACAGGTCCTCCGTAAAGTACAGTGCTTCTGTATGGTTTAATATCTACTTCAGGTTTCACTACAAGAGAAATAAGATAGCTACCAAGAAGTGATATGTCATCTTGTGTGTAAATAAGAAATAAAATTGTGTGTACAGTATAGAATTATAGGACAGGGACATAGATTAATAAATAAAGTGTATTTCTAGCTGTGCATTTGTTACTATTATCCAATAGACAGAATATATACATGGTGTCATTATATGAACAGTCCAAAAAATAGTCAAAGTCCCATTTCTCAATAAAATCATGGACAGAGATGCAGATAATAAAAATATCCTATCAGACATTGGGTCCTGCTTGTAAGACAGTTGCCAGTCCTATCAACTGTTTGCCAGACCTACTATTTTTTTAAAATAATAATTAGTTTCCAGTTGGATTAAGATACGCCTTAAAACCTTGATTAAAACGACCAGGTTAAATAAGGATATGACCATGGGATGGTTTAATGACTGAGACCACATTATATTTAAATTATCTTACAACATCAAATAAATAAATGAGAATGATGGACTACACTTGCCAATAAGACAACTATCCATTAATTTCAATTTTGACGGCCCAAACAGTAAAAATATATTATTGGGCCTGACACAAAGACGTCAATTGCCAGACCCTCTAAAATTCTGCCCCTATGTCCATCCCGTCCGACAAGCTGCATCTCTGGGATTATTATAATGATGGTTTGATATGGTCAATTTCACATAACATGATCATCATAAACAATCATACTCAGTATGAGAGCTTTCTGTTGAAGGGAATCAGAGAGGAGTTGCATTCAGGAGGTGTCATAATGGTAGGATTTTAAAAAAAGTCCCATAACTTCTGTAGAAATGGTCATACCAAAATTATGGTATAATATGGTCAACTGTATGTGATAGAAAACAATACAACCAAGTAAGAGAGCTTGAAAACTGAAGTTGGTCTCAGGAGTCACTTTAACAAGGTGTCATTGTTGAAATATGATTTAAAAAAATGGACAAAGTCTAAAAAATATTGTACAAATGGTCAAATCAGAATGGCATTAAAGCATCTTCAATAAATAATTCCACAAAATATGCAAGCAATTTGTTTAAATGTCTCTTGAGTATGGATATGTTTAACAGGAATACATAGACCTTATTGTATCCCCTGTGGAGTGTGCGGGGGACAACTAAAGTGCTTAAGAGTAGAGGGGTTTCTCAGATTGCTCTTATTTTACCTTTTTAATTTTAATCTTAACATTGCAGTGTTTTAAGCAAAAGTATTTACACATTTTTCATAATAGAACTACATCCTTTTGTCCATAGATTACAGGTAGCACAGATAGATTCATAACCCATGCATTACTTTCTGCAACTTTTTAAATAAAACTTGTTTTGTGGATCAGACAATCATATAGATAATGTTGGAAATGCCTGTATGAAATCAGGAATATTATAGTTATTTTCCATTCTTTTGATTTTTCCATTTGATAAGGGACTTCCCCTTTTTGAATTTAACATGGAGTTCGGTATTTTCTGTTATTTAACTTTTTATGTTACTTAAATATCTGAGTATATATTATTCTTTATTAAATTATATAAAATGCTTCGCTGAGCGCAGCCTGATACGACCACAAAGGTCGAACCCTGTACAGTTGGTACAAATTTGGACACAATATTCAACCTTGATACTGTCTGAATTTGGATTGTGATCAAATTTTTGACATAATATAGATTTCTGACACAAAATAAATGTGGTCAAAGATCTTACAAATCTATTGCCAATTACTGTGCAATTGAGGATTTCTTCTTGAAACTTTTCAAAAATTCAAAATTTGAAAAATTTTGAAAAAAAAATATTAATCCTCGAAAAAAATTTGAAAAAAAAAATCCCCCCCCCCCCCCCCCCCCAATTTTTTGAAACCCCCCTAGGAGCAATAACCCCAAAACTCGATCCCAGCCTTTCCTTTGTAGTATGGAACCTTGTAGTACAATTTCAGTGAGATCAATACACTTAAACACAAGTTATTGTCAGGAAACTAGAAAAATGCTTGATTTTGGCCCTTTTTTGGCCCCTAATTCCTACATATTTGGGCAATTAACCCCAAACTCAATCCTAGCCTTCCCTTTGTGATATGGAACCTTGTGGTACAATGTTAGAGAGATCCATACACTTACACACAAGTTATTGTCTGGAAACTAGAAAAATGCTTGTTTTTGGCCCCTTTTTGGCCTTTAATTCCTAAACTGTTGGCCCCATAACCCCTAAAATAAATCCCAACCTTCTACTTGTGGTATTAAACATTGTCTTACAATTTCAGAGCAATGGAAATACTTATACACAAGTTATTATCCTGAAACTAGAAAAATGCTTGTTTTGGGCCCCTAATTCCTAAACGGTTGGGACCATCATCCCCAAAATCAATCCCAATCTTCCTTTTGTGGTATTGAACCTTCTTAAAAAATTTCATAGAGATCCATTCACTTAAACTAAAGTTATTGTCCGGAAACCAATGTGGACGATGACACAGACGATGACACAGCAGACATCATACACGATCCCAAAAAATTTTTTGCGGTCGTAAAAAAATGCTTAACATGTGTATGGATAGATCTAAAGGAGTAATACCACAATTGTTTTTTTCCCTATTAGTCTTTGTTAAATTGGCACTTTTCAAAATATTGTGCAGAATTTATCTTTGTTTGAAATAAAGAAATACTTGGCATGAGTAAAGTTTTATCCTGTCCAGTATTACAAACAAAATTTCACATAACATTTCATTACATTCAAGATAATAACCATCACTGGAAGTTAACCTATCAAATTTTCTCCCTTTTTTCGTGTTTACAAGCTTTAGTAACCATGTAGCCTCAAGTTTCCAAAATATTTTATAGAATCACCAAATAAAAAAAGAATGGTGCTTTGAAACACCCAAGATGTATGTTTATGACTCAGAAATTTTTTTCTGCAATGAAATGTAGGATTTATTTCCTACAACTGTCAAATTCAAGGGAATATTTTTTTTTACCCTTCTTGGTATAAAGCAGATGTGACGAACTATGATTTGATGGTATTTGTTGAATGAACTAAATGTGATTTTTTTCCTTTAGGCCATAAAAAAGAATAGGTTGGTTTGCCCTAACCCGACCGACCAATAAAAAAGCACCCTAGTCAAAATCTTTTTTCATTCAAAATTCGCGATGGTTTTTTTTGTTGCGGAGTTTTGTCATATCCGTATCCCTCTTGAGTTTGTTGCAGAGAATAACCTGATCCAATCTGACCGTGCTTAATCACAGGACAATTTGTGTTATGTATTAAAGCCTCCAATTGATATGGATGAAAAACATCATGGTACCGTCTAGTACAAATAAAGGTTGGATTAAAATCAAAACCCGTAGTTTCCAACAAATTCTATCGTTTTGAAAACGCAAAAACAGGTGTATCCAAGTTGTTAAGGAATTTGATTGATATTATTCTGACAGAAGTTCTGTCAACAGTGTTTTGTTCAAGTGTTTTTTATTTTAATTTTGTATTCAAATAAACTTCTTCTTCTTAGTATGAGCCTCCTTTAATTAGGAGAACCTCCAAATATATATGGAGTTTTTCCTTAACTTTAAAATTTTAAAGAATAAAACAAAAATGTTTTTTCCAACATATGTACAGCACATATAAATATAAAACAATAAAAGTATCATGTATGGCATATACTAAACAGGGACCTTTTTATTAATTATTTAATTTCATTTTCATAGCTTTTAATATTTGTCCAGAGCTTCTTTACATTTCTTACAATTGTTATATGACAGACTCTGTGTTGGTATATATATGTCACTTATGATAATCACTATTTTCATTTGTTTGTCATTTCCTCCATTTTGAGATATATGTATATATATATACGTATATGCAATATATGTCTAGCTATTTGTTGTCCATAATTTTAAATCTTTCTATATGCATTTGGAATAACATATTTCTGGTTATGTTTTCAATATTTTCCTTGAATTTTTCACAGTTATCAAACAGCACCTTATATTTTGAACAGTCTATAAGCAATTGTACTATCGCAGTTTTGTTCGTAAAGATGCAGTTCCATTTTGTTGGTGTGATTTTATCAGTGATCTTTTTTCTTATTTCAGGGAAATATTTTTCTCACGTAGTACTGAGTATAAACTCATTTGAAATGTTTGTCTGTATTTACAATGTAAACATTCAGAAAAAAGTAAGAACATTGAGGTTGAATGCTGAAAAAAAAAACTGTTAATAGAAAAGATCTTTATAGTACATATAGATCCTGGCATATATGTGTCTGACAATTTATACAAAACTCTATAATAGTCTTTCATTTTAAAAGTTGTTTACAAGGTAAAATAATTTTTTCCCCTATTTTTCTCTAAAAGTATAAAAAAAAAAAAGAATTTCCCTACCTACCTACCTACACCTGAGACTGGTGGGTAGGGTTTGGGCAAACAGAAATATTTTTAAGTCTGGCCTTATAATACTGTTTATTTCAAGCATTACTGTCAAGTTTTGTCATAATCAGTTCAATAGTTTGAGAGAAATCAAGTATAATGTAAAACGACATCTATAGTGATTTGAGCAAAATTTCTTAGAAAAATTCAAATCATGCCGCATCATGATAGAATATAGTGTGGACCAATAATAATCAAATATTCATCTTATCAGCATACAAACAGTTGAATATGATACAAAAGATGACTCTAAGATGATAAATACCACTAATGGACCTCTCTGTCTTCATTATAAGGTCCCTTTTGGTCCATTTATACCTCTCATTTCCTCAAAATTTGAACTTTTTATGCCAATAAATCAAAATTTTGGGGTAACTTTCACACATTTATGAAGAGAACTGTGATTATAAATGAGGAATTGAAGCGTTCAAGCTGAATCAACTATCCATATAAAAGTTTTACTGACTTCATGGAGGTTTCTATAAGCAAGTCCTTACGTAAAACTTAAGTTTATTCCGCACTTCAAAGAGGGACATAAAATACTTTCCTTTTAGAGAATAATTTGTTGTTACTGCTTCAAAAATAATTATAACTGTTTATTTCGTTAAGTATAACTTAGGAATTTCTTTTTATAGCAAAATATAGGAAATAAGGAGAAAAAGAAAAAACTCCCCAAAACACTGAGTATGGCTTGCTTGGCCAACCAAGTCAAGAATATGACAGTTGTTATCCATTTGTTTGATGTGTTTGAGCTTTTGATTTTGCCATTTGATTAGGGACTTTCCGTTTTGAATTTTTCTCAGAGTTCAGAAGTTTTGTGATTTTACCTTTTGATATTCCAAACCATCTTCTTGTTTGAAATGTGTACTGAGAAATTATGATCCTTGAGTATGAAATTTCTATGTATGACTCTAAAACATTGATAAGTTACTAACCTGGTCTTGGTCTCATTGGAGGAGGATTTTTTCCCACTGAAAAATAAAAACAACTTTTCCTACATGTTGATACAGTAAATTAATTTTTGTACGATATGCAGAATGAGTTTAAAAGATTGCACTATGATTTTGTTTAAATAGATTGTGTAACAATTGTTGTTATTTGGTTTGGTGGTCGGTATATAAGGGAATTGCATAGTTTCAAAGTATTGAGAATTGGGTAGCGATTAAACTGGTGCATGTTTTATAGTTAGAAGTTTAATTTTTTTTTCTTTTTTATCAAGAAGGTTTAGGTGGCTGTTCTAAGAAAAAACAAACGTATTCAGTGTATTGGAAGTAACTTAAAAGGATGCAATGACTTGAAAGTTTAATCACAGATTTATGCATGCTCTGAATATTTTCTTTTGTTCATGAAGAAGCTTCTGTCCCAATTGTTTTTTTTAAACCATGAAAGTTTGACAAAGTTATAATTAAAAAATAAAAAAACTATAACTAAAGACTGAACATAAATGTTTATGAAGCCAATTTTAAGTTACACCTAGCAACTTTTGTTGCAGGGGAGCCAAAAGGATTTACTTTGGTAAGTGATTATCATATAAAATAAACTTGTGCTACTTACTACCAAGAAGATCAGCATATATCTGGGGAGGAACTTCAGCCAATTCCCTCTCACTCCTTGTTAAATATTGATAGGTGTTTAAAGGATGGGAAGATGTCTCATCCAGCTCCTCACGATCATTAATATTTAAGCCCATAACATATAACTGGATTCCGTCTGTCTCTGCTCTCTCTGCCGCTCGCCAAGCATCATTTGTACTCAAACTCTTATCCTGACCAGTTATCAACAATATAAAGTTTCTGGCATAGTCACGATCACCTTGGTCAGGTCTGAACATCTGGGTTCTAGCAGTATCTATGGCTTGTGCTGTGTTTGTTATTCCACCCCTGTATCTGACTTGGTCAACAGCATTTTTAACATCACCACTGGACTGATAGTCCTTGAGATTGAATTGAACATTTGAATCTGTGCTATATCTCAACAAACCAACTCTAAATTCGTCATCATCGATACTTACTGTATCTGCCAGATTTCTAGTAAATGTTGTCATCCAATCAAAATATTCTTGAGAAACAGAAGAATCAAGGATAATGACCAAATCATAACCAGTTTCCTGTGGTTTTACTGTTGTGGCAACTGCAATAGAAATAACTATTCCACTGAATTTGAGCATACTATAATTAGGCATAGAAAAAATGTTATGTTTTAATTGTAATGGTGATATGTTGAATTAATTGTGAAAGATCTCAAACAATTACCTCAGCTATAAAATTGAATGGATAACATAAAGTGGCAAATATAATATGCATATTTATTAGAATGATAACATGCTAAAATCAAGGGCCACAGTGGCCTTGTCATCTAAGTAGTTCATCTATAGTAATCACTGGCCTAACAACAATAAGTTTGTGAATTGGAACTCCACTTTGACATGGTACATTTATGAGTAAAATACGGAAAAACAGGAATTTTTTTTGTACAAAATTTACTTCTGGATACTATCTTATGATCATAAACAAGCTTCTGTCCAAGTTTGGTAGAAATCCAGGATAGTTTAAGAAAGTTATTAAAATTTCAAAAACTTTAACCACAGAGTGAATATTTGTGGACGCCGCCGCCGACGCCGACAGAATGTAGGATCGCTATGTCTCGCTTTTTCATTAAAAGCCGAAGGCTCGACAAAAATGGCCTCTGTGATATAAGGAAGTTTGCTGAAAAGGCATATGCATTAAACACCAACAATCAATAAACTGATGTTAAAATAATATAAAAAATTTACAATTCCTTTTATAGACAGATGTGCTTTCTATATCTTTAATGTTCTGGTTGAAAACAATAAAAGTTAGTATAAAATGATGAAATGTTACCATAAAGAGGCATATTATTCTGGCTTTAAGATTAATTGCCTTTGCTTTGACTAGATGACAAGTAGCAAATACTTACTAGAGACTATCTTCAAACCCTGAGATGACTGTGTTGGTCAAACAACTGTTAAAATATTTATCATAGCTTACCTGGACAGAAAGCTTGGAAGACTTGGTCACTCAAAACTGCCAATTCATCAAAGCTTTGTACATTGAAGCTGTTTTCAGAGGACGGTTCAGAGGCCATGGCATCCAATTCACGGGTATCTCTTAAACCAATACCAACAGCATAGATATGAATTCCTTCTGCGCGAGCCTTCTCTGCCTCAGGAATGGTTCTTCGTGAATTTATATTTGACACACCATCAGTTAATATAAGTACTACATTAGGCACACCATCACGATCTCCATTGGCAGCTGTGAACATTTGTGAACGCATTGTTCTCAAACCATCAGCAGTGTTTGTACTTCCATATCTATATGGAATGGCGTCAATAGCTTCCATTATGTCTTGTGAGGAGCTGAAATCATTCATTTGGAATTCAATATGAACGCCAGTACTGTATGAAACAATTCCCACCTGTATATTACCAGAATCCAAATCAGCATTCTTTAAGAAATCTTTACAGAAATTCTTCATTTTCTGGTAGTTAGCATCACCCACACTGGTTGAGGAGTCCAAAATAATAACAATATCAACTTTAGCTTGACCACATGCTGTGAAAGTAATAATTATAATAAGCATTCTAAAGGTATTGTATATGCAATAGTATATCAAAAACAGCAAGGAGGAGTATAAACTTGCAAATGTGGGTACAGTACGTAGTCTGGCTGGGGTTTAACCACATTCAAAGATTGATTTTTGCAAAATTCCCTACTCATAAATATATATTTTGCATGCACACGTATAAAAATTGCGGTTTTTTATCCAACGCAATCATAGGTTTGAACATTGTTTTCAATTTAGACTTGTATATATATATCTGTTATCCTAACTGTCAGACATACAACTGTGACATCTTATTCAATTAAAGAACCTTTGTGAGCACACTCACATACCCCATGCCCCACATTGTCACTGGAAAAACAAAATATCACTAGATTCTTAAGTTCAAAAACTCAAAAACTCATTTCTCCTACAAAAGACAACCGATAAAAAAATCTTGTGGATATGCACATTCAAATATTATGTCCTCAATATCTATAAAGTTTCATGAAATTCTGTTGTGTGGATTAAGAGGAATTTTGATGACAAACTGTTGCAGTAGTAGATATAGGCCAAAGTTATAAGTTCAACGGGGCATAACTCCTAGAAAAAAGACAAAATGAAGATAGGAACCCATTTGCAACAGAGATCACGCAATGGGATATGCCTTAGTGAAATTCCTAGTGTTCCACACGTCTCCGCTTCCACTAAAAACTATATCATCGAGTTATTTCTCCATAAACAAAAACATATAATGAATGTTTTCTTCAAATTTACAGCACTCGATAACACCAATTTTTTATTCCACTGCTGCAAGAAAGATAACTCTACCGATTGAAAACCCTTAAACACTTTGTACCGATCCATTCAATGTCGGAAATGGAATAATTCGGAATCTAGTTTTAAAAGGTCACCTCTCTTGAGGGGTTACTTCTGATACTTCCTAAGAGTGACTGCTTAATACAGGTTTGACGGTATACTGAACATATCTTTATACAGATCTAAAACAAGTCAATTGAAACAATTTATGTTAAAATCTAAATGATTTTTCATCAGACTTAAAAGGCACATTTCTTAAAACAAATATTATTCATATTACAGATTGATGGCTGGATGCTTATTTTTACTTTTACTTACGTTTATCAGTTGTTGGAAGAGTGATTGGCACTGAAAAATAAGAAAAATCATATTTGGAGATTTCGATAGACACTCCAGATTATTCAAGACTACATAAAATGGAAATTCAGTTCTTATGAAACTAATTTTTGGCAGATGAAATTCGACATCAATAGGGAAAGTTGGCAAGTCTAAATGACTGTTTCTTAAATCATGAAAAAAATAATTACAGTAGAATATAATGAATAACAGCATGTACTTACAAAGTACTCTGAGAGAAGCTTGTCTACTTTGTCCAGTTCCAACAGGATTATCAGCAAAACATTGATACATTCCTGTATCTGAGGTATCCAAATTTCTAATAGTCAGAGATGGTGAGCTGGGCGATATACGAGAGTAACGTGAGGAAGTGGTGTCGACATCAACCATCTCCCCTCTGACCTCTCTCCTCCAGTAGATGGTTGTTTCACGTGGGTCTGCTATCACATCACATTCTAGAGTAACATCACGTCCTAACTCACTCAGGTACTCATCCTCTCTTATCTTCACCACTGGAGGTTCTGTAAGAAACAAGAAAAAAGATCCATGTCATGCATGTTAACTAAAAAATTAACAGTTTAATAGATAGATAAAAAACTAGAGGCTCTAAAGAGCCTGTGTCACTCACCTTGGTCTATGTGCATATTAAACAAAGGACACAGATGGATTCATGACAAAATTGTGTTTTGGTGATGGTGATGTGTTTGTAGATCTTACTTTACTGAACATTCTTGCTGCTTACAATTATCTCTATCTATAATGAACTTGGCCCGGTAGTTACAGTGGAAAATACTTTGTAAAAATTTACAAAAATTTACAAAATTTATGAAAATTGTAAAAAATTGACTATAAAGGGCAATAACTCCTTAAGGGGTCAATTGACAATTTTGGTCATGTTGCCTTATTTGTAGATCTAACTTTGCTGTACATTAACAGTTTATCTTTATCTATAATAATATTCAAGATAATAACCAAAAGCTGCAAAATTTTCTTAAAAATACCAATTCAGGGGCAGCAACCCAACAACGTGTTACCTGATTGGTCTGAAAATTTCAGGGCAGATAGAACTTGACCAAATGAACAATTTTATCCTCATCAGATTTGCTCTAAATGCTTTGGTTTCAGAGATATGAGCCAAAAACTGCATTTTACCCTATGTACTATTTTTTAGCAATGGCGGTCATCTTGGTTCGCAGGCAGGGTCATCGGACACATTTTTTAAACTAGATACCCTAATGATGATTGTGGACAAGTTTGGTTAAATTTGTCTTAGTAGTTTCAGAGGAGAAGAATTGTAAAAAATTACAAAAATTTACGAAAAATGGTTAAAAATTGACTATAAAGGGCAATAACTCCTTAAGGGGTCAACTGACCATTTTGGTCAAGTTGACTTATTTGTAGATCTTACTTTGCTGAACATTATTGCTGTTTACAGTTTATCTCTATCTATAGTAATATTCAAGATAATAACCAAAAACGGCAAAATTTCCTTAAAATTATCAATTCAGGGGCAGCAACCCAACAACAGGTTGTCCGATTCATCTGAAAATTTCAGGGCAGATAGATCTTGACCTGATAAACAAATTTACCCCGTCAGATTTGCTTTAAATGCTTTGGTTTCAGAGATATAAGCCAAAATCTTCATTTTACCCCTATGTTCTATTTTTAGCCATGGCGGCCATCTTGGTTGGTTGACTGGGTCACAGGACACATTTTTTAAACTAGATACCGCAATGATGATTGTTGCCAAGTTTGGTCAAATTTGACCCAGTAGTTTTAGAGGAGAAGATTTTTGTAAAAGTTAACGACGACGGACAACGACGACGACGGACGCCAAGTGATGAGAAAAGCTCACTTGGCCCTTTGGGCCAGGTGAGCTAAAAATATGACACGTGAGAAAAAAAATTAAACTCATGTATGTTAACAGATCATGGAATTAACATTAATCTTATAGAAAAAACTAAAATACATCACCCAAGAAAAAATAAATGGAGACCAAGATAATCTAACTCAAAAATGCAAAGAAAAAAAACGAATACCCCATGAATCCAATGTTAGGTCAATGTCAGAAAAATATCAACTTTTTTGTATGAGGCTTTGAAACTAGAGGCTCTAAAGAGCCTGTGTCGCTCACCTTGGTTTATGTGCATATTAAACAAAGGACACAGATGGATTCATGACAAAATTGTGTTTTGGTGATGGTGATGTGTTTGTAGATCTTACTTTACTGAACATTCTTGCTGCTTACAATTATCTCTATCTATAATGAACTTGGCCCAGTAATTACAGTGGAAAATATTTTGTAAAATTTTTTAAAAATTTACAAAATTTATTAAAATTGTAAAAAATTGACTATAAAGGGCAATAACTCCTTAAGGGGTCAATTGACAATTTTGATCATGTTGACTTATTTGTAGATCTTAATTTGCTGTACATTATTGCTGTTTACAGTTTATCTCTATCTATAATAATATTAAAGATAATAACCAAAAGCTGCAAAATTTTCTTAAAATTACCAATTCAGGGGCAGCAACCCAACAATGTGTTGCCTGATTCATCTGAAAATTTCAGGGAAGATAGATCTTGACGTAATGAACAATTTTATCCCCGTCAGATTTGCTCTAAATGCTTTGGTTTCAGAGATATGAGCCAAAAACTGCATTTTACCCTATGTACTATTTTTTAGCCATGTCGGCCATCTTGGTTCGTGGGCGGGGTTATCGGACACATTTTTTAAACTAGATACCCTAATGATGATTGTGGACAAGTTTGGTTAAATTTGTCTTAGTAGTTTCAGAGGAGAAGATTTTTGTAAAAGATTACAAAAATTTACGAAAAATGGTTAAAAATTGACTATAAAGGGCAATAACTCCTTAAGGGGTCAACTGACCATTTTGGTCAAGTTGACTTATTTGTAGATCTTACTTGTAGATCTCAACATTATTGCTGTTTACAGTTTATCTCTATCTATTATCATATTCAAGATAATAACCAAAAACGGCAAAATTTCCTTAAAATTACCAATTCAGGGGCAGTAACCCAACAACAGGTTGTCCGATTCATCTGAAAATTTTAGGGCAGATAGATCTTGACCTGATGAACAATTTTATCCCCATGTCAGATTTGCTCTAAATGCTTTGGTTTCAGAGATATAAGCCAAAATCTACATTTTACCCCTATGTTCTATTTTTAGCCATGGCGGCCATCTTGGTTGGTTGGGCAGGTCACCGGACACATTTTTTTAACTAGATACCCCAATAATGATTGTGGCCAAGTTTGGTTTAATTTGGCCGAGTAGTTTCAGAGGAGAAGATTTTTGTAAAAGTTAACGATGACGGACAACGACGACGACCGACGACGGACGCCAAGTGATGAGAAAAGCTCACTTGGCCCTTTGGGCCAGGTGAGCTAAAAAAGGGAAGGGCAAAAGCTAGAAAGCACATTAACTGTTTTATGCCTAATACAAAACAATTGACATTTTTCTGACAATGTTCTAATGACTGTTCCTGTAAAACATACATGCTACCCAATGCTCTTTGAAAATAACATTCCCATCCTTATAAATAATTTTAAAGACCTGAATGCATAATATTTCACACCCATCAAAAGAGGCAAATTCAAATCCCCTTTTCCGGGTCCTAATATTGTGTTTAAAATGCAGTTAAAAAGTGTTTATTATTGTCATATAAAAAATTAACAGAAAAATAAAACTCATTTTTAATCTCTAAAGGAACCCCTGTTTTAGAAGAAAAGTTAGTGACAAGAAATTGTCATTTAACAGAATATCAATTTATTACTACATTTAGATTTTTCTATTACATTTATTCACACTTTTATATCGAACATCTTCTACATAATGAAACAGCTGTACCAAATCAGGTTCTTATCAATCGTTTGATGTGTTTGAGCTTTTGATTTTGCCATTTGTTAATAATTTAATTTTGGATGTAACGCGTCTTCTGATTGGCTGACGTTGTTTTGTTTATCAGCTCATAGACATAATTTTGTCATGTGACCGTGACGTCATCAACGTTTTTTCATGGTTTACTCCGGTTTAAAATGGAATTAAGAATTAAATTATAAGAAATGACTGTAATATTTTTTCTGTCTATTCGAAATAACATAAAAAATGTGGTGCACACTTTAAAATAATCCGCTACGCGGGTTATTCAGTGTGCATCACATTTTTGATGTTATTTCTTCATAGACAGAAAAAATATTACAGTCATTCCTTAAATGGATTTTCCGTTTTGAATTTTCCTTGGAGTTCAGTATTTTTGTTATTTTACTTTTTATGTATTGACACCTGTGTTGTTGAATAATGTATATATTGCCCTCTAGATGACTTTTGTTATTTTTTAAACTGGGTTGCTGTCATATTGGTGTCTTCTTTAATTTATATAAAACTTGATTTTGAAATTCAGATTCAGATGGTTCTTAACGATTTTCAGCTATTGTATATCAGCAGGTGTTTAACAAGATGGGATATTATTTTATTTTTCTAAAATCTATTTTCAGCAATTTAAAAATCCTCTTTTATTGTTATGCAAAAGAAAGGATATGGTTTTTTAATTTATAAAACAAAATCCCAATTTTACATCATGTAATTCACAATCAGAACTCAACACCTCACTGCAAGTTTCAAATGACTAATAATAAATAATGAGCTAGCTCCTATAATAACAGTCCACATTAAAAAATGCTGTGTTTAGAGGAGAAATAACACATATAAATTTTTCAGTCCAACAAAAAGGAGCAAGCACCTTACCATCAGACCAAGATTGTCTTTAACACTAACACCAGTTTAGAAGATCTTCATGAAAATCTTCCAAAAAATACTTTGGATAACAGGACGCAATTTCTATTTGATACTTCTTAGAAAAACTCATTAAACTTGTATGTCCTAAAACACTTACCCCCAGAGACAATAACTCTAGTCTCTTCACTGGAACCAACACCAGCAGCATTTTCAGCGGTACATACATAATTCCCATTGTCATTAAAGTCAGCCCTGTTTATCATGAGAGATGGTGCATTAACAGTAGATCCACTGTAGTCAGCATCCATCTCCAGTTCAGTTCTACCTCCATTGGATACTTTGTACCATGTGACCTTTGTGTGAGGGGGATTTGAGTCCACATCACAATCCAATGTCACAGACGTTCCATATTTAACAGGGTATCTGGGTGACAATACTCTGACAGTAGGTATAGCTAAAGTGAATAAATCAAATTTTAAGTAAATACAGAAAATTTTGCGTTACTGTTATTCTTGCATAAAAATTAGATAGAATAGGTTTTGCAAAAATAAATAATACTTCAAATTTGAATTTTGATAGCATTATTTGTATGCATTATTTTCAGAAATAAAATTAATCTCCCGTTTGTGTCCGTTGTTAAACAATCCCAATAATAAATTCTTAAATTTTCTGAATTTTCGGTAATCATGTTAATATGATATGGCAATTCTAGCTAGTTGAAATGTATTTCTCTATTTTTTCACTATTTTCACATTTCCCACACGATTGTGAAAAATTGTTCTCCTCACTAGTGAAAAAACTGTTCTCGGCAAATGATTGGTCAAAATTTAATTATGACGTCAAATTTTCTTGTGGTTTCTTCTGAATTTCCTATTGTAACGCCATGAAAAAAAGGCGACTATGCCTGATGGCGTCACATATAAAGAACACAAACTTTCTGTAAATCTTTGAACAGGAAGGATAAAAGTCATTAGGTAAACAGATTTCACCACTATAACTCGTGTATTAGGATATTTCTCCACTCTCAAAGTTAAATTTTAATTATTTAAAAAGCTTGGCAAGCCTCACGCTTTAAATATTGAAATTTAACTGTCTCGAGTGGAGAAATATCGAAACACACTTGTTGCAGTGGTGGAATCTATATATCTTCACTATTTACCAAATTGCTTTAAGAAGATTTAGTTTTTATTAGACAGGTTATTAGGTTATAGAGGTTAATTTCTGCAAAGGTCATCAGATAATGTGAATTCGGAAATTAATTTGTGCATTCATTATTAAGAATCACTGAAGAAATGCAACATCTAATTACTGGAATAATTTTGCATTAATTGAAACATCACAATAATTTCTGATTGTACAGTTATCACTACTTGTGTGAGATATATAGATTCCACAACTGCAACAAGTGTATTACGATATTTCTCCACTCGAGACAGTTAAATTTTAATATTTAAAGCGCGAGGCTTGCCGAGCTTTTTAAATAATTAAGATTTATCTGTTGAGAGTGGAGAAATATCGTAATAGACGAGTTACAGTGGAGGAATCTGATTCTCTAATGATTTTTATCCTTCCTTTACAAAGATTTGAGGAAAGTTGTGTACTTTAGATGTGACGTCATCAGGCATGGTCGCCTTTTTTCATGACGTCACAATAAGATAATTCAGAAGAAAACAAGAAAATTTAACGTCACAATTAAATTTCAACCAATCATTTGCAGAGAACAGATTTTTCACTAGTGAGGAGAAATATTTTTCTCACACCGGTCAGGAAATGTGAAAAAAGCACAAAAATTAGAGAAGTGGTTGTGTATACAGCAATGAGACAGAAACTCACCATCAAAGATATAAACCTAAATAACTGTGTGAGATGTGGTTGTGTATACAACAATGAGACAGAAACTCACCATCAAAGAAATAAACCTAAATATTGTAAATTCAGAAATTTTTGCAATGTTCTAATTATTTTGAAAACTGAGATGGAAGAGGAATCGTAAAAATATAAAATTGCATTTCAACTTCTGACAGCATCATTTGTATGCAATATTTGGGTAAATCGCAATAATTATTCTTGCATTTTTGTCTTTTTTTTCAAAAATCACAATAATAAATGCACCAAAAAATGTCTGTACAGTATACATGAAATAATTCTCACTGGGCATTAAGGTGGTACCCAACACCTTGACTAATATTAATTTGGCTCGTTTAATTTTCCTAAAATTTTGACAAAATGTTTACTTTGACCCTTTGACAAAAATATAAAAATTTCAAATAATTTGAACCAACCACTTTATCAGAAAAATTTCACTGGTTATATAGCAGTTTGACAAACACTAATTTTGATCATTGAGAAGCTTAATATTTCCATAACAGTACAACGTGATTAAAACTTTTAGTTTATTTTTACAGAGTTATCTCCCTGTAGTGTTAGGTACCACCTTAAGCAAGCAATAATCAATCAGTTATATGGATTTTTTCTTTTTTTTATTGCACATTCCTGATAATTGTATAATTTGCACATGTATAAAAGGAATCTAGTGCATAACCATCATAACTTTAAAAAATACTTACTGGGCCTTGGTCTCATGGGTGGAGGGTTCTTTGCCACTGAAATAAAAAAATATAATTAAATGCTGGACTTCTCTTTGGTAATAAAACCTGTTAGTACAAGTGGCCTTGAGAGCTACAGTCTGTGCCAAACTGTTTTAGGGTTTGTCTGACCGAAAAAGAAATTTGAAGTTTTTATACTATATTTTCAACTAAAAAATCTGAAAATTTCTGTCCGACTGAATGACTTTTTGTCTGACATTTTGTTGGTCAGACAGAGATTGGGATACACTGGAGTTAAGGACACGTTTATGTAAAACACTGGATAAAAGCACCTCACAATAATATTAACACATTCTGAGAGATAACAATGATAACCTTTAAATTAATTCTTTTATTCCTCTTGAGTGTTTATGGGTGATAAAAAGAATTAAATTCCAGCTAGAATATGCATTACTTGTTAATCTCATATCATCTGCATCAGATTTTGATTAGACTAACCGAGTTAGAGACTGAACAAGCAGAGTCAGATACTGTATGTTTAAATCTGAAAAGTCTGAGATTTCCCATCTTCGGACTCTTTCTGGTAATACTGTTAAGGTTTTGCAGTGCAAAGGGGACAAGTCCCAGTCTGGCACTCTCTGGTGATACTGTTATTGTCAAGTTACAGTAAATGGGTCAGATTGCTGTCAAATTTTGCATTCAGCTGCAGTATGTTAATGTAAAAAGAAAATTGAAAAAAAAAATAATGCATCTATCTCTTATTTTTTTTTAGATATATGTATACCAGAATGAATTCTTTCAATATAAGTCAACCTGTTTATAGGAAGATCATAAAATCTAAGAAATAATCTGAAATTTCTCTGAAAAACATCAAATCTCTAAAAATAATGCATATATATAGTTTTTTCTTAAAAATGAATATGTTGAAAAAATTTGTACATACGGTATATATCAAAATAGTTGTCAAACTAATATGTATTGATAGTAATGCAATTTCATACAAAATAATCATTGATCTATCACAAGAAGTTCTTATTAAACTAACTGAAGCAGAAAACTTAACAATTGTCGATGCCTTCGATGCTGTAGCCATCACCTGAAAAGCAATCCCTAAAAACATATAGTTCAGTCAAAATGCAGGTACATAGAAATATGGCATATTTTTATGCTGATTTATCAGCTCAAACAATAGCTTGCCCTTGTGGGTTTGCTTAATATTCTCGCCGAAAAATTCACTCTTATAAAAGAAAATGCCATTATCCTATATGTAGCTTGTGTTACTTACTTCCTAAGAGATCTGCATAAATCTGGGGAGGAACTTCCGCCAGTTCCCTCTCACTCCGTGTCAAATACTGGTAAGTCCTTAGTGGATGAGATGAAGTCTCATCAAGTTCTATGCGATCGTTAACATTTAAACCAACAACATATAACTGGATTCCGTCTGTCTCCGCTCTCTCTGCCGCTCGCCAAGCATCATTTGTACTCAAACTCTTATCCTGACCAGTTATCAACAATATAAAGTTTCTGGCATAGTCACGATCACCTTGGTCAGGTCTGAACATCTGGGTTCTAGCAGTATCTATGGCTTGTGCTGTGTTTGTTATTCCACCTCTGTATCTGACCTGATCAACAGCATTTTTGACATCACCACTGGATTGATAGTCCTTGAGATTGAATTGAACATTAGAATCTGTGCTATATCTCAAGACACCTATTCTGAATTCTTCATTATCTATACTAATTGTATCTGCCAGATTTTTAGTAAATGTTGTCATCCAATCAAAGTATTCTTGAGAAACAGAAGAATCAAGGATAACCACCAAATCATATCCAGTTTCTCTTGGTTTTTCTGTTGTGGCAACTGTAATAAAAATAATTTTTAAAATCTGAGTTAGATAGTTTTCAGTCTGTTTCAAAGAACATTTTCAGGAATATTATTAAGTACTTTTCAGGGCACACGCTTTTCTTTTTGAAACTGATCTTTAGGGAGAAGTAGTTAGACTTTAACCAAATGTCAGTTAATGTATATTTTTCTCTTATGGGATCATTATTCTTCTGTCAGCTGTGTCTATTCGTGCGTTCGTAGTTTTTATCCAAGAATACAGATTTCAGTCATAGTTGGTCCGTAACCCATCCATGTTTCGCATAAAATATTACAATGGCAAACAAGGAAAAATTTACAGAAATAAATAATGTTTAACAAGCGATTTGGAAAGGAATGTGACGTTCTTAATGAAAAAAAATGGATGAAGTATTAACTAAAAGGCAATTTTTATAACTTTCTAATGTAGTTACAAATTTATTTTGCAGAAAATCATAATTTTTTTTATGCCAGTCAATCATTAACTCATGATATAAATAATAATTTTATGATTTCAACTATATATGTCAATTGAGGAATCCTATGCATGTTATGGTCACATTAGAAACAAATGTACTATCATGATTAAAAAAGTAAATTTTCTCAGCCTTTATCAACAATTACAGTCAACGAAGAAATTGAATTTGTGGTGAAGACTCCAATGGTTTCAAAATTTATTTATATTTTTTAGGGGGACAAATGATATGTACAGTACACCTGTGCTTTTTTCACGTAAAGGTAACTAAGCCATAGACTGAATTTTTTTGTTTGATAGCATTTTCTGAAAATTGTGCCCATCAATCTCAAACTACATCCTTGCAAAAACTGGTCAAATCCTTGCTATTTCTTAAACCTCCTTTACAAAAACATTTAAAATCAAGAGAACTTCAGTTCCTGGGAAATTTATAAACACTAACACCTCAAAAACCAGCACACAGATATATGTTGGGTTTTTTTTTTTCTTTTGCTAAAATTTTCTTCTTTGTCAACTTTCTTTCAATATATTTAATAACTTCATGAACTACATTGGAATCTTGTTTTTTAAACCACAAACTAACTTTCTTAAACATTAAGTTGCATTACCTGGACAAAATGCTTCAAACACTCGTTCACTCAAAACAGACAATTCATCAAAACTTTGTACATTAAAGCTGTTTTCACTTGAAGGTACTGAAGCTATTCTATCCAACTCCCTTGTATCTCGTAATCCAATACCAATAGCATATATATGGATACCAGCTTCTCTGGACTTCTCTGCCTCTGGAATGGTCCTTCTGGAATTAATATTGGATACACCATCAGTCAGAATTAAACAAATGTCTGGAACACCTAGACGGTCGCCATTTCCAACAGAAAACATTTCTTCTCTCATTCTTTGTAAACTATCAGCTGTGTTCGTGCTGCCATAACGATAAGGAATGTTATCGATTGCGTCAAGTATTTCTTGGGAGGTAGAGAAGCTATTGAGGTAGAATTCAACTTTAACAGATGTACTGTATGATAATATACCAACACGCACATTACCGGAATCAAGGTCAGCATTTCTGAGGAAGTCTTTGCAGAAATCTTTCATTTTATCGTAGTTAGCACTTCCTACACTGGTTGAAGAATCAAGAATAATAACCATATCTACTTTAGCTAATGCACATCCTCCTGAAATATAGACACACATTGTGTAAATGAAAATCTGAGTATAAAAGATGGATTTTGGCATTAAATGTCAAAGAATTATAACTATGTGTACATCTGCATGGCTGTTTAAAGTCTAGTGGCAAATAAAAAGTATACTAAGGACAAGAACATGTTAGTGTGATATAAATATGAACACTGTCATACAGGTGAGAGGTTTGGCGCTATAAAATCAGGTTTAATCCACCATTTTCTACATAAGAAAATGTCTGTACCAAGTCAGGAATATGACAGTTGTTGTCCATTCATTTGATGTGTTTGTGCTTTTGATTAGGGACTTTCCGTTTTGGATTTTCCTCGGAGTTCAGTATTTTTTTTATTTAACTTTGTACTAGACTGACAGGCTAAGATGTATTTTTAACATGCTAGTTTACAAGGTGACAGTCAGAAAGACATGTCACCCTACCTGGTCATGTGAGTCCTTAATGCCTGCACATCTTGAAATATAAAAGATAAATAAATTAAATACTCAGCCTATTCAAAACAAAATTGGGTGAAAGAAAATCCTTGTATTTAACAAGAGTGCACACGCTGAAATGTCTCGCCTTCTTTACTAATCATTGATATTATGTTGATAGTCCTAAATATAAAGCTTTATTACAACTGTCACATAAACTTAACATTAACCAAGTAAACTAAACATTGACCAATGAACCATGAAAATGAGGTAAAGGTCAGATAAACCATGCTAGGCAGGCATGTACAGCTAACAATTCTTCCATACAACAAATATAGTTGACCTATTGCTTACAGTTTAAGAAAAACAGACCAAAACACAAAAACTTAACACTGAGCAATGAACCTTGAAAATGAGGTCAAGGTCAAATAAAACCTGTGTGACTGACATATAGATCATAAAATATTTCCATACACCAACTATAGTTGAACTATTGCATATAGTATTAGAAAAAAAGTCTAAAACTCAAAAACTTAACTTTGACCACTGAACCATGAAAATGAGGTCACGGTCAGATGACACCTGCCAGCTAGACATGTACACCTTATAATCATTCCAAACACCAAATATAGTAGACCTATTGCATACAGTATAAGAAAAACAGACTATCACACAAAAACCTAACTATAACCACTGAACCATGAAAATGAGGTCAAGGTCAGATGACACCTGCCAGTTGGACATGTACACCTTACAGTCCTTCCATACACTGAATATACTAGACCTATTGCTTATAGTATCTGAGATATAGACTTGACCACGAAATTTTGACCTTGTTCACTGATCCATGAAATGAGGTCAAGGTCAAGTGAAAACTGTCTGACGGGCATGAGGACCTTGCAAGATACACACATACCAAATATAGTTATTCTATTACTTATAAGAAGAGAGAATTTAACATTACAAAAAATCTTAACTTTTTATTCAAGTAGTCACTGAACCATGAAAATGAGGTCAAGGACATTGGACATGTGACTGACGGAAACTTTGTAACATGAGGCATCCATATACAAAGTATGAAGCATCCAGATCTTCCACCTTCTAAAATATAAAGCTTCTAAGAAGTTAGCTAACGCTGCCGCCGCCGCTGCCGCCACCACCGGATCACTATCCCTATGTCGAGCTTTCTGCGACAAAAGTCGCAGGCTCGACAAAGACTAGAGGCTCTAAAGAGCCTATGTCGCTCACCTGCATCTTCAACCAAGGCCATTTTAATTAAAGATCAGCATTACAGGGAAACAACTCTATTAAGAGTTAATTGACAATTTCAGTATTGTTTGACATATCTATAGATCTTATCCTGCTGATAATTTTTCCTTTTTAAAGTTTCTATTTATCTATAATAGTTTTCAAGATGATAGGCAAAAAATACCAAAAACATGCAAGAAATTATCATTAAAGGGCAATAACTCCAAAACGAGTCGACTGAAGATTTCGGCCATTATAGCTCATTTGTAGATCTTGACTTGCTGATCATTTGTGCTATTAAAAGTTTTTACCTAGCTATTACAGTTTTCAAGATAATAGGCAATAATGGGAAAAATCATCAAGGCAATAACTCCTATAAGGAGGCAACGTTTTTGGACATGTTGACTAATTTGTAGATCTTGTTATGTTGATCATTTTTGCTTAGTATTGTTTCTATCTACCTATTATAGATTTTAAGATATTAGGCAAAAATGCCAAAAAATGGTGAAATTCGTCATTTAAGGGCAATAATTCCTATAAGAAGTCGTCTGACAGTTTTGACGAACAGAAACAATAGGTAGAATTTAACATTCTGAAAATTTTTGCTCATATCAGAATTTCTCTTTCTAAAGTGGTTTTTAAAAATTAAAGGCAAAACTTTAAAGGCATATTGTTCTTTGTGGCCAAGTTTGGTTAAATTTGTCCCAGTAGTTTCAGAGATTTTTGTAAAAGTAAACATACGACATACGCAAAGTGATGAGAAATGCTTACCTGGTCAAAAGGCCAGGTCAGCTAAAAAAGGATAGATTTTGAGAAAAAAGGTATTTTGGTCTAAGCTTCTTAATAATGTTATAAAAAATGAAAATTTTAGAAAACAAGCAATTTTTTTTTTCTGGAGAAAATTTATATTCTGACCTATCATTGCCTATAATAGAAGGAAGCTTAAGGAAACTTGCATATATATTTGTTTTGTGAAATTCAGTCCATTTGCAAATATTGTTGTTACAACCCAGACAATAATGTGTGAATATACTTTTTTTCATTCTTAATGAATTAAAAAATTATTTAAACAAATCTTACCGGCAGGTGTTGTTGGTAATGTAATAGGAACTGAAAATAGATAAATAAAGACAAGTTTATAAAACTTACTGGTATCAACATTATGCCTGAAATGTTAATCACATAAAAAATACATCTATTAAGGCAAATAAAAAAAATATATGTCTGTTTACGGTTACCCAACCGACCCTACTTTTGAGCGCCGACCCTAAGTCATTTTATTTCCGTTGTAAAGTGAAAAATAAACTGAACTCGTGTCAAAAAGTGAAGTTAGTGTTGCCAATAATATAAATCAATTGCCTGATACATCCCAATGCTCACAATTGTGAATATGATAGCTGTTTTAAGGAAAATCGCGACTCGTGTGATGAAATAAACACCTTGCCGCCATTTTTTTCTTACCAATAACTAAGGGAAATAATCCAATCATTAAATATACGGGTAAACTCGGCCCATGATCAACTCGGACCACGACAAGACGAGACCGCATGACTCAAAATTATGTCACAAAAAATAAAATGAAAAAATAAAATAAAATGGAAATACCGACCTACCTACCCTATTTTTTTAAAGTATGTAACCTTAAACAGACATATATTTTTTTTTGGCCTAAATAGGAGTAATACCACCATTGTTTCCCCCCCCCCCCCCCCCCCCCCCATTAGTCTTTGTTCAATTGGCACTTTTTCAAAAAATTGTGCAAAAATTATCTTTGTTTCAAATAAGGAAATACTTGGCATGAGTAAAGTCTAATCCTGTCCTGTACTACAGACAAAATTTCACATAACATTTTTTTCTGCAATGAAATGCAGAGTTAACTTCATACAACTGTCAAATGCAAGGGAATATTTTTTTTTACCCTTTTCATATCAAACTAGACGTGATGTACTGTGATTTAGTGGTATTACATCTAAATATTAGGAAGATAAAGACCATCCTTTTTTTAAATCAAAAATAGTAAAAAGAAAATTAACAAGAGTTCACACGCTGAAATGCCTGCTTTACTGACCATTGATTTTATGTTGAAAGTCTTAAAGATTAAGGTTTAACTAAAAGCATCACAGAAATTCAGGTCAGATTATGTTGTCAGACAGACATATACACCTTACATTTTTTTTATATACAAAATATATTTGACCTATTGCTTATGATAATTGAAAAAGAAAAAAAACAAACTAAACATTGACCTATGAACCATGAAAATGAGGTCAAGGTCAGAGGATATCAGCTGCCAGACAGCCAAATAAACACCTTACAATCATTCCATACATCAAATATAGTTGACCTATGGTTTATAGTACTCGAAAAACAGACCAAAACACAAACAACTTAACATTGACCAATGAACCATGAAAATGACGTCAATGTCAGATGATACCTGCCAGACAGACATGTACACGTTACAATCCTTAAGCTTCCATACACCAAATACAGTTGACCTATTGCTTATAGTTTAAGAAAAACAGACCAAACCACCAAACTTAACATTGACCAATGAACCACGAAAATGAGGTCAAGGTCAGATGATACCTGCCAGACTGACATGAACCCATTAGTCATTCCATACACCAAATATAGTTGTCTTTTGCTAACAGTACTTGAAAAACAGACCAAACCACCAAAACTTAACATTGACCAATGAACCATGAAAATGAGGTCAAGGTCAGATGATACCTGCCAGACAGACATGTACATGGCAACACCTTACAATCATTCAATTTATACACTAAAAGTACCCATTACAGTCATTCCATACACCACATAGAGTTGACCTGCTGCTTATAGTATTTGAGAAACAAGCAGTCGTTGAACCATGAAAATGAGGTCAAGGACATTGGAAATATGACAGACAGAAACTTCATAACATAAGGTATCTGCAGACAAGATATGAAGCATCCATGTCTTCTACCTTCTGAAATATAAAGCTTTATACAAATAGTTTACGCCGCTGGATAGTAATATCTATGTCTTGAATACTGCGCCGAAAGGCAAGACAAAAAGTAACACCGCTGCATTTCAGAGATCCTTGCTATTCCACAAAAAAATTTAGTTTTATTGAATGTGCGTTTAGGCACATAGTCACTTCCATCCCATATTGAGAAAATTGTTGAAACAATTGATGCTATATTTTGATACAAAGCTGAAAGATCATATTATGAGCAATTGTTGTGTTGTATTTCTTGAGAACTCATCAGATAGGTCAAATCAAATTGTTTACTCAGAAAAAACAGCATAAAACATTGATAGATTTGTCTTCCAATGTAATTTATTATATGTTCAGGACTATACATACTTTGAATAATAGTACTTACTGGGTGCAGATAATCTTGGCCTTGGTCTCATAGGTGGAGGAGTTTTTGGCACTGAAAAGAAAAAGAGGCAACTAAAATGTCATTCATAACTCTGTGTAGTGTATATGTACATACCATTAAAAGAAGATTTGGGATATGAAACTATGTAAATTTGATAATAATAAATAAAGATATTGCTTTTAGCTAGACAATATGTATCTACATAAAAAACAACATTTAAAGATTGATAGATATAAATGTCTTTCAGTGTAATGTATGTATGTTCTGGGCCATTTTTAAATATTTGCTAGCCAGGTGAAATGTCATTCTTAACTCAGTATGGTGATTTTGCATCACCTCATGTACAATGTGTCTTTTTTCTTGTTAGGAATTTTTATACCCTGCCACGTCCGGTCTGTGTTTTTGTTTAGATGTTTTTCTGCTTTGAATCGATCTGATTAGTTAAGCACTTTTCAACTGATTTTTATAGTTTGTTCTTATGTTGTGTTGTAACACCTCTGTCCCAGGTTAGGGGATGGTTGAGTGCACACAAACATGTTTAACCCCGCCACATTCTTTTTATGTGCCTTGCCCATGTCAGGAGCCTACAGTTCAATGGTTGTCATTGGTTCATGTCTGTCCTATTTGTTTTTCGTAAATTGTTTTGTTATAAATTAGGCCATTAGTTTTCTCAATTGAATTGTTTCATATTTTTCATGGCGGGTCTTTTATAGCCGACTATACGGTATGTGTTTTTCTCATTATTGAAGGCCTAACTGTTGCCTAAAATTACTTACATCCACTTCATTTGAACTCTGGTGGATAGTTGTCTCATTGGCAATCATACCATGGCCACATCTCCATATTTTTATATGATTAAATGGAGATTTGGGATATAAAACATATTTAAATTTGAAATAAATGAATATTAAGATTTTGTTGTTAGCTGAACAATATGTATCAAAAGAAAAATAATGAAAAATTACTAGTGCAAAGTCAGCAAACATATTATTGATAATTTCCCCTGAGGTTGTGTGTTTTGACCTAGCTTATGGCAAGGTGGGTCATACTCAGACATTAATTGACCAGGACCAGTTGCCCGATTTCCTGCTGAATGTTAATGTTATCTGAAGGGTTCCATTATACAGCCAAGTGTATTAAAAGTGGTCCTTAACACAATCAATCAATCAATCTTAAGTTTAGTATGTTTACTTCTGGTTTTAAATTTGATATATTGTAAATACCTGTAGAAATAGTCAAACTGACAAAATCTTTGATACATATGTACACATACAACATGTACAAAAGAGTGACCTCCATTGAGGGATCAAGCAGTTGCAGATTGACGTGAGGCTTAGAGGGTGTATAACAAGGGTCCGGAAACGGTCATATTTGCCAGTCATGTCCTAAGATGAAACTATTTGTCCTAAACGAGTAATTGGGATTTAGGACAAATTTTATTTTTTTACAGAAGTAATTTCGGTCATTTCATTGACTCAATGTTTGAAATCGGATTTCGTAATCGCCATTTTGCACTTGTGATCACTTGTTTTTGTTTTTGAGAAATTAACCATCTTGAGTCATTAAAATCATTTCAATTTTAGACTGTTGCCTTCCCTAAACTGTCCTTCATGGTAATGGTAAGACATTTACTTAGTAAATGCGATGAAACAGCAATACAAGTTCGTTATGTTCGTTGATGCTATGAATATAGTCAAGTTGATATCGACAATTTGAAAAGGGGCACCAACTTTTCAAACATCTCAAAATGACCGAAATTGTCTGGAAAAATTTTCGGATCCTTGGTGTATAACCACTTTCTTTGATGATTTTCAGCATTTTTTATACCATTGGTCAATAAAACATGTAAAATGCTCCATGCAGCTTGATTCGACAGCAGAGGTCGAACCCTGAACAGTTAGGGCAAGTATGGACACAACATTAAAGTTTGATACAGCTCTGGATTTGGATTGTGAATAAATATTTGACATAGCATAAGTTTCTGACAAAGAATGAATGTGGTCAAAGAGCTGAAAGTTTTGAAATTGGACTTTTACCTATTACGGTCCTATATCCAAAACAGGGATTGAAGTTAAAATTTTGGCATGGTAGCCCACAGCTTTAATTTTGTAGCCCACATATACAGTCCTATACAAGAAAAGCAGAAATTTAAGTAGCCCACACCAAATTTGAGGGGCCATTGGCGAGTAGGCCCCTGCTAATTTCAAACCCTGCAAAATCTAAATACGCACTTAGATTCAGAATATCAAAGAACCCCATATGTTCAATTTTTGTTGAAATCAAACAAAAGTTTTATTTTGGACCCGGATTTAGACCAACTTGAAAACTTGGACCAAAATCAAAAATCTAAATACATGTATAGATTTAGAATATCAAAGAACCCCTTGAACTTATTTTATGATAAAATCAAAAAAAGTTTAATTTTGGACTTTGTGGACCAAATGAAAACTGGTCCCAAAATCAAAAATCTAAATACAGTTTGATTCAGCATATCAAAGAACCCCAAGAATTCATATTTTTTTTCAAATTAAACAAACAAAGTTTAATTTTGGACCCTTTTGGCCTTAAAGTGAACAAATTTGAAAGAGGGTCCAAAAATGTAAAAATCTAAATACATGGTTAGATTCAGCATATCAAAGAACACCAATTGTTCAATATTTGATGAAATCAAACAAAATTTAATTTTGGACCCTTTGACCACTTCAAATATGGGGCCCAAAATCTTAAATCTAAATACACGGTTAGATACAGCATATTAAAGAACCACATGAATTCAAGACTTTGAATTAAACCAAATTGAAATTGATCAAGAAATAAGCAATTTATAAAAAGTATAAGAAAAGTATTGTAAAAAAAAAGATTAAAAACAATTCCAAATATTATTCCTCATTAATAAAAAAGACTTTGCATTGTTTCTGATACAGAATGAATGTGGTCTAAGTACTGAAGTAATTTAAAATTGGACAGTTACCAATTATGGTCCAATATTCAAATTCTAAATACATGGTTGGAATCAGCATATCAAAGAACCCAAAAAATTAAATTTTTGAAGAAATCAAACAAAGTTTGAGTTTGGACCCTTTGGACCTCAATGTGGACCAATTTGATAACGGGACCCAAAATCTAAAATCTAAATACAGTAAGATTCAGCATATAAAAGAACCCCGCATATTCAATTTTAATTCAGTTTTTGTTGAAATCCATGCAAAGTTTAATTTTGGACAAACTTGAAAACTGTGTTAAAAAATCAAAAATCTAAATATATGCTCTAAGATTCAGCATATTAAAGAACCCCATAAATTCAAAAAAAAGTTTTAATTTTGGACTGTTTGGACCTTAATGTGGACCAATTTGAAAATAGGTCTCAAAATTAAAAATCTGAATACACGGTTAGATTCAGCATATCAAAGAACACTCATAATTCAATTTTTGATGTAAACTAACAAAGTTAAATTTTGGACCCCAATTTGGACCAACTTGAAAACTGTGCCCAATATCAAAAATCTATCTACATGTACCCACTTAGATTCAGCATACGTACATGTATCAAAGAACCCCAAGAATCTTTTTTTTTAAATCAAACAAAAAAGTTTAATTTTGGACCCTTTGGACCTTAATGTGGACCAATTTTGAAGACAGGCCTAAAAAATTAAAAACTAAATACACGATTAGATTCAGCATATCAAAGAACACCAATTATTCAATATTTGATGAAATCAAATAAAGTTTAATTTTGAATCCTTGGACCACTTCAAATATGGGGGCCGAAAATCTTATATCTAAATACACGGTTAGATACAGCATATTAAAGAACCACATGAATTCAAGACTGAATTAAACCCCATCTAAACTGGTCAAGAAATAAGCAATTTAAATATTTACAAAGACAAAGTATTACAAAAGTATTGTTTTTGACCCCTTTTTCCTTAACTGTTAAGGTCATAACCCCCAAAATCAATCCCAACCTTTCTTTTATGGTATAAAACCTTATGCCTCAATTAAATAGCAATTCATAGACTTGTACTCAAGTTATTGTCCAGAAACCAGAAAATCCTTTTCGACCCCTAATTCCTAAACAGTTTGGGCCATGACCCCCAAAATTAATTCCAACCTTTCTTCTGAGGTATGGAACCCTGTGGTTACATTTCAAAGAGATCCATACACTTATACACAAGTTATTGTCTTAAACAAGAAAAATGCTTGTTTTTGGCCCCTAATTACTAAACAGCTACCACAATAAACCCAAACATCAATCCCAACCTTCCTTGTGCAAAACCTTCATAGAGATCCATACACTTATACTCAAGTTATTGTCTGGGAACCAGAAAAATATTTGTCTTTGGCCTCTTTTTGGCCCATTATTACTTAACAGCTAAGACAATAACCCCCAAAATCAATCCCAACCTTCCTATTGTGGTATGGAACCTTGTGCTAAAATTTCATAGAGATCCATACACTAATACTAAAGTTATTGTCTACGAACCAAAATGTTTTTGAACGACAAATGTGTTTGGATGAGGACGCAGACATCACCATAACATTAAACAAAGGCAAAAATTTTGCAGTCGTATAAAAATTACTCCCCTTCCTTCAATCAGAAATTTAATTTTTTTTGGCATAAAATTTTCCAAATTTTCGCATTCCTATACAATTTTTATATATCCCTGGAACCATGTATCTGTTCTGTCAGGATCCTTAGTTTCAAAAAGTGAGCAACTATAACTTACTTGGAGGCAATGTTTCTCTAATTTTATCAGGAACTTCAAGTATCTCTCTTTCTGTTCTTGTTAGATATTGATAAGTAGACAGCGGGTGTGATGGCGTCTCATCTAACTCTGTTGTGTCATCTATTTCTAATCCTACAACATACAACTGTATCCCATCATCCTCGGCTCGCTCTGCTGCAGCCCAGGCCTCATTTGTACTCAGACTACGATCCTGGCCAGTCAATAAAATTATATAATTTCTTGCATATGCACGATCCCCTTTATCTGTTCGGAACATCTGTCTTGTGGCAACATCTATTGCATTTGCGGTGTTGGGCTCACCAGCTTTGTGTGTCATGGAGTCCACTTTAAATCTAGCATCTCTTGTTGTGTCATACGAATTCAAATCAAATTGAATGTCAGCATCTGTACTATACCGTAACAGACCTACTCTGTATTCCCCGTCTTCTATTCTAGCCTGTCTAACAAATCTACGTGCAAACTTCTGGAAGGATGCAAACTGTGTTGTGTCAACTGATGAATCGACTATAATTACAATGTCATAACCATGCAGTTCTTTAACAGGCTCATGTGTTGTTGCCACTGAAAGTATAAAATATAATATTACATTGGTCATGTTGGTTGCAATGAAATACTGTAAATTCAGAAATTATTGCGAGGTTTTTAATAATGCGAATAATGCTTCTGGCTGAGTATCTCAATAATAAGAACTCGCATTCTGATAACTGAAACATAGACCTTTATGCAGATTTTTTTCGAAAATCGCAAAAATTGCAATAATTAAAACTCGCATTTTCGTCTTTTCTTGAATAATCACAATAATAAATGCAAGCAATAATTTCTGAATTTACAGTAATGTGATATCTCAGTAAATAATGAAATCACATAATTTCACTCCTCTTATGTCATATGCATACAACCATGGGTGTTGTCAAGAAATTATTGATGGTGTTACATCAAAACGATTAGAGAATGCGTAGAAAAAAATAAAGTTCAGAGTTCTTGTATTTTCTACTTTATTTTCATAAAAAACGTTCATGGTATATGTAACAAAAAGAATGACTTATTTTGAGGCATCCATGGGTATAAGAAAACCACAAATTTCAAATGTTTAACAAAGTACACAAGTAATGAATCCAGAATTAAGCCGAACCATGAAAACAAATATCCACAAAATAATGAAAGAGATAGAACTTTTAAAAATAATTGATATTTATTATAAACCTATTAAAACTGGTGACAACATGGTGAAAATAGAGGCTCTAAAGTTAAAAGAGTCTGTGTTTATCACCTAGGTTTATGTGCATGTTAGAATATTAATCATGGCAAACTGGGAAATCTCCCCCTTTTTTATGAATAAAATCCTATAACTGGGAATCTTAATATCTAAAATTTATAATAATCAAAAGGGAGCTTACGTCAATAGATATAAACAATTCACCAAAGTTTCATGAAAATTGGTTAAAGCATTTTTGAGTTATTGTCAGACATGTTGACAACGGACGGACAACGGTATACCATAATACAGTCGCAAAAGGGCGTATAAAAATTGTCTATAAGGACACTAAATACTTTAAAGAAATGACCAAGGATTTCAGCAACATTGAATTACTTGTAGATCTTGCCTTGCAAATCATTTTCGCTGTTTAAAGTTTCTCTTTATCTGCTACAGTTTCAAAATAATAACCAAAAACCCCAAAAAAATAGTACTATCATCATTAAAGAGCAAAAACATCAATAAGGAGTCAAGTGACAATTTCCGCAATGTTTCCTTATTTTTCAGATTTTATTTTGCTGATCATATTTGCTGTAAAAACTTTCTCTCTATCTATCATGATAACAGGCAAAATTGAGAACAAAAATCGGTAAAATGCATCTTTTGTGGGCAATAACTCCTATAAAAAGTTGTCTGACAATTTAGATGTTAAGGTGGTACCCAACACCTTGACTAATATTAATTTAGCTCGTTTAATTTTCATAAAAATTTGACAAAATGTTTACTTTGACCCTTTGACAAAAATATAAAAATTTCAAAAAATTTGAACCAACCACTTTATCAGAAAAATTTCATTGGTTATATAGCAGTTTGACAAACACTAATTTTGATCATTGAGAAGCTTAATATTTCCTTAACAATACAACGTAATTAAAACGTTTAGCTGATTTTTACAGAGTTATCTCCCTGTAGTGTTAGGTACCACCTTAATACACAGTAGGTAGATCTCAACATTTTGAACATTTCCATTTCTGTCATGATTTCTCAATATAGCAGTTTTCAAGATAACAGACAAAACTTGCATTTTACACTTATGTTCTATATCTAGTAATATAGGCCATGTAAAGTGGCAGGCGGAGTCATCTGACATATTTTTTAAATTAATACCCCAATAATGATTGTGGACAAGTTCGTTTAAATTTGGCCCTGTAGTTTCAGAGAAGATTTTAAAAGTTAACGAATGATGACGAAAATGTATGACAGACACAAAGTGATGAGAAAAGCCCTTTTTTGAAGCTAAAGGGTAAGAAGGCAGGCAAATAATGGTATTTTTTCACAATGAAATGTTTAAACAAGAGATATCATGTGACTTCAATACTGCTTGTTCAATATGACTAAAAACAATTCAGATTAGGCACTTAAAATTATGATTAGGTAAATTTAGCAGGAACATGTATTTTTTTAGGCCTAAATAATTCCTTTACTGTGAATACCTAAACAAAACAACCAGTGTTCTCCCCAGGCCCTTAAAAGACCACGGGCCAGCGATGTATAATTTTTTAGTGTGGTTCTATTGGTCTTACCACGATGTATAATTTTTGTCCGTGGTGCTAAAATTTTCAGTTAAAAAATCGTAAATCGGTAAAGTTTTAAAAGACTTGTTAAACCTTTTCCGTGCGGTATAAAATTCCAAGTGAAATTTGATCAGTTCAAACCAGATTGTTTACACCACATGATCGATTTACCTTATTAAGTTAACCTTGTTGAATGGATTTAATCGATGTAATTAACACTTGTAACATGATTCTTTTGTGTTTTAATTAAGAGATCATAACTTTATGATCACAGATAACTATTTTATGGATTCACTCACCCCCAAGCGCTGACCTGTGACAAGTCGGCAAATACTTTGTACACAAACAGTGCCGATAGTTGTACACAGGATGGAACATTTTTGTACATATTAAATTGTTGGCTCATTACAGATAATTGACAATTATACATTTTTCAGTTCTTTATGAAGCACGTAGAACAAGTTTTCCTTGTCAGAAATATACGATTATCAAAATTCACAATGTCTGTTCTACATTAATCCATGGCCAAAATTATCTTTTATTATGACATAATTATTGCATGCTGAGAGTAGTTATAGTAGTCTCATTTGCATGATAGTCGGGTTTCAAACTTAAGTACCTGTCAACAAGTTATTTAAAGGGGACGGACATCTGTACATATCACATGACCCAGATAATCATGATAATTCAAGTAGAAAATTCAAGTTTATTTACAATTAATTGCAATCTATTTTTTGTCAACTATGAAACTTTCATTTAAGTACTTTAAATACCTGGACAGAAAGCTTGGAAAACTCTATCACTTAAAGCTGTTAATTCATCAAAACTTTGTACATTAAAACTGTTTTCTGATGCAGGGGGTGTAGCAATGGCATCCAATTCTCTTGTATCCCGTAAACCAATACCAACGGCATAAATATGAATGCCGTCATCTCGCGCTAGTACTGCTTCTGGAATGGTTCTTCTTGAATTGATATTGGACACACCATCAGTCAATATGATCACCACATTAGGGACATTGTCTCTGTCACCATTCCCTGAGGTGTATAGATTTGTACGCATTGTTTTCAACCCATCAGCTGTATTTGTGCTTCCATATCTATACGGAATATTGTCAATGGCATTAAATATGTCTTGTTTGGTCGAATGACTATTGAGATGAAACTCAACATTAACTCCTGTGCTGTACGATAATATACCGACTTTGACATTTCCTGAATCTATGTCTGCATTGGTTAGAAAATCTTTACAAAATTTCAGCATTTTTTTATAATTGGCATCTCCGACACTTGTTGATGAGTCCAGTATAATAACCAGATCAATTTTAGCACCAGCACAATCTAAAACATAAATAAATAGCTTTGTTATTGTACCTTCATATCAAAATACATTTGAAAGAAGATGTGGTATCATTGCCAATGATACAACTCTCCACCAGACACTAAAGGACATAGAAGTAAAAACAGACTAGAAAACTAATGGCCTGATAACACTACACTGTTTGTTTTAATAAGATGCATATTGTAGTTTTGCAATTTCTGTCATTATGCAATTTTTTTTTTTTTATTTTAAATCAGAAACTTTTGCAATGATCTTATTATTTTGAAAATTCAGCAGGTTGAGTCATAATTAAGTTTCATAAAAATAGCACTGTTCAAACAGATACGTCTCGCCTGTATATAATTTTGTTAGTAAAATGTAAGTATTGAAATTAGAAAAGCATTGTAAAAATATGCTATGTCAGACTATAGGTACAAGACCAAATAATTTCTGTGAAAATAAGATACAATTGTATGCCAATGTTAATACAATGTTCCCCTTATTCAAACTGACCTAATCATAATCTTTAACATGTAAACTATTCAAAAGCTTCAAATTTATTGACCACAACCTTTATATCTCAAGGTATACAACAAAATACAGGATATACAAAAGGAATCTTGCTCGGTTCAACCTGATTCACCGTCATCTTAGTACCTGTTCGCTCTAATACCTGTTAACACTAGGTCTACTTGCCATAATACCTGTTCACACTGGGTCAATTACTTAATTTTATTTTGTTGTCTTGTTTTATAATTGTATGATATATTATTTGTTAAAGTGTGTGTTGAAAATGTCATCAAATATTTTTATGGCATTGCTGCTATCACATAATTGTTGTCCTTTGATAAGCACTGAAGAGCACAGAAAAACCTTGTACAAGGTATATAATATAAAAACAAACAAAAAACAAGTTATCTGTTTTCTTTTTTTTTCTTCTTTCTTTTCCTTTTATATGTTTAGTCAAGTTATCTGTATATATATAGTTTAAGGAAGAATGAATTGATTCCATTATTCTGCCACTTATATAACAAACTAGTTACTGAAAATATAAAAGGAGCCAAGCTGTAAAAATAAATTCCCTTACAATTCATACATGCTTTTTACTCATTCAAAGCTGACTATTTTATTTTTTTTTTAAATGTTATTTTCATAATTGAACCGTTGAAGACAGTATAACAATCGGTTAGATCAAAGACACCATAATTATATCTCATTTGCAAAATAATTAAGTCATTACAATCTATAGTACTAAAATAACGAGGTCCAATTTGTCAGCCGGAACGATGTAAAAACGATGAATCAAAGTATTCAACTTTATATATAACTAATACAGGACAATAGTGTTGATTAAAAATTACACCATTCCAGGCCCTTTTGTTTTCCACATAATTAATATTACCAATAAATAACAAGTTCCCCGCCCGACCGGATGAATCATCAGGTACTTCAATTCAGTCACATGTGTGTTATTGTTTATTCTAAATAATATACAGTTATGGCCCGTTGAGGAGGTGAATATTCAAAATTGTCAACCGGAGTAAGGGTATTCCATGAGGGCTTTAGCCCAAGGTGAATAACCCTTACTGAGGTTGACAATTTTGGATATTCACTGACTTAATGGGCCATAACTGTATATTATTTAGAATAAACAATTAAGTGTAAAGTATTGCCTTACGTGAGTAAAAAAGATTTTCAAAACTCTAAATTAGAAAATTATTTTGTGTCTAATAGATATAAGAAGATGTGGTATGATAATGAGTGCCAATGAGACAACTCACCATCCAAATCACAATTTGAAAAAGTAAACCATTATAGGTCAAAGTACGGCCTTCAAAACGGTGCATTTCTGGTATGTACACAAAGGTAGACTCTTTCTGTAAAATATTGATGGCACTGAAAAGGACTGTTTACAAGAGATATCCTCGGAACGAGATGAATTTCCAAGCCCTGTTTGATCTTGTTTCTTCTTTACTTGATGGGCTTTTTACCTGGCCGTTGCCATTTTGTTTACAGTTCAATGACATCATCTTTTATGGGAGATAACTCATGCAAAAACCAAGGGGCTGAAAAGAGTATTCACCAGGGAATAATAGGGTTGTTCGATGGAGGCTTCAATTTTTCGAGGTTATTCACCGCACTCCTGCCAATTTCTGGAAAAACATCGAACTTCAACTATGACACGTGATTCTGTATTAGCCAATCAAATAATTACTATATAATGTTACAATAAAGCCAATCATTGCTTGAAAACAAGTAATTAATTTTTAAAATATTTCCATGATTTTTTCATGATTTTAAGATATATATGCATTTTCTTAAACATTTTACCAAATAAATATTGGCATAGGTATACAAAAACCTAATAAACTGTTATCACAGAGTTATGTCTCGCCTTTTTGTAATTTTGATAATGCAAATGTTGAAATCAAAATAGCAATATTTTAACATGTAAGTTATGCAAATATTCGAAGTCGATGAACCATGACTGAAGGTACATGGCTGAACAATCTCCATGGAAATGAGATGTGCCAATGTTAATACAACTGCATACCAAATACCATTGACTAATCATAAGTCGTTCCCTTTAAACAAACCTAAACACAAACATTAACTTGTAAACTATGTAAAAGTTTCAAAGTCAATGAACCATGATGAGGGGTTACGGCTATATAATCTCCATGGAAATAAGACTTGCAAATGCCAATAAATTTGCATACCAAATATCATTGACATAACATTAGCAGTTCATCTTAAAATGATCTAATCACAAACTAATACATATAAACTAAGCAAATGTTTCAAAGTCAAATACCATGACTGAGATGGAGGGGCCAAATACCAAATATTCTCCATGGAAATGAGATATATGCCAATGCTTATACAACTGCATACCAAATATCATTGACCTACCACTAGTGGTTCCCCATAAACTGACCTAATCACAAACTTATACATGTAAACTAAGCAAAAGTTTCAAAGTCAATAGACATGAGAGACCATGACTGAGGGGGCAGGGCCAAATAATCTCCATGGAAATGAGATGTGCCAATGCTTATACAACTGCATACCAAATATCATTGACCTACCACTAGTGGTTCCCCATAAACTGACCTAATCGCAAACTTATACATGTAAACTAAGCAAAAGTTTCAAAGTCAATAGACATGAGAGACCATGACTGAGGGGGCAGGGCCAACTAATCTCCATGGAAATGAGATGTGCCAATGCTTATACAACTGCATACAAAATATCATTGACCTACCACTTGTGGTTCACCATAAACTAGACCTTTAATCACAAACTAATACATTGTAGACGCAGCCGGAAACAGCATACCTATGTCTCGCTTTTTGACTCCGTCTAGGCGAGACAAAAACCATTAATATCAATAAACATATATTGTTTAATAGGGCGAACAGACCCATGGCCAGTGCAAACATGTAGGCGAAAGGACATATAATACCATCCAAATGCTTCCATTTCTTTCATTTTTTAACACCATGGTTCTTATCCAATTAATTAATGTAGCAATATGGATGAATGGTTGCTAAATGTTTGTGGGATGTTGTGTTTTTGCGTATTGAATGATTTTTATGTACCTTTCTTTGAGATTCCATTGTAAAATTTTCGATGACGATGTGATGATGATGTGTATGTGACATATATAATGTGTGCCTTGATAACTCATAAACTGGATGTTCGTTCACCCCAATGGCACTTTGGTGCAATCCCCTTTTTATGACTCTTAAAGAAAATATGATAAGTAGAGATTGAATCTCCATTAAAAGTTTGCATCCAAGATCAAATGAGTAATTGTAAAGGGAGGGGTGAACAGCAACAAGAAGTTTGCAGCTCGATCATCTGTTTTTCGTCTGCAACTCGCGCGCAAAAATAAATATTTTTTTTATTCATCCCGGACATGAGACGTATGTTTCCGGATTTTATTAAATTTAGTTCACTGTCGTGCAAACAAATCTTTATTTTGAGGATTTGTTGCATTCACATTGAAATCGTTTTAAAGTTGGCGAAATTTGGTCGGAACAAATTTTTTTTTTCAAATTTAAAAATATTCAAAATATGTCACGTACACCGACAGAGAAATCAATGTTTTTTTTTTTAATTTTTACTCTTTTTAACAAACTACTTTTTCACGTTCCTTCTGAAATCATTTGCTTTTAAGTTAACGATGAAACCTTTTGTTCAAAGCATAAATTCCGCATTATTTGTGAAGCAGCTAAGCCAAGGGATGTCCGCTCAACATACAAATTTGGGTATAGACGTCCGGCTGGAGTTTAAAAACCATCCCCATTCATCTGTTCATACAGATATTTCATATGAAAATCATAATCCGCTGATATGCTTTCACCGCTATCAGAACTACAATATTTGTCATCTTTAGATGTAAACCACGTGTGATCATTCATTTTATTAGACAAAAAGATCAATACACAGTATTTGCAGGCATGTTACCAGAAGACGGAAGATTTAGGTACAATTGACATATAAATTTCTAACCATTGTTATATTACCGCCGTGAAATTACAGTCCATTGATACATTTGACATTCAAAAAAATTACCCATACCAGCGGCTCGTCTCTGTATACCTTTATATAGGAAGAGAACCCCACCCCCGGGTGACCTAAGCCCGACCAGATAAGTCCATTACTGAGATACGGGCCTTAAAGATTATAATATATACTTACTTGATGTTGAAGGAGGTAGAGTTACAGGAACTAAAAATAGAATAAGAAACTAATGTAGATTATACATTTCATTTACAAATGTAAATATATTAGAGACATATGGTATTTCAAGCACACAATTTCATATTGCCCGGCATGATGAAAATTATAAACCCTCCTGTTTTGTTTTAAACACTTTAAGAGTTAGAATAAGTCGGAGAACAAATAATCAGTTATGAGTGTCTGGATAGGGTCTCTTCATATTTGTATTCTTTAAATCTTTTTGCCATTTTTCTCTATTCTTTATTTGTTTGTCCATAATTCTCTGGGTTTTTTGTTATGTTTCATGTCAATTTTTCAGTCTTTGCCCATTTATGATTCTCTATATTCTCTATACATGTAGCACGTTGTTAAAAATAAATAATAAGCTAATTCCGTACACGCCACACTCGTTAGTTATGATGGCTGAAGCAGGGATGAATATATCTCAAAAAATTAGGACCCCCACCCCCGGAGGCCAGAGTTTTATTGTTCAAGTTCTTACTGTCTTTACGAATTCTGGCAAGTTTTCCCAGAAATGTTTACGAATTATCAAAAAAAATGCCCATTAGGTCTCTTTATTGAATACATAAAAATAAGGAGATGTGGTATGATTGCCAATGAGACAACTATCCATGAAAGTTCAAATGATGAGGATGTAAGCAATTATTTGCAACCGTTCGGCCTTCAACAACGAGAAAAACCCATACCGTAGAGTCGGCTGTAAAAGGTCCCGACATGAAAACACGAAACAATTCAATTGAGAAAACTAACGGCCTAATTTATAAAAAAGCAATTTACGATTAACAAATATGACAGACATGAATGACAACTACTGAACTACCAGATCCTGACCTTCTGAAATATAAAGCTTTAATCAAATAGTTTACGCCGTCGCCGTCGCCACTGGATTGTAATACCTGTCTCGCATACTGCGACTTTCGTTACTAATATTTTTGGAAGAATTATATATGAAATGGATTTATATTACGACTTTTGAACATCTGAAAACTACTGTAATGAATTTAGTATTTTTATCTGGCTCGCAAGGTCTTGCAGAAAAAAACGGAACCTACAAAGTGATAGTAATATAAAAGTTTGCGCAAAGGTAAGGTTCCATGTTTTCTCAGTTTAAAGGTGATTTAAAATACAAAAAAAGTTAGTGCGTAAATTCTCGTGGATATCATGACTTCGTATATTATTTTACTGCAGACAACATGCATTTTTATGCCCTCGCAACTAAACGTTCGGGGCATATTGTTTTACTCCTGTCCGTCCGTCCGTCCGTCCCTCCAATTATGGGTATATAGTTATTCCACATAACACCTCCTACAGTTTGAATGCTAGGAAGATTTCACTTTGCTGGCTGTTTGTACATATATTGAAGGTGTGCATGTGGTCAGGATTTTGATTTTTATTAATATTTGTTCTTTTGGGAGACAGTTGAACTTTGTCATTTTTTTGTATTTCAAAATAACACTTTGCTATTGCGGGGGCATCATTTGTGTCTCCCAGACACAATAATATCTTAAAGAAAGTCCTACATTGACTTTGTTATAATACGGTTACTTCAGAGTGGAGTGCGGAGGCATCACTTTGTCTAGTCTTGAATAACTATCATCTGGTACGTCGACAGGATTTTAGGTAGCAAACAAACAAATCACACAAATCATGAACACACAAATCACACAAATCATGATCAAACAAACCATATCAAAGTAGTCAAAATGTAATTAGTGGTTTATAAATAGATGTTCATAACCTGTATATACAGCTGAATAAACAGACACTGAGAAAGAAACCCACAAAAACGAATAACATGAACTACAATACAAGGATTTCTGAAATTTGGTTTCAGTGTTTATATAAGTCGGCTACACCGTGTGATGCGTTTTCAGATTCATCACTCAACAACTTCCTGTTTTCCGAAATATTCGGGCGGGGGTATCATCAGTGAGCAGTAGCTTGCAGTTTCACTTGTTTTCATTAAATTTTATCTGGTCAGACCTTGTCTCAAATTCCTATCGTAAAATTTTTACTAAGTCTAACTCTAGATGGATTTGTATGGCGGGTGACTCGTGCATAGCAGGAGACACTTCCCCTGTCTTCGCACCAAGTATAGCTCTTTGGACTTCCTGAGAAAAATGTGACAAAAATTTTCAACTTGTCTATCATGTGTAAAATGAAACAAGTGTTCGGTAAACAGGAAGTTGTTGAGTGATGAATCTGAAAACGCATCACGCGGTATAGCTGACTTATATAAACCCTGAAACCAAATTTCAGAAATCCTTATGATGTAGTTCCTGAAAAAGACGCGACGAAAAGTATTCATTGGACGGACGGACGGACTAATGAATGGACTGACAGACGGACTGACGGATGGACTAACGGACAGAAAGAGGTAAAACAGTAAACCCCCACTTTTTTAAAGCGGGGGTATAATTATTACAGAAATATGTCAGACTACACAATGTTTTAAGAGTAAAAAAACGTGCTACAGAACTAAAGTTCTGGAAATCATTTACTAAGACTATTAAATTAACGCTAATAAACTAATTTTTTAAATCATGCATTTTGTTAAAACTACTGTAATTGGACAAAATGGGTACTGGTTAACAAAACTTATTTACGCCTCATGCGATTGGTCACACTACTGATGAAAGGGGACATGCGATTGGTCACACTACTGATAAAAGGGGACGTGCTATTGGTCAACCTATTTACCTTTGACTGGAACGGGAGGTTGAGTTGGTACCACTGTGTTTGATTAAAACAAATGAATATATAAGAGCATTAATTATGACTGTCTACCGTTTTAACATGGACATGGTCATCGTAACATGAATGTTCGACTTGCACAAGGTGACTGACCATCATAATAATATTTAAGAATCCCGAAAGTTTCTTTTTCTTTCTTTCTTTTTCTTGTTCTTGTTCTTGACTTCTTGTTTTACTGTTCAGTATTATTCATTATTCATTATCAATTTTTATAAAAAATATTTGATTATGATAAACTTTATTAATAGAACACGTGAAACTAAATTAAATCGGCTCCTCAAGTTTTTGAAGCAGTCATTAGAACTGACGACATAAGCAACGAAATGTTTAATGTTGTCTCTAAGATTTTTTTGAAGTGATCTGATTTACTTGCAGTATATTATCAGTATATTATCAAATTATTTCAATCTATGAAAAATATCAAAATTTAGTTTACAGATAAACAAATTATAAATAGATGTTTTATTTACCATTTAAAATAAGGTAAAAAAATGTTGAAAATAATAATGTGGCTTTTGTCATATTTTAGGAATAAATAATTTATAAATTTGGTAATTACTAAAGCTTAGACAACAGACATTTAAGAATCCACTTTTATGCGACGCCGATAACTTTCTTCATCAGATTTTAATAGGAGTATATGAAATCGAAGAATAAGAAAACGACAGGGGGGAAACAGAAAATGAAAAGAATAAAAAGAATACTTACCCTTGCAAATAGCTTGAAATATTTTTCTGTCGAATCCCCTCAGTTCATCAAATGACTGAACTGTAAACCTGTTTTCGTCAATCGGTAAGGAAGCCATTCTATCTAACTCCCTCGTATCAGCTAGACCAATACCTATGGCGTATACATGGATATTGTCTCGATCCCTTGCAGCTACTGCCTCTGGTATGGTACGACGGGAGTTTATGTTAGATACACCATCAGTGATTATTATTCCGACGTTTGGAACTCCTGGTCTGTCGCCATTTCTTTGAGAAAACATTTCTCTCATTTTGGCAATGGCGTCTGCTGTATTGGTGCTACCATACGTATATTTAATATCACCAACAGCTTTATCAACGTCTGCGCTTGTTTTATACGTATTCAGTTGGAATTCTACATTTACTCGCGTGCTATAAGTCACTATACCAACTCTAGCACGGTCATTATCAATGTCGGCATTTCGGAGCAGTTCTTTTACAAAGTTTTTCATTTTTTCAAAATTATCGTCCCCGACACTTGTAGAAGAATCCAGGATGATTACGAGATCAACTTCAGCAGAGCATCCTATAAGTGGTAAAATAATTTAAAGAATGTATATTAATGGGATAAATGAAAATAACACTTTAAAAATTTTATGCGTCCGAAGCGCTTTTCTGGATTAACATTCTACAGTTACGTTGAAACAGTAAATTTTGTATTTAATATCAAGGATGAGACTTTTTTTATTTGATTCTATTTACAAATCTCTCATGATTGATTGATTGATTGATTATTAGTTGTATAACGTCCAGCTGCAAATATTTCATGCTATTCAGGACGAGAATCCCACAGGACAATCATTACTTGACAACATGTCAATTTTGAATGAAAAGGACAAAGGGAAAAAAAGAAAAAAAGTTGCATAAGCTATAAAAGTATGTATTGTTTGGTTTTGCTAAAATTTCTTGTAATATATAGTGAAGGCAAACTAGTCTAGCATTTATCTAAGTGTGACAATAAATCGCGCAAAATACACGAAAGACCCATTCATGTCACAATGTTCAGTTGTACGTTACTTTATCTCTGTAGAAAGTTATCGTTTGTGTTTTTGTGTGTGTGTTCTTATTGTAAAACATCGTTTATATGTACCATTGTTTTAAGGATGTTCGCTCCTTTTGTTTTAGATTTTTTTGCCAGATATTCGGAATCCAATGGTTTTATCCATGTAGTGCCATTAAATATTTTGCCCACTAACCCATACTTTTCTTTTCACAATTTTATTACATATAGTTTAAAAAGCCATATCTGAAAATCTTATAGAATCCTTGTTATTTTTTCATTGATTTTGAAAGAAAAAAGGTGCCAATGTTAAATGTATGAAAAATCTAGAGAGAATCATTTCCCGGCTTATATCTCGAAAACAAGCACAAGGACCCCTCATTTTTTTCTGCTTTTTTAGTTCCTTCATTTATATACGATCAGTTTATAACAGTCTTTTAAAAAGCTTGTTATTTTGAAACAGAGTAGCGAACATCCTTAATATAAAATCTTTATTAATCAACATACTCACCAAGTGTGTAGAAACGTCAATTATTCAAACTACAACAATTTGAGGAGTACGTCACAGTCCACAGTATACAATATACACAACATAGAAAGCAAACAAAGACAAGAGGGTCTGGATGAGGTTTACAGATCATGGAATTAATAACAAAACCCACAGAAATGAAGACTACACCCCTTCCAGACCTTCATACAAGGTAACAGTAAATTCTAAAAGATTCTAAAATTAAACAAAAAGATATATCGCTGTTTCCTTATTTTTTTCCAGAAAGATTTGTTAATTTAAATAGAAGTGTTATCATTTATCAGCAAAACGTTTTTGGCAATTAAACCAGAAAAATAAAATATAGTACATCGATTCATATTGCCATACAAAAGCAGTGATAAGGTATCAATTTTATGACAGATAAACAGATGCAAATAAGATTTCATTCCAAATCCATAAATATAAAACATCTTCTAAAAGTGTATTTGCATCTGGAAATTTGAGATAATGACATTTTTCAGGTTTTATCAAAACTAATAGCCCTTTTTAAAACAAGTGAAAAGAAAAAATCAGTATTTATTACTTCTATGTAAATCAGATGTAGTCATCTGATACTTATTCTAATATTCTAACTTCAATTATATAATAATAACAGAATTTACTGGTACCTCGAGTGTTACAAACGGATACATTTATATGTATATATATATATACATGAATGAATTATATATGATATAAATATGCGTCAACAAAAGTTATTCTCTATTAATATGAATATATTAATGTTTTATTGATGTTTACTGTACATTTCATTACGAATAAAAGCGTTCACAAAGTAGACATGTAAAGCAGCAATATTGAAAATGAAACAACAAATAGTGGGGAGAACTTACATCAAATGTTAACGATTAATACCATAGAAGGCGAACGCTGCTGGTTACAAATTAACAACATTATTTGTTGTAATCGTAAATTAGTATAAAAAGCATTTTTTAAAGCTATTATAGCTTCAATATATAAAAGTTGTCTTTCCAAAAGGTTTTGGTTTTATTCCTAAATACCACATTGAAAGATTTTTGTTTTGTTTTATTTTGTAAGATTTGCTTTGCCAAACGTTTAAAAAAAAACAACAAACGAATGCATATTTTGATTAACAGTTGCCTTTGCGATACTAAAATATAAAAAAAAATGACTTCTGAACATTTTTCTATTGTTAACTTAATACAAAATTTTGATAAATACACAAGTATATATAGAATAAAATAGAATAGAATATTTTTATTTCCCAAAATATTATCCCATGATATATTGCCAGTGTTATTTTTACACACTATTAGTGAGGTAAATGTAGCTTGGATCTTCACCGCTATGCTTATCGGTTTTTAGTGTCCAAGGTACACTGGACCTATCAATAACTTTTGCTATGAATGTCTTATTCTGTATATGGGAGCGAATTCATTATCTTTCGATTGTTTTTTATTGACAATGAGTCGGGATTCATTAAACACGAATGAAAAATGGACTCTCAATTCATCTCACTTACGTCAATTATTGGTAAACTTTCGTCAGCTATGTACCTTATCTCAAATCTTTAGAATGATTAAAAAAGCGAGGGATATTAAATGTTCTCTTATATTGTCCTGTCTATGAACGCGTCAAACAAATCAAATTCATCATTGGTAAAAAAAAAAAGGATTTTTAGCCAGACTACACAACGATGAAATCCTAGCTTTATTTACTGTACGTGAATATTAATTTTACATATAGAGACATCACAACATTGTAAAATAAATACCTAACTCTCCATCTATCAATGAACCTGTAAATAGTTATGACATTATCTATCAAACACGCGCAAATTTGTCAAGTTTATCAATGACTCAAACGGCAAACCTCGGCCGAACTAGTTGCTCTCCTTCAGACGGAGGCACTGTATCGGTCGAGTTGTTAACGAATGGCAATAAATGTGTGCGATGTTTTAAGCAAAGCATCCTTTGGATAATTACAAGAAGACATCACTTTTCTGTTGACGATGAATTTATACGAAACAAACCAATGATTATCCATTTGCTGACAGAATAAGTATATTTTCATTTTTATATTTATATTCTAGTTTAGCATTAATACACACACTTATATGATCTATGTACCTTTTGTTTAAAGAAGCTAATCACATAAATCTTAATTTTAAGTAAACTTCCTGATTCCAAAAATTAAAAACACTTAATTTGTATTTGTCAACAAACGTTAGAATAAAAAAATCAGAACTCCACAAATCAAAAGTTGAAATATAAATACAATATATTTACCACCAAATAACTACATATATTTGATTTATCGTCAATACAAAATTAATAGTATAACATATAAAGCAACCGTTTCCCATTTGTATTCAATATGAACTAAACAATATGACTGTCCGTCACATAAAAATCATTTTCTGTCACAGAATAACTGTTCACAACTGTATCGATAGACTTTTGAAACTTTACACATCATGTACACTTTCGGAGACTGTCAATGAATGTGCTCTGCAAATCAATGCGGTATGTTCAGTCTTTGACGGTTAGTGTATTCGTTGAGAAGACTATAAGAATATGATACATTTGATACCTTTGTCCTAAATTGTAGGGATGCGTTTATAGTTGTGAACAGTTATTCTTGAACAGAAAATGACTGCCTCTGGGAGGTACAGTCATTTCGGGGGATCATATTGATATTACAGTATATTTTTACCTCTAAAACCTCTATCATTCAACATAAATTCTGAAATAAACTAAATTAGTTAATCTTTTATCTACATCACTTTAAAATGTATATTTTTACATGTCATATTTTTTCAATAAAAAAATATCAGAAAGTGTTGACTAGGAGCAGAAGATTCAATTAAATTTTTCCTTAAATTTAAAAAAGTACAACGATGTAAAGTCTGTTATGGCATTAAGAATACAACTATGACATATCTTAATTCATCTATGTCTTCAAACTAAGATTATATTATTTTCCTCTAAACCCATCTGGCATTAGAAACATATATTGAATTTTACTATATCAATTACTTTTCCCTTTTAGAGGAACTATTTGTCAAACTCAATCATCAAACCCTGCCCATTTCAAATGACTCTAAAATTAATTTTGATTTAATACGAGAGTAAAACTGGTTTGATGCAACGAAGAACAAGACGACACAATACTTAATTTCATGAAATACATAGCAAAGACTTACCTGTTTTTGGTGGTGGGAATGTAATTGCTATCGGAGGAGCTGCAATTGACACAAATGCCATTAATTCAATTTTGTTAAATCTTATTCATATTAAATAATATAAAACCCAGTTCATGCAACACAAATAACAATAGTTATTAATATCTAAAAAAATATCTCATACATTAGTCCAAGTTTCCCCAATATAACCTGTCCAAAGTTGATTGATTGATTGATTGACTGATTGATTGTTGGTGTTTTATCGTACTTTCAACACTAGCAGTCAGTTTTTATAGCAAAAGGAAGCCGGAATGCCCGGAGAAACCACTGACCTTCGACAGGAAAACTGACAATTCTTCTCAATTAAGATCGGAGTCGAACTTTCTGCAATGTCAATATTATAAAATAACTAAACCTGCTACAAAATAGTGGAAACCCACTTTCCTCTATTTTGACTCATACCAAATTGCCAAGTTATTCTCTAGGTATTACAACAGGTGTGACATGTGAAGCAGATTATATCCTTTAACTCTACGTTCCGCTATATAGATGATGTTCTCTCACTAAATAATACAAAATTTGGTGACTATGTTGAACGAATCTATCCCATCGAACTAGAGATAAAGGATACTACAGATACAGTTAAGTCTGCCTCATATCTTGACTTACATCTAGAAATTGACAATGAGGGTCGGTTGAAAACAAAACTTTACGACAAAAGAGATGATTTCAGCTTCCCAATTGGGAACTTTCCAGTTCTATGTAGCAACATTCCAGCAGCGCCTACATACGGAGTAAATGTCTCCCAATTGATACGATTTTCCCGGGCTTGTGTTTCCTATCATGATTTCCTTGATAGAGGATTGCTGCTCACAAGGAAGCTATTAAACCAAGAGTTTCAAATGGTGAAGTTGAAGTCATCCCTTCGTAAATTTTACGGACGCCATCACGAGTTGGTTGACCGTTATGGAATAACCGTTTCACAGATGATATCGGATATGTTCCTTATGTCGTAACTACAATACCCTTCCCTTTTCACGAATGTGACTTACCGAATTAGACTATTTACCGGATTTCTAATAACATAAGCAACACGACGGGTGCCACATGTGGAGCAGGATCTGCTTACCCTTCCGGAGAACCTGAGATCACCCCCAGTTTTTGGTGGGGTTCGTGTTGCTTAGTCTTTAGTTTTCTATGTTGTGTCATCTGTACTATTATTTGTCTGTTTGTCTTTTTATTTTTGGCCATGACGTTGTCAGTTTGTTTTCGATCTATGAGTTTGACTGTCCCTCTGGTATCTTTCGTCCCTCTTTTTATATGGATTTCTCTGAACACCTGATGTTCTCAGGCTTTTGGTGAGAGTTGGTCTAGTCCAAAACCTAGGATATGTTAGAGGCACAAAATCCTTGATTTTATCATGATTTCGATACATTTATACGTGTCAAGTAGTCAAAGATTTATAAAATATGTATGCAAGACTGTCCAAAGTACTTACCAGTTGTTCTTTGAAATACTGGTCCGACAGGTGTCACTGGTGAAACTTAAAATTTGAAAGATAGATTATGAATTCAGAATGTAATTTTGCTATCTTCTAGGTTGCAAAAAAAGTATATTTTGTTTCGAACATGCAGAGAATGGGTTTTCCACATTGTTGAAGACAGTACGGTAACCTATATTTGCTTATATCCTCTTCATTTGGACAGTTGTCTCATTTGCAATCTCTTTATTTATTGTATAACATATTTCGAACTAGATTTATTTACTCATGTTCTTTTGTTCATATTTTCGGTCATAAAACTAATTATTTTATAAATAAGAGTAACCTTAAACGCCGATAATCTTTTACTGTAAAGATTGTAAAAAGATGTAATCATGTAATCTAATACATAAACACATTACGCACAAATACAAAAAAATATCTTACAATATGAACAGAAATTTTATGACATCTACATGTATCTTATTATTGTAAATGTTTAGGTATCCTACCACTGTATTGCAGATGATGTGATGATGATATCCAATAGTTGTCTACAGTTGAATTTTGTAGGATTTTTGTTCATTGGCAATCAAATAAAAGATACAATTCATAAATAAGAAAACACAATCATATATATTACCGTGCTTTTACTTCTATTGTGTTATTGTGCTATGGTCATTTTTAGTATTCTTCTAATTCATTTTTGCTTATGTACTTTGTCCATCTGCTATTTTGATTTTCTTTGTTGACATATTTGTTTGTTTTTATAGTGATTAAGATTATAACACAATGTTGACTGCTGCACCCCTATTTTTGACGTTTTTTCCTATTACATCTCTTTGTTTTGTTCACACATTGTTGTCAATATAACGGAATTATATGCGACTGTTATACAAGTGAGAGGTTTAAATAGTTATAAAACCAGGTTTAATCCACCATTTCCTCCATAAGGAAATGCCTGTACCAAGTCAGGAATATGACAGTTGTTTTCCATTTGTTTGATGTGTTTGAGCTTTTGATTTTGCCATTTGATAAAGGACTTTCCGTTTTGAATTTTCCTTGGAGTTTTTGTTGTTTTACTTTTTTCTATCCAGACTGTTGTCCACATGAACATATAAATTGTTAACACTAAAACATTGTATGTTTCCTAGTGTCATACATATAATTCCTACTCATTACAGAGGGTGGTAAAAGGGGGGGGGGGGGGGGGGGGGGTGCTTGCACGGAAAAAACGTGAAATAAGACATAATTTCACGTTGAACGTGAAATAATTTCTGTCATGAACGTTGCACGAAAAATAAAAGACTGTTGTGAACCTTTTGTGACTGAGTCACTGTCTTCTTGTATATATAAACTCTCTGTTTTACTTGTTATTCCCGATTTAGTATACACATTTATGATGTAAATGGTTTACGGCTTTTAAAAAAGTATTTCTTGACGATCCCTGCCAAGTATTTGAATTTTATTTGAAAAATACCGAGCACGCAAAATAAGCATTTGAAAATCACGATGCACGTAAACTTAAATAAGCAGAATTCGTTGAACGAGGCACCTGTCTTGCACGACTGAACGTTAAATAAAAAAGTAAAAACACGTTGAACGTGAAAAAAAAACGGCGATCACGTTGCACGAAAATAACCCTTTACCACCCTCATTACAAATTATACAAAACATATGCACTACATGTACCTCCAGGGAATCCAATGGGGATGGTAGGCACTGTCTGACGTTCACCGTGTACATTTACTGCAAAATAGTACAAAAGTATCACGCATTCTTCATTTTTTTCATATGTTCAATATGCGCCTTTCAAATAAGTAATAATTAAGGTGGTACCTAACACTACAGGGAGATAACTCTGTAAAAATCAGCTAAACGTTTTAATTACGTTGTATTGTTAAGGAAATATTAAGCTTCTCCATGATCAAAATAAGTGTTTGTCAAACTGCTATATAACCAATGAAATTTTCTGATAAAGTGGTTGGTTCAAATTTTTTGAAATTTTTATATTTCTGTCAAAGGGTCAAAGCAAACATTTTGTCAAAATTTTATGAAAATTAAACGAGCCAAATTAATATTAGTCAAGGTGTTGGGAACCACCTTAATTTCCATTTAATTTGAGTCAAATCATTAAAGCCCGCAAATGCTACACTGGGAGTCAACATAATGTTTAAGAGTTAAAGAAAATCGAAAATCCAAAACTTCTGCCAAAAATAAAGAGGGAACTTAGCATATATATTGTTTATGTTTTCTAATGTTTCATATTAATACTTTAATATCTGCCTTACATTTATTAAATGGTCGAACATTAATACATGTAAAAGGAATGATCAATAAAGGATAACAGCTTTTGGAAATAAGGAATATGGGGCTTGTCATTTAGAGAACATTTGTGTTACACTTTTTTTTTCTAGAACTCAACTTAAATATTTTGAAATAAAAATATTTGATATTAAGTTCGTTTTTTTACCTGTTAAAGAGAATGAAAATATTTGTTTTAATACCAAGATGATGGGTTTTTTTTTTTGTTTGTTAGAAAGGCAAAGATTACTACTTACATGATCGAATATCTCTTCTTAATAAATTCGCTAGCGTTGACAAATCGGAGTAACGTGAAACTGTGTGAACATTTCTCGGATTGGTAGCAATGGTTTCCAATTCGGATTTATCCCGAACTCCAATCCCGATCGGGAAAACTTCAATACCTTCACTTTGCATGACCATCGTTTGGTCAGAGAGGAAATCAGAGTTGACTGTTGATGCAGAGTCTGTGATAAGGAAAACAGCTTTTGGAACGTCAGCTCTTGCATACTGAACATCAAACATAATAAGAGCCTCAATAAGTGCCCCGGATGTGTCAACAATATTGCTCCTAACATTGTCATTGATGCTGGAGATAGCGTTTGAAACATCCCTCCATGTTGTATGCCTGAAAATTATAAAACAAAAAGGAGCTGATATGGAATTCAGATGTCAGTGATAACAACGGTTATATTCCTTTCATGAACGGAAAAAGATGTGGGTACGGTGGGAAAAAAACTCAAAGACCGAAAAATCTAAAAATATCTATGTGTGGCTGTTCAAAGTCAAGAAAATTCGGTGGTTCAGTAGTTGTCGTTGGTTGCTGTCTGTCATATGTTTTTCCATTCATTATTTTAACCATTAACTAAGACATTGGTTTTCTCTTTTGAATTGTTTCACATTTTCGGGGCTTTTTATAGCTTCCTATACGGTATGCGATTTTCTCATTGTTGAAGGTCGTAATGTGACCTCTGGTTGTTTACATTATCATCATTTGGTCTTCAAATATAGAAAGGTGTGTAAGCGTTAAGTCGCTCTTAGAACAAAAAGAAGGTCTATCGTTTGTCGAAACAACACCTTTACTCAATTGATTTATTACGGAATATGACTTATTTTTTTAATTCATTCTGTTATTATCGACACGATGATTGCTACAGGTGAACCAGGCACTGCTTACCTTTCCGTAACTCGTGCGTTAACACATGGTTTCAATGGGGTTCATTTTGATAAATTTTGTATTGTATCGTCCAAAATGTTTGCTGAACATTCTTTGATTTATGACTTATTACTTTTTAGCCCTTAGTATCCTCTTATTTCGGTATACATCATTTCAAAGAAAAAAAATATACAGACAAATTTAGAACTTACTCATTCAGATTAAATTGAACAGACGGATTTTCTCCATACGCCATAACACCTAACCGAGCTCTTCCACCATCAAAATCGGCTCTGGAAACCAGATCTTTTACAAAGGTAAGCATTCTTTGGAAATCGTTTCTAGACGTTGATGATGATACATGGAAGGCGAGGACCATATCTGCTTTATCGCTATCTGCGAGAATGCGCAAAAGATTCATTTAATATAAGAAGATATAAATCTTAAAATAAAAAAAAATACATTAGAAAATAACGGGATTTACTCATGAACAAAATTTTTAATTCATTGTAAAAATCAGTTGAACTTGTTTTTATCCTTTCGTTGCAATGTTTTGGATACATTCCTCGAAAAATAAATGAAACTTTTCATTCTAGGCTTTACATTTCCATTATAAATATAGATTTACAAAAATGGCAGTTATATAGATATGACGAAGTATATATCTCATAATAAAATTATTCCTCATTCTCCATTATTTCAATTCTCAGTCATGCGTTTCTAATAGCTAATGTCATCAATACTTTTTAACTGTTACTCGAAATGAAATTAGATGATCTGTTTTGCTATACCTATAAAAATGGTTGACAAGTTAAAAGTAAAGTTGATACAATAGATAAGTAAATATTTGTTTAATAATGCTGTTTTCAATTTATGCTGTCTAAATATATACTAAATACATGTAGTACCAATATGATTATAAAATACCTCCGATTCGAAGCAATACAATTCCTACCAAGCAATGATAAAATATAAATGTCATGTAAAATTAAGAAATAAAGCAAGGAATTTTAAGCAACGTATATACAACTAAATTTTGGTTCTATCACAAATCACTCTGAATGTATTTTTTAAATTTATGGCTATTCTGCAAATTTTGATTATAAATGATAATCAATTTATCTTGTATTACAGATTAACTTGGAATTATTTATGTAAGCATGAAAAAATGTATACTACGCAAGATGATTGAATAATAAAATCATATTTGATACTCTATATGCTACTTTTATTTCTTCTACTATCAAGATCATCCTGAACATGCGTAAAATATTTGCCACTTGATCTACGGTCAACAGTGATTTTGACATGAACCACGTTTGATACACTGTATGAACTTAATACTTTTAAACACTATCAAGAGTGATTTAGACATGAACCACGTTTGATACACTGTAGTCGATACATACCACGAAGAGGTGGTGTGTACTTTTTAGGAGGTTGCGTTGCTGTAAATACGAAACAAACATATAAAACGAAATATTACAATAAATATCTGTGTTTTATTGTAATAGACCGTCACACATTAATTACTACAATTAAAACATGTTAATATATACAGTAGGTAACATAAAACAACAGATATACATGTACAAATAAACCACACACAATTATCATTTTTTTTTTTTGCTACATAATTTAAAGACAAATTGTTTCAGTGTATTTTTCAATACAACAAATGTAGTTCTGCATTGATATGTATCATATATACTTACTTATGGATATAGATATATATTTGAATTAATTTATGAATTAAAAAGTCATCTTAATTTCGGCCATCTTGACCCAATCTCATTACTAAAGATTGTCCACATTTCTTAATAAGAAATTTTGCCTATTATGGTTGACCATTTAAAGCATATCTATAATTTTAAAGATGAGGTCCACTTTTAGTTAATTATTTTTATATGTTAAAACATATTATGCCATGTCAGTCTGTATACTAGTAAATGTGACTTGATATATAAAGTACATTTAGAATTTCAATGGTCAGGTCCACAAAAATACATCAATTTACAATTTAACACTAATCACTTTTGTGATTATTCGGATTAAGTGTGACTTGATTTGTTATAAAGTATCGAGGGACAAAATGTCCATATACCTTTTATATGTAGTATACACTATTTACACAATAAAACTGACAAGGAAAGATATTAAACATAACCAATAAAGTAAATGTACTGTATGAGTTCTAGCATAAAGTAATGAGGGTCAGGATGGAGATCCCTCAATTCTGTTTTTTTTTCCAGCCTTTTTTCTCTATTCTTTATATGTTTTGCCTTTTATTCTCTATTCTTAGTATTTTAACACCATATCATTCTCTATTCTTCATGTTTGGTATATTTCTCTCTATTCTTTTTTTTTTTTGGCCAACTTCTCTGTAGTATTGGTCCATTATTTTCTTTTCTATAAACCCCATCGGGACCTGTAGTAATACCCGTTTTAATTTTTAACCGTACATAAATAATATCAACACAGTTCTCGGATATCAATGTAGTTAAAACACTGAACTATAGGGTATTTCTTTCATATCAATTTGAGATCGACTACCCGTTTTCTGATTTAATATAGAGATAATTAGATATTTATATGAAATTATTGTATAAAAAAACTTTTAAAACGGTAATAATCTAATATCAAGTGGTTTTTATACTCATCTTATACATCTTATAACTAAATGTTATTTTTAATTTTCACCATACCTTAGTGTCAATTTTGCCATTATGTGTGTTCTTTTTAGTTTTCGTTCCATGCATACATCTATTGGCAATCCTTCTTAGTAATAACTGAACATTTGATTCTTCATTTAACGAAATTGCTTGGTTAATTCTACGGAACAAGTTTCTCCAAAGATATTCAGATTGCAAAGAAGGACCTTTATATACGAGGAAATATAATTCTAAAAGAATACTCTTTTAATTTAGCTTATAATATTTTAATATTTAGATTATTAATTCGGACATGCAGGTTTCTTCTCCAAAGCTCTTATGCCATCGGTTACTTAATTTGTTTCATATATTGCACATAATCAGTCGATTTCGGAACAAGAAGCAACATTTTAAAACTATTCACAAAAGGGTAGGTACTAAACAGGCATATCGGTTCTTCTAAAAATTAGGTGAAAATAACTCTAAATCTAATTATAGATAAATAAGTATGCTTAAAATGAAGGATGAAATTATGTGATTGTGCATCCTCTTTTTTTTTTTTTGGAAAAGGAGTAGTGGGAGGTTTGGGTTGTAGAGTTCTGTGAACTGATTACCAGAGAGTGAAAGGGTTAAATGGAATTGTCATCATGCACATTTGTATTGGGTTGGTAAAGAGAATGTAGCGCATATATTGCGAATTTCTACAGCGTTCAAAATATTTGTACTATTAAGCGAATAGATTGAGGATTTCTACTGCGTTAAGAAAATATTTGGTTTTGTCAAATTTACACAATTTCAAGTCACTATAATGATTTATAGGATATATATTGTAAGTGTTTAGATAATTACTAAAGTTACAATAAGTGATATAAATTTATTTAACCACATCGTTGCTAAGGGTTTAAAGTTACAAACTATATTGTTACTATAAATGATACTGACTAAGGATAGCTTGAAATAATTTTATTATTTTCTTAACACCAAATAGAAAACGGAAGACAGCAAAATTACACCAATGTTTAAGAATTGTCAGGAATAAAAGATTCAGCGTGTGCATCAAAATTTTCAGATTCGTCACATCTCATTCCATGACATGACGATATGTAAGAATCATTGTCATTGGTCAGTAGCAACAGAACAGCAGATGGTTGGAAGAAAGTTCAGGAGTTTGTCATAGAAAGGAATTGTAGATCGTAGATGGTTTTACTTTGATTATGCTACAAGAAGTCCATGCAATCATGAACGGAAACATACCGGGTCCTCTGGTACCTATCTCGCCTGTTTTGAGTTCACCTTTTTTGAGTGGATCGAACGGCTTTAAAGTTGTAAATTCATTTCGTTTGTCGATTTTATATTTTACAATATCTGTTGGTTTTTCGTTCTCAATCCAGGATGTGGACCTATGATGTATAGTTGTAGATTTCCTTTCTACCCCTGTAGATTTAGTTGTTTTATATGTTACAACATCTGTAGGTATTTCGTTCTCGATCGAGGATATAGGCCTCGGATGTTGAGTTGTATGCTTCTTTTCTGCAACTGTAGATTTAGAAATTCGTTTTGTGTCATATGTTTTATCGAAATAGGTCTGTGGATGCTTGGGCATTGCCGATTGTGTCGATGCTTGGGTAACTAGTCCATTTACAGATGAATAATTTAAAGTTGAAAGTTGCTCACTTTTCAAAGATGTTCCGAGTGTGTCTTTTGTCTGAATTGGATTAAGTGAAACGCTCACTGGGTCTGGAAGAATATCCGTAGGAATTTCATTCAATATCCTTGGCGGCGTTGTAGACCGATCTTGAGTGCCTTTCACAGAAAAAAAATGAGTCTTTTCCATTGCTGTTGTGGGTTGATATGTTGTTAAAGACTTCTTGGTTACCTCTGGTTCATATTCTAAAGAAGGCTTTGTGGTCGTTATGGGTAAATATTTTGTAGAGAGCTTGGTAGTTATTTTTGGTAAATATTTTGAAGACGCCTGTGTTGTCGCTTTAGGCGTATATTTTATAGAGGGTGTTTTTGCTGCTTTTGGTAAATTCTTTTTAGATGGTTCTGTGATTGCATTTAAAAAATATTCCGTTGATGGCCCCATGGTTTCTTTTGATAAATATTTGGCAGAAGACCGATCATCGGTAGAATAATCCGTCGTTAGTTTTAGTTCTTCGTCGACGGTTGCCAATTTTGTTGTTGGTTGATAATGTTTGGTTGTTGTATTCTTATCTTTGTAAGAAACAGAATATAAGGTTGTGTCCTTAGATGATTCGGATACAGGCTTATCAGTTGGATATATTGAAATAACATTCGTTGTTTGTGTAATAGCCAATTCTGTCATATTTGGTTTGATTGTATGCCATGGATATGTGGTTTTCCTGGTATACGTTGCGTTGTTAACAGTTGATTTCAGAGGAAGTTTTACTGTGCTTCGTTCGTCTGTAAGGAAAATCACCGGTGTTGTTGGCTTTTGTTTTATTGATCTCCTAGTAGTGTCAAAAGATGTTATTTCTTCTGTTTTCTGAATAGTAGATTTTGGCTGAACATTCATCGTTTGAAAAGTAGTTGAGGCTTTTTTATATGTTATAGATGAGGCAGTTGTTCTGGGTGCTGTTGTTGAGGACAGACTCAGCCTCATTTTAGCTGAAGATGATTCTTTCAATGGTGTTGATGAAGTGACAGTTTTCTTTGTAGGTTTTGTAGGTTTAGCTTTCTTATCTTTTTTGTCTTTCTTCTTCTTTTTGCCCTTCCTTTTCTTTTTGCCTTTCCTTTTCTTTTTGCCTTTTCTTTTCTTACCACTTTTTACTACAAAAGATTATAGCTTAGATAAATATATACCTTTACTACTATTGTAACGACAATGATTCTCACGTATCTGGTACTTCTGGAGTAGCCTAGCTACATCATATTAACGCTTGCACGACGGATGCAACATTAGGAGCAAGATGGTCCTACCCTTACGGAGCACCCGAGATCACCCCCCAGTTTTTGGTTGGGTTCCTGTTGCTCAGTCTTCAGTTTTCGATGTTGTGCTTAGTGTACTGTTTATGTCTTTTTCTTTTTTTTTTTTTTGCCATGACGTTCTCAATTTACTTTCGACTAAGGAGTTTGAATGTTTGCAGATAAGAGATAATGATAAAGTGAACACTAGTCATATAATTTTGTTGTTTTCATTTTTTACAGCACTGATTCGATACCTCTGCTGGTGGACGATCAATCCCCGAGGGTATCATCAGCTCAGTATTCAGTACTTCGGTACTGACATTATTTATAACTAACTATCTAAAATTGTTTGTTTATAAATTTATAAATTTTACAGAAACCTAGGTTTCAAATCCCTCAGGCAAAGTTGGCCTTAGATGGATTTGGCAATTTTTTTTTTGGGGTCCTTTTTGGTGTATAGCTCTTCAACGTGTTCCGTCCTTGTACATCCTTGGCTTTCAAATATTCGGCTTTGAGCGTTCCTGATGAAGATAAATCCAGAAAAGCGCTTCGGACGCATGAAATTCCTATACAAACAAAAACAGTTGTCATTATCTGTTACAAAATTTAAAAAAAAATAGATTTCATGATTACATTTCTATTTTGATTTTAGGTGGTTTTTTTTTGTCCTGTTTAAAGGCGAGGCTTTTTTTCTCGTTGAGAGAACTGGTGTCGATGTCAGATATTTTTTTCTCGTTGAGGGAACTGCATCGTGTCGATGTCTGATTTTGACAATGTCTGTTGAATATATACTCACAACTTGTACACTCTTTGAATATATATACTCACAACTTGTACACTCTTGGTAATATTTAGCTTGACATACTGATATAAGTTGTTAACGTCATTTTGTACAGAGTTGTTTCATTGGCAATCATATCACATCCTCTTATATGTTTATATGTATTTGTATAATTCGGGATTATGTAGAATCCCTGATTTTTCTGGGATTTTGCATAATCACTTACATTATTGTTGATTATATATACTCCCTTAAATTGACCAGTGAATTTACATAATCACTGAAAATTTTAAAAATTATTCAAAAACTTCCATGATATTATTTCAGGGATTATCTATATTACAATACTACAAAAATCCTTTGTGTAAAATAAATAAATCAAAAAAAGACAAATAAATCATCGTTATTTCTTACTTTTTCAAGGTTTTAGTGGACAATTTTCATTTCCTGTCCATTTATCAAATTTAATTTGAATAACAAAATGTAATAATGGACTTTTACAGTGATATAAAACTAAACTGTGTTGAGTGCATTAAGCACATTAACTCATAAACAAAAAGTATTTTGAATTGAAATTAGTAATACCAACATTCTCAATGATAGTGAAATCTGTACATGAATTTATTATTTGCCCAAAACAGCGTCAAATGCACATTCATGTTCTAAATGTGAAGTCACAGTGCATGTAATTTGCTGTATAACAAATGGTGATGAATGATATTGAAAATCTGTTGTATGTTTTCTATGTATCAATGAACAAGGAATTCAAACTTATCAAACTTATGCAACTAAACTTACTGAAAAACAGACAGAACGTTTGCTTGGCAGACTGAACACAATTTAGCAGGAGGCAAACATTGGCTGTTATGCTTTAATGCCGATACTGCATGTTGATCGAGGAAAGGGATACCCCCAAAAAATATATAATGGCCATTGTTCATGAAAGGACCGAAAAGGATAGTGCCTGGCTAAGAAACATTACATTTTGCTTTGATCCTACGCAAGAAATTAACTTGAACAGACAGATTCATTTTTTGGGTACCTTCAGATGTTTCTGATGCACACTCTTTTCGCTACAACGTGCGGTAAAATCACATTTCAATATGTGAAGGACAAAGTGTTTTTTTAAATGAATGTTGTTGAAAAAAAAGCGAAAAGGTGGGCTTGCAAATGGTCGATTGATAAATTTGCAATTGTAAATGTTATCAAAATTTACAACGCAGTTTGTAGAAATAAATGTTTTGTATCAGAGAATTTTGCTGAACATTTTAATATTTATGTTTCTAGAGATGTTTACATATTATTTTATAGAATAAATATAACTTTTATCCATTGTCATTTCATTCCAGTTATTATATATAATCCCTGTCATTTGTTTTCTAGTGATTATGCATATTTCCTGAAAATTTTAGGGTTAGGCTTAATATATGAGCTGCGTCGGATAGAAATCGACCTTATGCAAAGGAATATCAATACACCTGAAAAAATATCTATGCAATGTCTGTGACTGTTTGAAAATTGAGTTGATATAAGAACCCTATAAAACAGACCAAGATTCCTCTTTTATTTCGTATTTGAATGTTCCAAAATCAATTAAAGTCTTATACATGTACATGGAATAGATGCACTTGCATATGGTCGATTTCTATCCGACGCAGCTCAATTATAAAGATATAAGAAGATGTGGTATGATAGCTAATGAGACAACTCTCCATCGAAGTCACAATTTGTAAAAGTAAACCATTATGAGTCAAACTATGGCCTTCAACACAGAGCCTTGGCTCACACCGAACAGCAAGCTATAAAGGGACCCAAACATGACTAGTGTAAAACCATTCAAACAGGAAAACAAACGATCTAATCTATACGAGAAACGAGAAACACTTATGAACCACATCAACAAACGACAACCACTGAACATCAGGTTCATTACTCACTAAATTGACCCGTGATTATACATAATCCCTAATTATACACATTAACTGTAACACATAAATACCTATCTTTTGTTGAAGCCTTAATCTTTACCTCTAGATATATTTGTTTAACTGTGTCATTGGATTGTAGTCTCATTAACAAACAATCTCCGGCGCAGAGTCCATATCCGTTCCGTACATGCTCCGCAATACTACACTTATTATCATATTGAGTGTAGGGAAAACGGTACTATTTATTCTGCCTTAGGTGACAATACTAACATTTTCTAAATTTACCACTTTTTATAATAGAAAACCCGGATAAAACAATTATGTGTGGTGTAAGTACTTTATTATTTTGTTTTAAAAATTGAAGCCAAATAGTATCATGACCAACTTCCAACGGAGCTTGTTAATGTTATCTATGCGCACCGTCATTTTACGCCAAATTTATGAAATTTTTGAAGTCTTTTCAAATAATTCTCTAGAAAATATTTCAATAGGTTTCAAAATTTATATTGTAAATATACACACTGCAGTTATTCATAGATAAATAAAAAAATATATTTTACCCTAACATCCAATCACAGTGCTCCTAAGTTGACTTCCTTCACCTGCCTTGGGTACACAAAAGGCCAACCTAATGCTGGGAAAATGTAATAGTACCGTTTTCCCTGTAGTAGTGTTACGTATTATTGAACGGAACGGATATGATCCCTGCTCCGGAGATTGATTGACATATACTCTACACTATATTCATATCAGTAAAAGATCAATGTTTTCGAGTTCTTATTGACAAACATGGCATATTAAACAACAAATAATACTAAAATAAAACTTACGTGCTGGAATATTTTTCAAAGTCATTTTGCCTGCTTTTTTAAATTTTGCCAAATCCTCTAATCCAGAAAACACTTGATAGAATTTCTTTTTAGGGTCATTTACAATATTTTGTAATTGTTTATCTTCTTTTCCTATTGATATTCCGTGAATAATAAAATCTGACATCAACTTCCGCTGGTGAATAACACTTTGAATATCACCCTCATTGGGTTTGTCAGAAATAATTATTAAATAATTTCGTACATCCACCCTGTCTTTTTGATGAGCAAACATCTTGGTTCTAATATTCGCTAAGGCCGAGGCAAGGTCAACATCGTTAGATTTATATTTTTTGGGGGTCTTCTTTACCGCTCTCTTTATATCTTTAATTTTTACGTACTGTCCCAAATCAAATACGATCTGAAATTTAGTTCCGAAACTAGTTAGCCCAATTCTCACTTTACCATTCTCAGTTGATGACTTTTTCACTAAATTTAAAATAAATTTTAACAGCCTCTTTTTGAAGACCTTTTTCGTCACCGAAGTTGATGCGTGGAAGGCAACAACAACATCAGCGTATTTCTTGTCTAAAATAAAAAAAAGTATACATTTTAATAAATAAATAAACTGTGAGTACGGACATATAAAGAAAAGTAAATAAAGATATAAATGAGTTACATATACTCATTGTAAAGGCACCTGTTGATTGATAAGACCGTACTGTGACTCCTAGATGTCTTTTTGGTACATATGTCGCTTGGTTGCTGTCTTTTTGTAATTTACTCCGCATCTACTTTTATTTATTATATGCATTTTTAAGTGACTTTGATTACAAATATGTTCTGCAGCAATAAAAATCTAGCTGGAAGTTCCAAATTTATATTATAAGTATAAAAATATAGATTTTAAAAAACTGCTTACCATTGACACGTCTTTGCCGCTAACCAGTTTTAGTCACAAACCAAGAAAACGTTCTTCAAGTTATGAAATTTAAATTTATTGTAAGAGTCGATCTCCTGATTTAGTTAATACGTTTGGAGAAAAGGCTGTAAATAGAGGGAGAAGATACCATATGAGCAATACAAAACTGTAAGTCGTAGAAAAACAGACACTACCATGGTCGAGAAGCCAACAAGTCCTCAAAAAACTACACAAAAGGAAAGATTGAGTAAATTGAGCCCTTGCAAGAACTAGAGGTAAACTTCTATGTCATTTGGCATCTTGTGGAGAGTTGTCTCATTAGCAATCATAACACATTTTCTTATTTTTCAAATCTTGGCCACGAACGGTAGAAAGATGTTGGTACACTAGCGTCACCCGTATTGCTCATGACAAGTAAACATTTGGTGATAAGTTGATGAATTCGGGTTATATGTCAGTTACCAAAGAGTATCAGAATATAACGATTAAACAAGACGGAATTTCCACAGTAGTGCCAACAAAAATAGATTGGTATTTTTCTCTGTTATAGGTTCTTCATAGGCACATCGGATCAAATAAAAGCAACAGTAGTATACCGCTGTTCGAAACTCATAAATCGATAAAGATAAAAACAAATCCGGGTTACAAACTAAAACTGAGGGAAACGCATCAAATATAAGAGGAGAACAACGACACAACAAAAACTCAACATTCAAATGTAACACACACAGAAACGAACTATAATATAAATATGGCCATTTTCCTGACTTGGAACAGGACATTTTAAGAAAAAAAATGGTGTGTTGAACCTGATTTGTGGCATGCCAAACCTCCCGCTTTAATGGCAACGTCAAACGACAACATCACATGACAGGACCACAATACAAATAAATGGGAGAACATATAGGACAAAGAAACATACGAATAATAGCTAACAAAAGGTACTAGGCTTAAAATTCAATACGCCAGACGTGCGTCTCGTTCACACAAGACCATCCAGTGACGCTCAGGTGAACAAAGCTTGAAAGCCAAAACAAGTACAAAGCCGAAGAGCACCGAGGACCAAAACTTCCAAAATGTTGAGCCTAACACAGCCAGGGTTTTCTGCCAGGGACAAGAACATCCTTATTATTTAGAATAATTTATAATTTTGCAAACAGTAAATTTTATAAAATGACTATATAATAGATATACATGATAAAACCGAAGTGGGGACTAACTACAGAATAAAAACGGATACATTACATAAAACAACTTAATCCAACATATAAAAATACACAGCCGAGTTAGCCAAAGCATCAACGCACAAAGTGACGTCACATTTGAATTTGTAAAAATATTTCCCAAAAATAAGATAGAATTAGGATTGATTCAAGATTAGATTTGTAATACTGACATTACATTTATTAATAGCAATGAAAATTACAATACTTATTAATATCAAATTGTGGTAGTAATTAGATAATTAATTGTATTATCCAGCTATGTCGGTGTTTCTTCTGAATCAAACTGTAAACCAGATATATCGTATAAAGTTTTGAATATAATAGATCGACAATCAACAAATTATTTCTATAAGTATCCGTGTTCATATGATATACATATTTAAACTGTGTGTATTCATCTAAAATGTATTAAAACAATGCCCATATTAAAGCCCTATAAAGGTAAGGGAAGCGACAGTAATTCACCGATGGTCAAATCTCGTAAATAGGTTGAAATGAGATATATCAAGGTAACAACCAAAAATTGCTGGAATCACATATACTCCAAAAGGAACGAGACCGGTTGCATGTCTTGCTATGCATGTATAGGATTGAGATCTCACTAAACATGTTTAACCCCGCCGCATTTTTGCGCCTGTCCCAAGTCAGGAGCCTATGGCCTTTGTTAGTCTAGTATGTTTTTTAATTTTAGTTTATTTATATGTTTTGGAGTTTAGTGTGACGTCCATTTTCACTGAACTAGCACACAATTTTAGTTAGGGGCCAGGTGAGGACCACCTCCGGGTGCGGGATTTTCTCGCTGCATTGAAGACCCATTGGTGGCCTTCGGCTGTTGTCTGCTCTTTGGTCGGGTTGTTGTCTCTTTGACATATTCCCCATTTCCATTCTCAATTTTAATCATTTCGTTTCACAATTCTTTATATAAAAAAAAAAACAGATAATAACAAAAATGATAATACCTTTCAAAGTAATATTTTGAGTCGATTGTGCTATGGTCACTGGTGGCTGCTTTGTTGTAGGATGGACTGTACATTTACCATATATATGAAACATAAAAATCACAATTATCATTTAATTGATATAGACATAATACTCCAGCAAAACTTATTATTGACATAGCAAGTAATGTAGAACACCAATTCCATGCTAGTCCTGTAATGAGTTTCACAGCTTACTATCAAATATGTACTTAAACATTTTTTATAGACGCTGAACATTTTAACATACTTGAACAATTTGATTACACAACTGTGCAGCAATCATGGATTCACTATATATAATAATAATTGATATGCAATGAAAAATCATTAATGTTTACCATTTCATAGTGCATGGAAAGCGATGTATATAGCTTATGGTCAAAAGGTTAAACTTCTTGCCCAAGGAAATCGTAAATTTTAGAGTATATAAATAGAAAAAACACCAAAAATATCATGCTTTACTACGAGTGGATACTGTAAACCAATTTATTTTCGCGACTTTCGCGAGGAGAAAAATAACGTGAATATAAATCGCCGCGAAATCGTAAAACTTGGATCTTTCCTATTTAACTACATCAAATATATTTGAAAATCGCGAAATTAAATCGCCATGAAGTGGACTAGCAAGGACTAATCGAAATAAAATATACGCGAAAATAAGTTGGTTTACAGTACATTAACGTTGACATTTTACTGCACCAGATGCATATTTCGATAATTATTGTCTCTTCAGTGATGTTCGAATACAACATATTTGAAATTAAAAATGGTTCACCTACTGCAATCCAGGGTTATTTCAAGACTCGAGCAAGTTATAGTAACATCTGGGTCAAGGTTAAATCCGAAAAATTCGTGGTCAGTTGACTGGTATATAAGTGAGGTTTCGTTTCTTACAATAGACCGTTCATCGGTAGTTTCTTGTAAATTATTAACCTTTTGTCTTGTTTGTAATGGTATTATCTGTCATTTTTTTATTAATCCTACTTGCTTTATGCTTTCTATGGTGTATGATCTGTTTAACCTCTCAGGACACATCCTCCGGTTTTCTAAGGGTTCATGTTGCTCAATCTTCAGTTTTTTATTCTTTGTTTTGTAAACCGTAGTTTTTCTTTTAGCCGACGTTTTATTTTATTCCGTGGTTTTGTCAGTTTGTCTTTGACTTATGAGTTTGAATATCACTATGGTATCCACAGCCTGTTCTTTTATCTAACTACTCACCGTATTGTAGATCCAATACTACGCTTTGCAATATGGGTCCCTTCTCCAACTCAGCATACGATTTTACCGTATGTAGAAAAGCCTTTGAATCTGAATAAGTTACCACCTGTTCCAAATCAGGGTGCGGTTTGTCAGTAACAGATATCCCATGAATGACGACACCTTTCTCTCGCAATTTTTTCGCTGTTATAGTATAATCAACACCTTTTTTGTCGACAGTTTTATCCATTATAATAATGATATGTGTATTTTGGAAATGTGATCCTTTCTTAAGAACATATTTCAAAATCGTCAAGAATGCACCACCCAAGTCGGCCATCTTGCTTCGTAACTTTTTATCAAGAGTCAAAATAGAATTGCCAGCCGTGGTTATATCGGTGGATTTGACAAGAATCTGGGAAAATTTACCGAAACTAACAACAGACAAGTCTGTGTCTCTTGAAATACCAGTATAAGTGGTTAATGAGTGTAAAAATTTGACAAGAGTCTTAAAATCTTTTGGTGATGTTGAACTTGATGATTGAAAAACGATTATAAGATGTTTTGTATGATCTACGTTCAATGCTGAAATAAATAACGAAAATAATGGTCAATAGTGTTGTAATCAGATGAATGAGATATAAATACAAAAAGAAGATAAATAAAATAAAACGATGATGTCCTGTATTAATCATTTTAAAATAATTATCCCTCGCTTTGGCAGTTACGGAAAATTTTTAAGATTTAAGTTTTTTTTGTTTTTTGTTTTTTATCAATTAGTTCTGAAAGCGTACTGCAAATTTATTGCAATGAATTTATTTGACAACTTGCTTCCTTCATATCATTTTGTCTTTTACATAAGATGGTCACATTTTACATTTAACATGTCATCAAGTAAGATAACTCTGGTAAAATCATGGAAATAACTCACTTTTGAAATAATGTTAATCAAATTAAGACGAACTTTTTTCTTATCATATGTATCTGTATTATGGGCAAAAGCTGTATGAACATTTAAAAACCATTTATACTGCAATCAGCCAACTATTATACGAATAACAGGTACACAAATAAATTTTTGCTTTATTTGTACTTGTAGCAATAAAGTCTCCTGTACCCATCTTCCATGTTGAGCAATCGGTAATGTGGATATTTCTTTTTGTGTACCAATTTTGGGGTCCTCTTCGCAGTCCGCGTTTAAACTATGTCGATTTCTTTGAAAAATTAGAGACAATGATTTAGATTTTAACAACTAAAGTTTCAAGTGTTGGGTATAAATTTCAGGATAAAAACAATATATGTACATTGTCGGAAAATATATAATTTATTTGTACTCGCTGCAAAACAGGAGAAAAGTAAGACGAGCCTCGCTTTTCGTCCTGTTTCTAAAGCTCATACAAATGAATTATATATTTTCCGACAATTTACATATATTGTATATTTCCATGTTTTCTTGATTGCAAAAAGCGATGAAATGGATATTGCAATAATTTAAATCAGAATATCAATGTAAATGCATTTGTAGTAGGTAGAACATCCTTAGATATTGAAATAATTATTTTCGTGTTTTATTCGCAATAATAAATGCACATTTTGATATCTCAAAGTACTGTAATTTTTGCATAGGTGACGTAATAATCGAACTCTTATGAAATTAAACACTGTCATTCATATTATTAAGCATTACTGCACAATTTTCATTTTTTGAAAGTTTGGACTGTTATAAAAACAATTATTATGATTTTGAAAAAAAAACCACAGAAGACCAGTAAAGTATTCTGTAATGATTATTTATGCTCTTTAGGAAATATATAATGATAACACAAAGAAATACATACCTTATCAAAAGTCTGTGTATGATTTTCTTCAATATGTTTTACATCTTCTTGTACGGTTATCATGCAAAAAAATCGCAATACGAAAAACTCTCGAGGTATATATTAGTATGTTTAAATTGACTTGAAAAGTTTATGCTCTGCTTATCAATAAAAGTCACCAGACAACCCATTGTCAACTTATATTAAAACTGTGCAACATTTCACTTACATAGGAGTATTGATAATCACTTCGGTTTAGTCTCGAGTCATAAAATGCCCTGGTTAACGTTTAAAGAATTCAGGACATTGATTACCACAGTTTTATTTACAAATATCTTGATTTTCTTGTCCAATTCAAGGTTTGAACTAGTACATGTATTAATAAAAACATTTATATTTGGCCGCAGTTTAAATTTTAGCACAGATTTAAATCTCGATAAAATGGTTGAGTTCTCTACATTCATCTAATATTTCTTTTTAGCGGTACTGTATTGTTGTATTCATGTCTCATGTTTTTATTGATAATAAGCATAAACTACTGCTCGGAATCAATTTAAACCCTATGTAATTGTTATCATGCATGACTTACCAGCTGTTGTAGAACGGATAATAACAGGGGCACGTGTTGTCACTGGTGCACGTGTTGCGGGTGGTCGGGCAGATTTCTTCTGTACTAAACAAATTAGTTCAATATTTACGTTATTGTTGCAAAACATTTTCATTCAAAAAAATAAACAAAATGTATTATATACATTTCTTACGAATTCTCAAACTCATGTTGTTGCTTTAACTTTTTTTAAAACTAAATGCTTTATTTTAAAAATGGTTTGAATTTAATAATTAAGAACATAATATAAGATTGAACTTTTTCATCATGTTAAATTTTTAAGATCATTTACAGAGTTGATATATAAAGCGAGTAGGCAAGCTCATTTATTTTTTCATTGGATATGTTGGAGTATGATTCTTTCATCAAATTCCATTATTCTGTTCAGATACTAATTCAAATCGATTTTTTGCTTCGATGAGAAGACAAGTTTGGTTCTTGTTAAGATGTAAGATTAGGGTAGACAATCCTTTAAATTTCTGATATGTCTCTTTGAATTACAAACTTGATAGATAAAGCGAGTAGGCAAGCCCGGGTATTTTTTCATTGAATAGGTTGGAGCATAATTCTTGTAGCAAATTCCATTATTCTGTTCAGATACTAATTCAAATTGATTTTTGGTTTCGATGCGATTCTGGTTAAGGTGCTAGATAAGGGGAGACAATTCTTTAAATTCCTTATACTTTTGAAATAGTCCGTTTATTTAGTGTTTCTTGTACGTTCAATTGAAACAGAAATTGAAATAATTTATGGTACTCTGTGTCACCTAAAAGCTTAAAACATCTTTATTATTATGATTGACACAAAATGTAACACAGATTTTTAATACTTATGTCACTTTTGCAAAATACATTCTCTTAAGTATAAATCGACTTCGATGTTCATTTAGCTATGCGAGAATTGGATTTCATTAACATAACGATTAAATGTTTTAAAATAAAAGTAGTTAAAGAAACGTTAACCCACTGTTTCACTTTTAAGGTGGTACCCAACACCTTGACTAATATTAATTTGGCTCGTTTAATTTTCATAAAATTTTGACAAAATGTTTACATTGACCCTTTGACAAAAATATAAAAATTTCAAAAAATTTGAACCAACCACTTTATCAGAAAAATTTCATTGGTTATATAGCAGTTTGACAAACACTAATTTTGATCATTGAGAAGCTTAATATTTCCTTAACAATACAACGTAATTAAAACGTTTAGCTGATTTTAACAGAGTTATCTCCCTGTAGTGTTAGGTACCACCTTAATGCGTGTTATATAGACTTTAATATTAACAGTTCATTATCTAATTACAGTTAAGTGCAAGTTGTTTGTGTTTTCACAACTTCGATTTAAAGGTGGGATTTTACTTTTCATCCAGTTTGTAATTTCTGTTTGTGTTTCATAGATATTTCATTAAATTCAAGTAAAGTTGGACATCTAATGAACAATTGAAAAATTCAATATAACCTCGAAAATGAGTAGAATGAATGCAAAAATGTCGTATCTAGTTATGTTTATCGTTAGTACAATAATGAATTTTCGTCGTATTTTAAACTGGGAGTAACTTTTGTCGAAAGCTTAAAATCTAAAATCAGAGTTTATACTTTCATTTTTTTACCTTAAAACGAACAATGTTCCCACTTTCTACTTACATGCTCGAATCTCATTTGTAATCTTATGAACATGAGAATCTCCTTTTACTAAATCAAAGTAAGATTTTGCACTTTGATGATAAGTATCTCGTGGTTGGCTGACCATCGACAATAATTCATTATTGTTGGCTTTTGCGACACCGACAGTGAATATCGTAACTCCCATATTTTTTAGATTATTTATTTCCTGTGAAGCGGCATTCGAATCAGACGTGCTACCCATATCGGTTACTATGACGACAGCTGTCGGAACCCCTTCAGACATTCTAGCGCCACCTGTTTTCGATAAAGTCTTTGTTCTAAGTAGCCGAAGGGCAGCTGTTAAATCAGCTTTACTATTCCTGAAAGGCTTTGGTTTCCATTTTTGAATAGCTTTTCTCAATAGTGATTTCTTATTGTATTTATTCAATCCAAAAACCTCCTTTACTGCTGCACCATAATTTATAACAGCTCCCCTCGCAGAACCTGAATCTACTTGGGCTTTTTCGAAAAGTCTCGAAATAAACAACTTCAGTCCTTTATTAAATTCCTTGGATTTAAGTTTGTGTCCAGCGTGGAACAGAATGACGACATCCGCACTCTCGCTACCTAAAAAGACAAAATTACCAAGTTAAACATGAACAGCATAAATTAATCCTCTGACTGCGGTATAGACATTTATGTCCCTTGTCGAGATATAAGAAACAATTCAAACAAACAAATGAATAATTACAAAAAAATTAAGATTTATTCAGAAAAGGGCGTCGGACGTATGTCATTTCTACTTATATACTTGGATCCTAAAGATTCGAACAAATAACATTATGACGTCATAATAACAGACATAAGGTCAGAAAATACAGATTGAAGAGGTTTTCTTAAATCTTTTACACAAAACTTAAAAAATAAAAATGCCACGTTCACTCTAATACCGTTGCGGCCAAATTTCTCTTAAATCAGAAATTACAATATAGATTATCGATGATTCTTGATGAGAGGGGATTTCGCGGCTAAAATTTCATCGAAGGGCAATAATCCCGAGATGAGATGTTACAGAGGAACTTTCTCGTGTTCTTAAAGACCATAAATAATCTGTGTATCGCCAATTTCCTAACAAACCTCAATGACATAGGCTTATCACGTCATGCACTTTTTTTACTCGACTGAAGAAAAAATCACTCGAACGAGTGAGGAGGAAAATTATCATACAGAAAGGTTAAAGAAAATAGCGATAATAATAAAAGCGTTTGACACTGAACCCGGACAGGTATAAAGCTTAATGAAGCAAAACGTAGAAATGATGAAAAAAATAGATCTATAAAGATTGTACAATTGTGAATTTATTTGCTTTTTATTTGAAATTTAAATCGAATCCACTTTGTTTAAGTATCTACAATGTCAATTGTGAACAATCTAATTAAAGAACGGTAAAATACGACAATAGTTTTGTTCAAAAAGATTTGAACTTTTCATTATTTTCAATGTCATATTGTTATTTCTTTGTTTTATTTAAGAATTCAATATTATATGCTAATTTAAATTTTTCATCAAACTGAGACTCTTTCTTAGTATTTCTTAGAATCATTGCTAGGTATTGCAAATTACAAAAAAAATAAACACGCAATCTATTTGGTTATTAGGGTATAAATTGCCTTTTTGACATTGTGTAATAGATCAAATTTATTCGTTGTTTGTATGTTTACTTGTTTATGTTAATATGTCATTTTGATTGCGTTAAGCCATTTCAATTGATATTTATATTGTCTCTTTCTATGTTGTAATGTTACACTATTATTTCATGTTAGGGTGAAGGTTGGCGCCTGTTAAAACCCGCTGTATTTGTTTGCACCTGGCCTAAATCAGGAACCTGTTTCAGTGGTTGTCTTTTGTTGATGTGGTTCCTAAGTGTTTCTCGTTTCTTGTTTTTTATATAGATAAGACCGTTGGTTTTCCTGTTTGAATTGTTTTACACTAGTCATTTTGGGGCCCTTTATAGCTTGGTGTTCGGTGTGAGCCAAGGTTTCGTGTTGAAGGCCGAACTTTCACCTATAATTGTTTACTTTTAACACATTGTGACTTGGATGGAGAGTTGTCTCATTGGCACTCATACCACGTCTTCTTATTTCTATATAAAGACAAGTCAAATCTTCGTCAAAATCAGATTTGATCGGTGAAAGCACACGTGATGTCATAAAGTAGTGATGTCCTTTATTATAGACATTTCCGACAACTACCATTTATACCCTTCAAAAGTAGTAAATAATAATATTCAGTTTTATTTATTTGTCTTGCATCTCAACGGTATCAAATGTTCACAATGCTTTTTAAAACATATTTCGGAAAAATAATCGCCAATAAGCACATACTTGAAATTGGATATACGTATTTAATGAGAGTACTATGTATATTGAAATGAATTGTATATGGAATATCAAGATTATTAGATATAATATATATGGGTCTTACCTGCAGTAAGTTTCCTTCTCTTGGTTACATAAAGATCCCATGCTGTGGTGCAAACAAGTCACGTATGAAAAGTGCTCGGTGTAGCTAAGTGATGATAGCAAAAGTGAAAAAGTTCAAGGCAAATCGAATATGCTGACTGGAAAATGACTGAATTGTCTTATCGGGGTCTGAATCCATCAATTTTATTTTGGAATGGTATACTATATACAAAATTAATTAAAATGCATGTAAACATATTACCGGTTTGGATATACTCTTTATTTTGGAATGCAATTTAACAGAAAAGATAACATGTAGTAGTTGTGACCTATTGGGCAATCTAAATTAAGAAGAAAATTGTATAATGAAATAATGTTAATTTATATATGTTTTTATTTACATATTGATATTTTGAAATGGTGCATAAAATACACTTTTTAGAACGTTTCCAAAGTTTTCATTCATTCTGATTAATATTTAAGCAAATTTCGAAATAATGCGCAACATTCTTTTCTTTCGGAAAACAAATCTCATGTCGATTGGTTTCTAATTTTGACTTGTATACACGGGTGCTTTTCATGAAATGAGTAAATAAGTTGAAGTGAAAACAAATGATAATGGTTTCTTTTTAAAAGGCTGGAATTTTCAAGAACTCGATGAAAAAGAAAGGACGTGATGTATTAATTTAAACAAAATCCCTACGGACACTTGCAAAAACAGAAGAAAAAAAAAGATTTTTTTTTTTTTATCGCTAATCTTCATTATAAAGTTAAAGAGATAGCTCTTCCAGTCAACACATATAGTGCACTTTCAACATGCAAAAGTGAATAACTGCAATCATCTACTCTACTTCGTGCAAGTAGAAACAAAGTACTGCAGAGGGATAAATAAAAGTGCTGCAATCTCCCTTTGTGTCAAGTAATATACGTAATATTGAGTTTACCAGACCAATATAAGAGTAATCATCTGAATACATATTGGCAAGTATGCTTTGATTAATTGATTGGTGTTTGCTTTACGCCGCCTAAGCACAAAAAGGCTATATGGCGGCGATAGTATAATTTGATAAGGTGACCGAGTTTCTATTATGTGTAACAATAAAGTGTATCAAGTTCGATTGCATGGGGTTCCGCAAAATCAATAATGGACAATATTCTATTATTAGAGGACAAGTTAAACTTGTGCATTAACTTTCGTCAGATAATAAACTTTATACAGATTATTTTTAACGTGGTGTTTATATATATGTAAAAGGTTTAGAAATATGCTCAACTTTATTTATAATATCCGAAAACTCATACATATTCGTTCTCACTCTCACTCTCTCACTCCATACACACATACACACACACACCGAGCAAATCATTGGTTTTCTTCATTCAGTTAGTCTTACTAATCTGTCGGTTGTAATACATCCACACGCAAGTCAACAATAACAAATTAACTAACACATATAGGACAGGGATAATTAAGGTTCTAAGTAAATAAAGTTTTTTGTTTTATTCATGGATGAAATTAACTCGCTCAAGAAAAAAACATCAGACGTTCCTATAACGAAAAGAGTTATTCTCAGTATAATTTGTGCTTATATCCTTTATTTGATGCTAAAACTGCAGACGTTTCTATAACAAAAAGAGTTATTCTCAGCATAAGTTGTGCTTAGAACTTTTATTTGATGCTAAAACTGCAGAAGTTTCATTACAAAAATAGTTATTCTTAGCATAAGTTGTTGCTAAGAACCTTTATTTGATGAGACTTAAAAGAAAACACACACATGACAACACTTTTGTGCTTAGAACCTTTATTTGATGCTACTACGAGACTTACAAGAAAACACACACATAATCTGTCACATGACAACACTTTTGTATGAACGACACAAAGAAAGACAAAGGGAAGCATGCATACATAAATAGCGCATGCGTGCTTGTGTAAGATAGTATATCTATGATCCATGGTTGTCCACCCTTTATATATTGATTTCCATTTGTTTTTTTCATTTTAAGATAATTCATATATTCCTGTACCACTAATAATATTTACACCTTTTTAAAATATCATCGAAAGCGTCTTTTAACAACCTTTTATCGTAGTTTTAAACGCCAAAAATTTATTTTCACTATTAAATCTTTACAAAGTGCTGTTCTCGATAAATATCAGATGAAATTTTATTTTTGTGATCCAGAAGACTATATGTAATAACTCGGTTTTTTTTTATTAGATAAGCAGTAAAAGAATTAACATATTCCACAAACGCTATATATACAGGACTTTCGAGAATCTCACTTCCGAAATCACAAATCTGATTTTAAAATTTCAGTTAAATACGATGTGTTTCCCTAGTAAAGGAAGTTTACCGGAACGTGGTTCGCAGCAGAGGAATGCAATGGTGAAAAGTGAAATAAAAACAATTTGTTTCTTTAATTTTCCAACGTTTCCAGATTCATAATTATGTTAAATTTGAAGAACGATGCAGGCCAAAAGACCTGTTATATATATGTCAACCAAATAGTATTAAACCAACAGGGGTTGAACACCGCTAATCGTTGATTCTTTGTTGTGCTTCATCAATCTCCGGCGCAGAGTTTATGTCCGTTCCTTACATGCTCCGCAATACTACACTTAATTGTCGCGAGGTAGTTTACTTACATACAAGGGAACAAACTGTCTTCAAATTATAATTTTAGAACACATTAATGATTCCGGAAATGAGTTTCTGGATAGGGCTATAGTATCTCACTGAAGAGTAAATCATTTTGTTTATCTTATAATAAATTTGACATTCTCAGATCTTACGACAAATAGGACAACCACAAATTCATGAACACGTAAAAAACATAGCATGCACACATACTTACTTTTCAATTTAGATCCTAAAATTATAAGAAAAACAATAAAACATATTAATTGAACTTAACGAATCAGTTTAGTGAGTACAGATGATTTGTATACACCTGATTTTATTTCTATTCTATCGTTTCTTTCATTTTGTTAAAAAAAAAAAATTCTTCATAATTCCCGCATGAGAATAATCTGGAAAAAAATTTTGTTCCGGCATGTAATTTGCATTTATAAATGGCAATTCATTTAAATAATCAGTTATTATGTTCTTCTCCAAATTTTATAGATAAAGAACACAGCTTGAATAATTTAATGTACAGATCATAAAGAGAATTAGCATAAAGTCCTGCCTTTCTTTACACCAACTGCTGACATTTAGTTCTCACTTTTTTCTTTAATAAACAGGACAGAAAATAAAAATTTACTTCTGGTATTTAAGTCTTTTTTATTCTCTTGATTTTGACTTTAGACAAAAACTCATCAAAGAAACCAGGCGTATGATTTGGCACGATTTTCGTCTACATAAGGCTCGTCAGTGGCGCTCGAATCAAAAAAAGTTTGGAAGACCAAGTCAAAAACGAAGACAAGTACTGAAATATGGTAACAAACATAATTACACTATGTTGCTTAAATAAACTTACCTGTTGTGAAACCTAAGGAATCAATGGTTTCTTCAAGAACGGGTCTTAAGTCCAATTTACTTACTGAAAACAAACAAGGGAAATACTTTATAATAATGTAGCTATGGAATCAAACATTGACATTTCCTAAACAGGAAACACTGGCATCACTCAGTATTAAATTTAGGTGAAGTGACTGTCACTTAAAGGTATCCAGACCATAATCAAAAAAGCATTACAAAAAAAAACGAACGTCAATGTAAATCTAAAAAGAGGAAAGTCCATAAAACCTGACAAAATCAAACGCTTGAAAAACAAAATAGTGATTAAATATTTATGAGTAAATCAATTGAATGGTAAGTAATTAACATCATTTTAAACAAATATTACGTTCGCAAGAGTAGGAGCTCCCGTAGGAACTATGATCCTTTTGGAATACCACGTGGTCAATGATTATGTTCCGAATACAGTATGCAGCAATGACAACCATATAATAGAAAAGTATAAATGTAAATTTCAAATGTAAAAACAAAGAAATGAATGTCTTTTTATTAAATTGTAATTTCTTGTTTTATCTTTTCTACTTACTTAAAACTCTAACTCAAAAATCCAAGATAACAAAATGAATACAGATGAATTTCAAAAATACAGCCATAATGAAATGGTGGTACCACACTAAAATTAATTTGGCTAGTTTAATTTTCATAAAATTTTGACAAAATATTTTACTTTGACCCTTTGACAAAAATATAAAAGTTTCAAAAACTTGAACTACACACTTTATCGGACAAATTTCATTGGATATATAGCAGTTTGACAAACACTAATTTTGATCATTGAGAAGCTTAATATTTCCTTAACAATAGAACGTGATTAAAACGTTCAGCTGATTTTTACAGAGTTATCTCCATGTAGTGTTATGTACCCCCTTATTACAAATTGAAAGTCATGATGTGATTATGGTATGAAAGTCTGTGAAAAACAAAACAAAAAAACACATGGCTTTATGAATGAACTGATTGGTTGACCAGGGTCATTTGGGGGAAACGCGTCTTTAGATATTGTGACTTGAAGATATTTGCTATGTGAAGTAAATTTTTCTCTAGGAAAAAGCACCAATTGGAAGAGCTTGGTTATTTCTACCTTTGCTGCATACCTCCGCTGTGCTGCCGCGCAGGCATATTGCAGTTACGAAGTTGCAAATGGATGGATATATTTCTGGGAATTTCCAAGTGCATACAAGTTTGCAGTTTATCTTTTTTAGGCAAACCCTTAATCCCTACTGTGGCTTTTTAAGCATTCGGGGCACCGAATACAAACCAAGATTTCTTGCAACTCTAAATATACCATAGCAAGTTCATTTTCTAATTGTTGATGATTTTATGAAGCTTGTACTCCATACATGTCGTTCTGATGAGTTTCCGTTGTTCATATTGAATAAAGAACATAGAACATTTGTCAATTAATAAATGACAATACATTTCGATCAATTCTCCCTTGATAGCAAATAGCGAAAAGTAAAACTACACACCATCATTAGCAATCAGAAAGTGAACTTTAAATGGTATTTTCAGTTGAGGTGTATTTTTAGACATACACATTTATCTTATCTAAACATACAAGATGGAACCCGGTCTTGCAATCTAGTTGTCAACGCTGGAAGTTGAGCTACGTCATTTAAAATGTAACTGAATTCCTGATTAGAAGCGACAGAAACAATCTCGTTCGGATTTTCGAGGCCAATCCCAATTGTAAAAATAGTAGCTCCAGCATCTTTCAATTCGTTACTTGATTCATCAATGCCATCAACGTTTATATTGGAATTGGAATCAGTAATAACTACAACTCCATTCGGAATGTCTTGTCTATCGCCTGCTGAATCCGCTAACATCTGATCCCTGACAACATTTATTCCAGCCCCAAGATTGGCTCGGTTCGATTTAAAATTAAAAGGAATTTTTTCAATTGCTTCAACAACCTCCTTCTTTGTACGATATGCTTTTAAGTCAAATATTACTACGCCGGATTCACGATATAGTGCGGCTCCAACACGCACTAATCCAGAATCGATATCTGCCCTTTCTATGAGTGACGTCATAAAGTTCAATATTTTCTTAAATTCTGCCTGGTACATATCATTGGAAAAATGAAGAAGGAAAACCAAATCTTGTTCGTCACTATCTGCAAATATATTTATTAATAAATTATCATAAATTATTATTGTTTTTTTTAAATCCTACATCATTTACAAAATATTTGTTGAATATCGATAATTCGAGCATCAGTTCCTACTAAAAATGCACAAAATGTAATTTCAATTAATAAGAAAATGAACAATTTTAATATAAGCAATTCAGAAAGTATCTGGAAATATATGTATATTTATATATAATATATACGTATATGGTTCTACTAGATAGCAATACAATATGGTTCTACTTGATAGCAATACAAAGAAGGTAAATGTCGAAAAAAAGTACAAAAATCATAAAGGAACTGAAGAGGATTACTATGTATGGTTACTGTATTAAAAAATTAACAGTATAGTCCATTAAAAAACCGTTAAAACTTCGGATGGTAAATCTTTCGGTACTCGATTGAGGAATCGATGAGTCAACCATCGTTTTTGAAGGAGTTTCATCATCCATCTGTTAACATCATAGTCAATAACTGACATGCGGTCGATCATTGCTAGCTAGCAGGGCAAATGTTATCATTCTGTTGTTTTTTTCGCCGACCATCGTTTGAGCTACGCTTGCAACGTCATTTTTTATCCTTTATAGTATCTCATTCGCGGACAAGTGGCTAACCTTGGCTAGCAGGGGGGTCAAATGTTGCCTATCTTGTATTTCATTAGCAGATAAAATGTCGACCATCGTTAGGGGTTGTCAAGTGTTATCGTTCTGTAATGTAACGCTCGCTCGCTAGCAGAAATGAACTTTGTTTTGTCTTTTTTCACCAGAGTCTGACTATGTATTACCTAGACTGCACTGATTCTTAATATTATGAAATAAAATTATGTACATGATTATATATAAGTAACTTTTGTTTTCAGTATGAATTGTAAATATGTATTGTATGACTAAAATCCCCATCTCTATCAGTCAACAATCATCATATGCCAAATGGGAAAAGTCTTACATGGGAAAGAGCCAAATTAGAGATCACTTTTTACAAGTATTTGACTGACATAAACAGTTTTTAGAAATCATGCTGATTCAATTTTTGTTTAAAAAACACAAGTATTATTTCAGCTGAAGAAAAAATGTACATTATGTAAGTAAAACCGCAAATAAGTTTGAGTGGCCATTTCAATCTGTAAATAAAAATATCTGTTTAGTAGTTGTGAAGTTACACGTAACAAATATCCGTTTAGTATTTTTGTAGTTATATACATGTGAAATATATCCGTTTAGTAATAGTGTTGTAACGTGTAATAATATCCGTTTAGTATTGTGTAGTTATATACGTGTACATGTATCTACAGTAGGGTATCAGTATGGGTGGAGCCGTACATAAAGAGACATGACACAGTGAAAACAACTGAAGACAACTGATTCCAAGATGTTAATGAATGTATATTAAATGGTATACAGTGATCTTAAATGAAATCAGTAACATAACGAAGTTTAATGCAATGTAAGAGAATAACTAGAATCACATCTAAAAGGTGCCAATTTATTTCAACACTTGTGCATTTCTACAATTAATGTACCTTCCGTGATACTGGAGGTTAAAATGTTTGAAAACTAAACCCTAATAAAAATTTTAGAATGCTGATACTATTGAAAAACACCAAAAGTATATTAAAACTTGATCAAGGAATCAGAGCTATGCACGAAAAAGATAATTTCTTTACTTCAAATGACTTTTGGTAATGGTAAAGATTATTTTATCCACGGATTTTACAAAAAAAAGATTTTTTACTCCAATTTATCTCTTTTTATAAAACATATAATAGTGAAATAGCGATTTTGATAAGATCGTGCTTGTGTTCAAATAATAATTGATTGGAATATCATGAGATGAGGAAATTTTTGCAGCTTTTTTTTATATATACAAATAAGGAGGATGTGGTATGAAAGTCAATAAAACAACTATTCCAAAATGATGTGGGTGGAAAGAAAACTCATCAAAGATACCAAGGTAGTAAGTATGCACGCCAGATGCGCGTTTTGTCTACAAAAGACTCATCAGTCATGCATGAATCAAACAAAATGAAAAAGCCAAATATTGTAAGAAGAACATTAAGGTCCCAAAATTCCGAAATGTTCTGCCAAATACAGCATCTATTTCTCTATTCCTATCAAATATAGGTCTCCATACGGCTTTTTTAAAATGAGTAAAACGTTGACAACCTGATAAAACAAACAAAAGACATATCTAAAGTAAAGCCAAACTTGGGCAAGGAATGAGAGCTTTGCGATATGGAGATATATTCTTAAATTCAAAATGATTTCCATATTTTATAACAGCAAATTTTAATCAAACATATTCATTCATTTTATTCAAGTTCCAAAGTACCGGCTGATGGGTAAATAAAGGCAATACTAGTAGTAGTATACTGCTGTTCAATAGTCATAAATCGATTTAACTGAAACAAATCCGGGTCACAAACCAAAACTGAGGGAAACACATCAACTATTAGAGGAAACAAAGCGGAACAACAGAAACATTGGGTAAGTCATACACAGAAGTGGTATCAAACCAGTGGTAATTATAACATTAACGGTACTAACTTTACTGCACCTGGTGCTCATTTTGACAACTAATATCTCTTCAGTGATGTCGAGGCCAATATGTTGAAAATCCAAAAACTAATCCAAAAAGACCTATAGGATAGTCAAATCTGGACAAGAAATCAGAGCTTTGCGTTAGGGAGTTATATTCTTCATCAAAGAAATGATTTCCAAATTTTTAAACAGAAAATTTCAATCATACAATAACCGTATTTTCATGAAAGTACCAAGGTACTGGATACTGAGCTTAAGATATTACTTCAACTTTCCAAATGTTTTACTCTCTATTTTTCTGTAAACCAACAGTCAATCAACATCTGCAGATAGAGTATATATCTGTTAGTTGATATGACATTCCAGGAATTACGTTTCTTATCATGATTTCCTTGACAGATTTTCGCTTCTAACAGGGATTTTGGACCATTGATTCTTAATGGTGAGGTTAATATCATCTGTTTGAGGATTTTAATCACACAATCATGATTTTGTTGAAGTTAAGTCATATCTGCCGTGGCCATAATCCTGTTCTCTTTAACTCGCTAATGGTATAAACGAATGCACTGGAATTTTGATTTCCCTTTGAAAACACGATGGGTAACAGATATATATCTGTTCGATCTTTGCTTACAAAGAGACGAACTATTATATTATAAGAAGGATGGTCTCAATTTGGTGATACTAAGTATCTTGCTAGACCGTTACTGTATATTAATTTTAACATTACAAAAATAAAAATATTTTGTTAGTCTTAAATACATTATACAGTAAGTGAAATATAGAAAAAAAAAACGAAACATGGAATTAAATTACACATAGCAGGAATGAGTATAATAGCACAAAAACGTGAATTGACGTGATTATGACGTAAAATGTACACCACATTACTGACGTCATACCGAACTAACCTTCTATGGGTGTTAAAAAGGCTGCGGAGGACACTGAAATAAAACAGTCGTTTTACTTGATTTACTTTCAATATTCAACTCAGTAGCAGTTAATGAATATTGTAAAATTTATAAATAAAACAACGTAATTTATAAAAAAAAAATTTTAAATCTTATTTTCTTTTTTATTTGAATGGATATTTAGAAATATAAAACTTAATACAAGATTTAAAAAAAATCTTTTTGAAAAATGTGATGAATTTTTTTTTTAAATCAGTATGAAACAATATCCATAAAACATGTTTTACATTATTTCCTTTACACATTAACATTAACATGAATGTTGTAATAAAAATTTAATCATTAGAAAAGCTTCAGACTCACAGCGACATATTTGGTTCAAAACCTTATTCTTAACCACTAGAAGATCTTTCATTTTGTTTAACTTGAGAGAATATTTTTCAGCTGGCTGGCTGGCAATGTTTTCCAAATAACTGGAATCGAATTCTCCAATTGCAACAGTCACTACATTAATTTCAAATTGATGAAGAGCGTCAGCCTCTTGTTGTATTCGCTGTACATTTCTATTTGGCTTCCCAGTGGTAAGAAGTAGGAGAATATCCGGAGCATCTGTTCTGTCTCCGTACGCTTCAAAGAATACCCTGCGTCTGAGTATGTCAAAGGCATCTGCCGTGTTTCTGTCACCAGGGTAATAATATGCATTGCGAATACCTTGCTGAATTTCAACCATGGTTTTATATTTGTTAAGAAGGAACTGCACATTTGCGCCTGTGCTAAATGTAACCATAGCAACACGAACCGCTCCTGAGTCAATGTCAACGAATTGAACGAAGTCTAGCAAGAAATTTTGCATTTCTAAATAATCACTAGAACTATTAACTGATGTATCTAAAAGGAAGACTAAATCCATGGGTTTAGAGTCACATCCTACAATAAAATCATGCAAAATCAAACATGCAGGAACATTATTGTATAAAATTGATGATTTTAAACACCGAACCAATTCACATATGCATGTTTAAATCATTTGTACTCAGTTGACTGTTTTACCAAGCAATTATTTTTCTTGCGCCAAGAAATCAGTGGCGTGCGTTTAATGTACCACCATAAAACCTACTAAGGAATTATGGAATTTTAGTTTGCATTGTTGGTACAAAGAAGAATTTAATGAGATGTATTGCTTCAGAATTTCAGTTTATAAGCTATGAAATGCAGTAAACTGACGTTGAAACTCCTTTAAACAAGTTGACCAAAGACTTAATAGCAAACGCACAACCCCTCAATCCCCCCCTTTTCCAGCCATGAAGACTGAGGTATAAAACTATGGTCAATATTGTCTTCTTTCGATGGACAGTAAAACTTTTGTCAAAGTGGGGCGTCCGTTTGGCTGTGCAGGGTATACAAGTACGCTGCAACGTCCGGGCAGGATGGGGACGTTACATTCAATGCCTCGTGTTAAGACAATGCAATCCTCTCGTTACGTTAAGAATCCTTGCAAACAACTCTTTGAGGGGTCCGTAGGGGGTCAGTTGTAAAGACAAATTTTTGTCCCTATCCAATTTTCCTTTTCCAAAGGCAGTTCAAATTTCCCCGACCTTTATCCCGGACGGCCTCTATTACAGGACCTACCTTTTGTTAATTTCTTATCGTCCTGAACATGTATGAAATGTTTGCCTCTACCAGCAATCAATCATTTTATCAAAAGATTTTTCTCAACTGGGTTTTCAAATTATTGTATATGTCATAGATATAATATGAACATTATATATACATTGTCAGATTGTAAAACAACAATAGCAATTATATGAATAAACATAGTTCCTCGCATAGTTCAACCCATTTATCGCTGAAAATAGGACATACATTTCTTTTAGAATAACTTAATAAAAATCAATATATAAATCAGTTTATATTGTATTTCAACTACATGGGTATAAGAGCTTTTGGATAACCAGACTTCAGTAGGAGAAATGATGTCCAACGATGTAAGAACTTTATTTTTGATGTAGATATCATTTATGGCAAAGCAATGAATCAAATCATAGAAAAAAAGAGATATTAATAGCACACGCTTGTCAGTTTATGATATTGGAATTGACATAGGTATACTACGTTTATACTAAAAATACCATACGTCATGTACATGAAATAGAATCTTTCAAACATCAGAAGGAACTTCAGATTATTCAGGGGAAATCTGGACTTAAGTGAGACACATAGACACCAGGTTTACAATTCAAAATGGCTTCAAACTTTATGGAATGTTTAGTTTATGGCTTTTTTTCATTTTTGTCAGAGAGTGTTTTTCTTCCTGGATTCCTGGTGTGTATAATGTTATAAAATGGCTTCAGACTCTATGGAATGTTTAGTTTATGGCTATTTTTTTTATCAGAGAGTGGGTTTCTACCTGGATTCTTCGCCTGTAAGTTTGAAAATTTGACTTGATGCTAATAAAACGAAAAAAAACAAACAGCCGCATACTGTTTTCGTATTGAAATTGAAACACTAAAAAATACTCAATTGCGTGAAACCTATCATATTAAAGTCACAAATAGATATGAATACAATAAAAATAAGAATAAGAATAAGAATTTTATTAATCTAATCAAGAACCCATAAAGGGCATCATTTACAACAATATTAAGCACAATATGATTGGAAAAAAGAAAAACTATATCCTAATATAATACTATCATATATTGGACAGGATCAGAGCCTAACACATCATGTGTCTTACATAACATTAACAATAATTGCATAATAATTTTATATATTTTGTATCCACCTGGATCTTATTTCTAAACACTTAATTATATAATTGCCTAGGCACATAAGAGTTGGTAAATGCTCATTTGTGAACAGCCAGAAATATTTTTTATCCTTGGGTAATTCTTTAAAATTATTACAAAAACTGTTTACTTTATCCCATAATAATTTTCTCTGTTCGTTATATAAAGGACAACTTACTGTGAAATGGGTCTCATCTTCAATAGAATATCACTAGGAACTAATATTATAGTCTAAAACCTTATAAGTACTTACCTAATATTAACGGGCGATCAAGATTTGTTTCTTCAACTAGAGGAGGGAGTTCACCTGTGATAAAGACAGAGAAACATTGATGATTGAATTATTGCTTGCTTAACGTCAGTGGAAAATAAATAACATTAACGGTATCAATCTTACTGCACCATATGCGCATTGCGACGATTAATGTCTCTTCGGTGATACTCAAGACCAACATACTTGAAAATCCAAAACCTAAAGCAAAAATTGAATGGCTGATAAAACAAAAATGGACCTAAATATAGTCAAATCCTATAACATACAATTTTGCTACGAATATCATGAAATTTCAATACCTTTATAGTTTCTTAGAGAAGCAAGAACTACTGACTCCTCTTGAACACATAGTTTATTTTAGTTTTTTGCTAGAGTTCGCTAGTCGATTAATTTTCAGTTTCCCATGTAGTGTTCTTGTATGAACTGATGTCTGTCTTCATGTTTTGTTTTATCAACCACGTTATTGTTGGTCTTGAATTCGATTGCCCCCTTGGTGTTTTTCTTACTGTCTTTTCACGATACAAAAAAGTAAAATAACAAAAATACCGAACTCTAAGGAAAATTCAAAACGGAAAGTCCCAAATGGCAAAATCAAAAGCTTAAACACATCAAACGAATGGAAAACAACTGTCCTTTTTCTGACTTGGTACAGGCATTTCCTTATGTAGAAAATGTTGGGTTAAACCTGGTTTTATAGCTAGCTACAAAAGTTGTTATCATGACATTCATGAGAACTGCTATTTTCCTTAACATAAGAAAAAACCCTATGTATGGAAAAATGCAGATTTAGTCATGAATACAGTCCAGTTAAACACAGATTCTTTTCATATGTTTAGATATGTACGATCTTTGATATTTAAGGTAACATCCTTTGAATTACTTGGCTTGGGAATTTAAATGGGGAGATGTGAAAACATACTCAGGGATCAAAGACTTTTTAAATGTTGTAATAAACTGGATGATGAATACTACGTTTTTCTTGGTTGCAAACTGAGATCGTTTTTTTTTTCAATCAAACATATAAAATCTCATTATACATAATGGAAACCAACTTCCAATTTTAAATACATTTCAAATTATGAATTTAAACTTTTGTTAGCAATCGGTGACTACATAAAGACATTTTTATAGGTATGAAAATGAGGTGCATTTCTATCTAAAAGAGTATAGTAATGGTATATATTTGATGTTTTAAATCTTTTTTCTGAAATATTAGTGGACTATGTTTTGATTTTTTGCTTTATCCATATGGGTGAAATGTGCCATTAAATGGTGATATAAACTTTGAGAAAATATTGTTGATACGGAAGTTTCAAATATGATATAAACTATCCGTTTGCCAAATTCTGTAATCAAACATTTTTACGGGGTAAAATCTGTAATATTGCTTAGTTCTACTAATAGTATTTTCAGTCTTGACTGGCATTTTAATCTAAACACGATCTGAACTGTCTGCACATAAACAGTTCTAGTTCTAAAAAGTAATATACACGCCACGTTCTAACATAATAAAAAACAGTGATCAGCTTCTTCTATACAGTCGTTCAGTACATACCGTTTAAATAAAAGATACTGAACATATCTAAACAGTACTGAGCATACGACAGTAAAACCGTCTAACAAAACTCATCAAAGATACCACACATGATTTGATACGCCAGACGTATAATTTGATACGCCAGACGTATAATTTGATACGCCAGACTTATAATTTGATACGCCAGACGTATAATTTGATACGTCAGACGTATAATTTGATACGCCAGACGTATAATTTGATACGTCAGACGTATAATTTGATACACCAGACTTGTAATTTGATACGCCAGACTTATAATTTGATACGCCAGACGTATAATTTAATACACCAGACGTATAATTTGATACACCAGACGTATAATTTGATACACCAGACTTGTAATTTGATACGCCAGACTTATAATTTGATACGCCAGACGTATAATTTGATACACCAGACGTATAATTTGATATACCAGACTTGTAATTTGATACGCCAGACGTGCGTTTCGTCTACATAAGACTCATCACTGGCGTATGATTCAATTTTAATAGAAATAAGAAGATGTGTTACGAGTGCCAATGAGACAACTCTCCATTCAAGTCACAATGTGTAAAAAGTAAACATTTATAGGTCAAAGTACGGCCTTCAACACGGAGACTTGGGTCACACCGAACAGCAATCTTTAAAGGGCCCCACAATGACTAGTGTAAAACAATTCAAACAGGAAAACCAACGGTCTAATCTATATAAAAAACAAGAAACGAGAAACACCTATGAACCACACCAACAAACGTCTTAATATAATTTTTTTTATATCGGTTTAGATCGAAACAAAAAAGACAGACGGATGATACCAAAGAGAGAATAAATAACTCATGAGCAAAACAGAGACCTATACAATCTGAGCAAAAGCGAGATAGGATGAAAAGACAACCAACAGTCTCCAACACACTTCATTAAAACTAAAGACTAAGAAAGAGTCGTAAAAACATTTCCAAAATTTGTTTACTAATCTGCGTTTTTTTGATAATCTGTCAACAACGATTGCTATGAGACTTCATTCAACTTCATTTAATCGCAGATAGTTATTCAATTACAAAATAATTGGATATTTTCTGCATTAAAAGGCAAATAATATTTTAATCACAGAAATTTAATCGATTTTTCCTGCTATTTTTTTGCAACAAATTTTACAATACTGCGTATTTTTGTGACAAGGTTGTTTAATAAATGTTTACATCAATGGACGATAGATACCAAAGGCATATTCAAACGGGAATAGAGATAATTGGTGTGCTAACGATGAATGAATGTATCGTTGTACCATTACAAGGCTCTAAAACCAAGTATTGTGCATGGTTAACTTTAAGAGCCTTTGTTTTGTTTTGTTTTTTATTTTTATTTTTTGTAATCTGGAACCATATGTTTTAGCTTATGATAATGTATGATGTAAATTGGTTAGAACTTCACTACATGTGGGGAAGAATCTGCTTTCCCTTTCGGATTACCAGAAATCACATGGGTATTTGGTGGAGTTCGTGTCGCTTCGTCTTTAGTTTGCTATGTTGTGTTTTGTAGACTTTTGTTCGCCTTTTCGTCGTTTTCAGTTTGTTTTAAACTTATACGCTTAAATTTTCCGTGGTACCTTTCATCTCTCTTTTTAACCAGAAAATTGTTGAAAAGGCTTTTCGTAAATTCAGAGAAAAAGGGGAGTTTCATCATTTTAACCAATGATTTTATACTGTCATAGTGAATTGTTAGCTAGAACACATGCCTTTTTTGCAGTAGTAAATGTATAATGTAGCTGAAGTTTTCTCCGCGAAGGGACGGCAACTACTTGCTCTAATCTTTAATGGTTGATAGGTCAAAAATTAGAGAAAAAAACGTTATGTATTAGAAAGCAATGTTTCAAAATATAAATGAAATAATATTTGCATTACGAGGTATAACTTTAACAAACATTTAATAAGATGAGAAAGTGTAACTTATTCAATATATGATAATTAACTGAAAAGTTATTTTATTCAAAACTGAAACACCCGTCAATTTTCATGGATAGTACACTTGCAACCTTTTTCCACATCGAAAAAAAAATAATCCCAGATCATGCAATTGACAGACGATAAAGCCATGCAGACGTACCGTCACAACGAGCGGCTGGGAACATCCGGGTCTTCAATTCAACTGGTTCATACCAATCTTCTGCCGTATGCCTGAATATATCAAGAGGTTGTGACGCAATCAAGTCGAGTTCACTGGTATCTTGTAATCCAACTCCAACAGCATATATTTTTATGCCATTTTGGCGTGCAAGTTCTGCTTCTCGTTCAGTACGATCCGCATTGATATCTGAATATCCGTCAGTTATCAAGATAATAACGTTTTGCGCATCTGGTCTGTCTGCTCTTGTGCTAAATACTTTACTTCTTGCCGCTGATAAAGCGTCAGCAGTATTTGAGCCGCCACCACTATACTCAACGCTATATATAGCATCAATGACGCTAACCTTAGTATCATATTCATTAAGCTCAAACCGTATTTCTGACGAAGTACCAAAAGTCATAAAACCAACGTGAACATTCCCTGAATCGATATCAATATCGTCTACTATTGTCTCAGCAAGACCAAGCACAAGTTCAAAGTTTTCCTCTCCTAAAGTACTTGAGGAATCTACTATAATTACTAAATCCATCCGCTCGTCCAAACAAACTGAAATAGGACACGTGAGAGTTTTTTGAAACTGCTAAATAGCTGTTTTATCCTACGTCATCATCTATGGCTATCTCATGCATATTTATGAAGAAGCTCCTCTCATAAATCTTCTATGTAAACCGCGTGCATGTCAGATGACAAAAAGCGAAGTCGGATGGATATAGAATACATGCAGAGAGCCAACTTCCAAGCAAGGACCGAAGCTCGTTAAAAGTAGGACTTCGGAAAAGGTCGGAGAACGACGATCTTGCTTCGGAAGTTGACAGAGAGTAGGTACAGAGTCTTAAGGAACTGTCGTTGTTCATTTAGGTTCCATGGCAGTTTCTTTGATACATATTATCTGTGTCCTAAGTAGTATAATGTATCATGAAACTTTTCCTACTTTTTGTTTATTTTCATATATATAACCGATTAAAACTCCTTTTTAAATCATTTAAGCGTCTTGTTATTAATGCAGAGATATAAGATAAAAAATGACTTTGAAAATTAATAATGAATGGATAAGCAAAAGTTAAAATTAACCACTCGGCAATCAATAGCGTAATAGCTGATGTTTGGTTGCAAATCTAGACTCCTTAAGGCAATGTTGTATACAAAGAAGGAAAAAGCGGAAAGCAAAAGGGCGACTAGGGTAGCAAGCAGCAAAAGGTAGAAATAACAACGCTAGCTGTAAACCGGCAATGGTAATATTTAGCGCTTTTGAAATGCAATTTGTACTAGAATCAAGAGGTTGTCATCTGAATTCGAACTCTTATCCGTTCTTACATTTGGTGCATTCATTGTCTGATATAATTTTGGATGGGGCGAACGAATTTTCTATTCTATAATAAATCTCATGTACCCAATACTAGATCAGTTATGGGTTTTTATAGAGTACAGTTAGATAGAACATGGTAATGTAGATACAGTATTATTTATACAGATAATGAAAGTTAACAATTATTGAACAAAGTTAAGTGTGAACGTACATAATAACTGGAACAATAAATACATAGAAAATAAAACAAAGTACGGAATAAGAGTCCGAACTGTGCAGCAAAAATATCTAAACGGCTGTAGCTGGTCAAAATAAAAGTGCATGAATAGAAAAAAACAACAATAAAATGTGCAAAAGATGATATTTTTTCATATAAATAAAAGCAACAGTTAGCACAATATGTGTTAAAGTTTTCCATATTTTCGCAATTCAAAAAGTAGTCTTCATCTAAATTGATAAGAGATCTCATACTTTCTCGAAGATAATTTTTATATATCTATACTGGAAAATTCTATCAAATATAATTACAAATACAAATATTCAAATATTCTGAAGCATGTGTGAAAAATGTTAATATTATTATCAAGTAAATAAATATTCCTTGTGTCTATTGAATTGAGGTTACTAAAAATGATTTGATTAAAATAAAAAACAGATAATATAAATGCTATATAAGAATACTTATTCAAAAGGGTAATAACTCTTCGTGACCCCAAATAACAAAAATAAGTTATGATGACTTAAACTAGGTCTATCATCATAAGACTCATTTGATTTTTTTATCAAATTTATAATGAATCTTCCGATTCCTATTGACGCTAAATGATTGTCATTACACATACTTTTGAAAATTAATCGAACGTTGTATACGACATTTTACTAAATTTCCATAAATATTAGCAACGCAAAGGTAAAATGCAACATTTTGAACAATTAATCAGAGGCTTTAATTCCAGTAACGAGAGAAGTCGGCGTTTTAAGAATTGATCAGTAAAGCTACACTTACCTCCCTGTGCAGAAATTTGGTCCCATATTGATAACATCAGTACCATGTACAATGACATGGCGTTCGTCGCCATCTTTCTAAAAAAAAACAAAGTAATACTAAAGTGTGAGGTGAGAATGTACATTTAATTTTTATCTCATTAGACGTTGCTTATTTCCTTCGAAATGTTATTATCAATGACAATGAAATTATGAAACACACAAAACTCATCGAAGATACCAAGCTTATAATTTTCTACACCAGACGCGCATTTCACAATTACTCTATTGATATCAAAATACTTTTAAAAAAAATAGAAAGGATACATTTATGACATAATGTTGTAAAACTCCCCGTTAGTAAATCAAGAAATTATTCAGAAAATAAAGTTCAAACTCCTTTAGGCAAAGTTGACATCAGATGAATTTGGCTATTCTTTTTAGGTCCTTTTTTTTTTTTTGTTATTTCGGGCCTAATTACTTATACATTCCTGGCTTTCTATTGTTTTGGTTTGAGTGTTCTGTTAAAAATAAATCAAGATAAGCGCTTCGAATTTAAAAAAATTCATTAAGTTTTATTTTCCATTTCTAGCACTAGGTCAATACCTCTGCTGGTGGATTGTAAGTTCCCAGTGGTATATAAGCTCAGTAGTAAGTAATACGACACTGGCATGGTTTTAAATATAATGTTGTAAAATTCGCCGTTGATCAATAAAGAAATTATTCAGAAACTAAGGTTCCAACCACATCAGGCAAAGTTTATCTCAAATTGAATTGGCTACTCTTCTGTGGGTCTATTATTGAAAAAGCTTCTTACGTTTCTATGTATTTAAGATGTTTAGCTAGCTATAAAACCAGATTTAATCCATCATTTTCTACATAAGGAAATGCCTGTACCAAGTCAGGAATATGACAGTTGTTTTCCATTCATTTGATGTGTTTGAGCTTTTAATTTTTTGCCTGAAAGTTTATTATTCCATGTTCCGTTCCACAAGAAATTGGAACTGAACAGCAAAAATATCTAATATTCACAGGCGATAGATACTTGTTGATATTGGAACAAGTCGTGAAAAATACGGTTGTATTGCTGATCTCTTATGACATATAATTACTTTTCAATTTCATTTTTAACGCGTTATATATGCAATTCAATTTGGTGATATTTTTAAGAAGCTCGACTGTTGAAGGGTCGATGTTGACTTGCGATGTGTCTCAAGTAACTCATTCTCTGGCGCGGGAATGAATGAGCTTTCCTACGGGAGTTCAGAAAACAAATTTCAATTGTCTCTTACTCTCCAAATTTTGTGTAACTTTCAGCGGGCCAGTTACACACTCGCTTGTTTCCTTGATAGTCAAGATATCGTCTGCTTTATGTGTAAATCTAGGTAGATGGCAGCTCTAAAAAAAGACGCCAACAAAAGCAGATCAAATTATGTTTAATTTACTCTTGTAGTTATGACAAAGTACATGTTTATCTTCAACGTTAACCTTGGACTATTAATTTTTTATTAACATCAAAAGAAGGATTTTTACACCTCATACAGTTCAAGTAATTTTGAAAATACCACATCAAAATTCTGCAATATAAAACCTTCAATAGATATAGGAGATTTTTTGTACTTAGCTGTCACGTCGCGTTCCGGCTTCACATCAAGTATGTGTCATTTTAGATAACTTATCTTTCTAAAAGTGCATATTTCTCAATGAAATGTGCAAAAATCTCCTTCATAAAAGCCATACATAGCTGTTTTTGTTGTTTTTGTTTCTCATGAACTTGAAGATCTTCCAAATGCAACTTATTAAAAAGCATACACTTGGGAGAAAGTTATATACAATATGATCATTATATGTAATGTATATGTCTATGAGCTTACAGCAACCAAACGAAACAAATAACAAAATAAACAACATTTAGAGACCAACATGCAGGTGTCTAAACAATATGTCTAAAATTTAGATTGCTGCCATTTTCAGTTTCAACTGATCAACCGATGTTCCATGTGAAATCAAAGTCGATATTATATATGTCGAACAAATACGGACAACAGAAAATCTCAATAATTTGCATTACATACTGGGTGTTTCATAAGAATCCGTTATTTTGTTTTGTTCATGTTCAAAACTACATCTGACAAAATGTTTTGTTTCACTGTCTACCCGAGAGAAGGCGACATTTTGATTTTTGATTTTCGGTGTGAGGTAGGATGATTTTGAAAGGAATATCCTGCCCTGGTATACGTAGGAGCTTATGGAAAAAAATTGCCCAAGACAGGATGAAAATTTTGCGGGAAAAAATAAGTATATTTGTAGAAATAAATGAAAATGAAAATATTAATTGTCCTTTGTTTTGTTTGTTTTTTATATAATTTCAGATATTTTATATTGTTTTCAACCAGTATAGTATATGTCACAAGGCGCTATAAGTGTGATATCAAAAATAGATTTTAATAGGCAAACATGAAAAAAAAATATTTTGTTTTGTACATGATTGTTTGCAGATTTCTTCATACTTTGACAATGACATATTGTTTACATCAAAATTGGAAGACACACATCCAGTCAAGCAGAGACATAAAAAAATCAAAAATTTGTAGAACATTGAACGACCATTTATTATATGTGCTGGTATGCAGTTAATATACCGTTACTAATAAGATCATTAGTCAACTAATGACGAAACATTATAAAATTTATACCGTTATGCAATCAGATTTTCGTTCACTGGCATGAGTACAAAAAGTGCTTGTTTTCATTGAAATATCTTAACAAAATCATCAATACTGGCCTTCAGTATAAAAGATTGCTACCCAAACATTTCTATGAATAAACGTAGAGGTGGGGAAAACTTCAATGAGACAGCAACCCAACAAAAACAATAACCACAAAGACACTGCATTTTCTGGTTTATTTAACGCCAATTTAATCAATTTATATTTTGGTTGCAATATTAAGGATACAACATACACTCCCCCTAACCCCATCGCTTCATCCCTTTCATCTGATTTTTCTTATGATGTATTTTCAAATATAAAAGTTAGCTTTGCTTGTCTGCTAGGTGAACCAGGAAAAATCGGTTTATCAATGAGGAAACCGCAAGTTATCTTACGTTTAGAGTGTGGTATGATTGCCAATGAGGCAACTATCCACTAGAGACAAAAAAACGTATATTTTAGAAACTACAGATCTCCGTACGACCTTCAACATCATATATAATGTGACGAGGTTAAACATGTTTGCAGGCACCCAACTATCTCCCTTACCTGGGACAGTGGTGTAATAGCACAACATAAGAACAAACTATAATGACAATGAGAAAACGATGAGAAAACTATCCAACAGTGTTAAAATAAAGAAGTAGCAAGTAAGCATTTCCATGCATGACATCTGCAAGTATTTGTGTATATCGTTGAACAGATGAACATTCAGCTGCCTCAGCATCATTATTAAATTGTTCATGGTCCACATAGCAAATAAGCAAAGTTAAGTTCATTGAGTTTTTTTTTTTTTTTTGTAATGTGTTAATTAGCAAATATATATATATCAATATCATGTGTAAAGTTAATTAGTCCATAGTTACATTTGAAAAATCAACACAAGTCCATATAGAGGTTTTTTTGAATTATTTAACAAACTTATAAATAAATAAGTATGAATAAAATAAAAGAGGCAAGCTGTATTTGGAGGGTGTTTTGATAATTAAAAAGTTGACTTGTTTTAATTATTCTACTAGTTAGAGCTAGCTTTAGCGGGGGTATGCTTCCGCAAGGCAAATAAGCAAAGTTAACTTCTTTCCAATGTTTTATTTTTTATAAAAACATTATTTTAACACACTCAGGTTAAGTAGCTCTAAATGTTTCCATGTATACAATCTGAATGTTATATGTGTTCATCGTTTAACAGGTACACATCCAACTGCCTCAACATCATTCTTAAATTGTTCATGGTCAACATGGCAAATAAGCAAAGTTGCGTTAAGGCCGTACTTTGACCTATAATGGTTTACTTTTACAAATTGTGACTTGGTTGGAAAGTTGTCTCATTGGTACTCATACCACATCTTCTTATATCTATATAAAGCAGTCAACTTCATTGGTTTCTTAACACACTAAAGTAAAGATGTAAGGTTTTCCATGTATCTAATCTGAATGTTCATCTGTGTACAACGTTTAACAGGTGCACCTCCAACTGGCAATACATAATCCTTAAATTGTTATTGCAGTAAAAACAATCTACATCATAAAACAGTCAGCTTCATTTTAAATTTCTCTTTTCGAAGCAATTAAAAAATTAGTATCATTTGAAGTAGAGTTATTTAGAAGCAATAAATTGATCATGAAATATATCTGAAAGATATCCAAGTTTAAAACAATTACACAGCAGAAAACACGTTTCTCGTCTGGTAATAAAACATCTCTTTACTACGTCTGCAACTTTGCAACAAATGCATACATTTGAGTGCAATGTTGGTAAATGAAAAACGTTTAAAAGAAATTTTAAAACTCTTTAGATGAAACTTTGATAAGGAGTCGTGGTTTGATTGCCAATGAAGCAACTATCCACCAGAGACCAAAAAAACGCAGATGCTAGCAACTAATAGGTTACAGGCACCAACAACAGAATGTGGTTAAACATGTTTGCGGATACTTGATGGCCTCGAATGAAAAAGGTAACAGATTATGCTAAAAGGATATCAGTCGTGCTGATTTCCTTTAAAATCTGTAAGAAATATTTTATAAGAAAGTTTTCCTGGTAATTCTATCCATGTTTGTAATCTGTGTCTTATTGTTATGCATATGACTATACCTAATTTAAAGGATGTGTTAGGAGTTCCGAATGTTACATTCTAAGATTAAAAACTGTTAAAATACACGACAAAAAACGACAAAAAACAAAGACATTAGCTAAATATGGATACATTTTAATGTTGATGTTTTCAACAATGTTATTGGCAAATAACATTCAAATTAAAACCGGATCGAGTCCTGCCTAAAAAAGATACAAAGGGAACCGTCAAATCTAATTAGTCGAAGACAAACTGAGAAGACCATGGACGACGAAGAGACGAACAAGTCCACAAAACACTACATAGAAAACTTAAG